AATACAGTGTTAATAAAAACTTTAAATTATAAATTACTTAATGCATTATGTGAGTATTATTGAAATAGTAAATGGGATAATAAATTAAATAATAGTCTTACCTATTGGATATTTATGCGGTGTAATAATATCTAAAATACAAAAAATAATAAAAACAGAAATAGCTGCGGCCACGAGAATCATTTTATCCCGGTTACTGACGGTTGAAATTATATGACTTTACTCACGTAAGCATAGGTAGCGTTTTCCGCAACCTGTCTGTACACCAAAACTCGAAAGAATGAATTGAAGTAGTTTTTTTATTGACCTTCAGTTAATTTTTATAAAATAAACATTTACTATTTGGAAGGGGTATACCGTTTTCTTCCTTTTATCTACGACTCTTTCTATATTAAGGCGATGATCTTATCTAAAATCATTCATGAATAAATAGAAATACTTTTTGTTAAACAAGGAAGACATATTTACATAACACAGCACATAACATTTAGTACATAAAAATTATATTATGTTCGGATAACTATTATACGATTTATTTGAAAAACGAAACTATTATTTTCAATCTAAACAATTGATTCATCTGAAAACATAAAATATCATAATAAATGAATAAAATATATTATTAGACAATAGTATTATACATACTAATAATAATAGCATTTAATACATACCTACAATGTTAACAATTACAAAATAAAACTTGTACAAGGTTGCGAGAAGACATGTATAAAAAAATACAAGAACATCATAAATTAATTTAACTAATTGTTTTAATTTACAAACTCTGTACATGAATAACATATATTTTAAGGGATTGTTTTTATATTCAAACGGAAATGCGAATCAAAAGCTCATTTGAAAATCCCTTTTATACTTGACATTTTTAATATCTCGGTATTTATTACGTAGGTAGGTATTTTTGTGATATTTGTGTTCATGTATTTTAAAATTTTATGTATTTATTTTACAGTGTTGTTATTTTTATTCAATAGAAACAAATACAAAATTATAATATAATTTATATGTAACAGGAACGTATATACAAATAGTCGCGATGACCGATGAACCGCCGTCGCCGCCACCACTGGCAGTAGAAAGCCGTAGAACGAGAAGCCACTATCCCATTCGCCCCTGGTGCTTCGGGACTCGGTTTCGGGATTCTAACGTACTCGAACGGTCTGAATAAGTCCAGGCAGCTAACTGTTAAGAAACCATACGACGAAAAGCCACTAAGGCCATACGTTCCTGGTCCTCGGGACTCAATTTCGGGAGAACTGATGGAATACTGGTGTACGCGAGTGATCTGCACAAGTCGAGCCAGGTAACTCTGTTAAATAACTATTCGACGAAAAACCACCAAGTCCATACGCCCCTGGTACTCGGGACTCAACTTCGGGAAAACTGTTTTTTTTTTTTTTTTGCACGTGTTGTCTCCGTCTTAAATACATACAACCAGAGGCGGATTTAGATATGTGGTGGCCCCTGGGCAAAATGCGTTGTGAGGGCCCCTTATACGTAAACAAGGAAATATATTTTTTTACTTATTAAATGGCATTTATTGACATGTTTAGTAGTAATAACAATCAACTACTTATTTAATAATAAATAATTATAAAAACAATCAAATCGAGTATATAACTAGTATAGGTATAATATCATCATAATATTAAGTGTAAGTAATTAAATGGAGAATAATAATAAATAATTATGTCAAGTAATCATTAAAATTAAATGCTGGAACTTTTCATAATTTTATTTGTACAAAATTATCAATAATGTTTTGAAAATCAAGTTTTCTTAAAATATCAGACTCGGAGCTTATTATCGCCAGTTAATTGATTTTGTCTCCGTCCATTAGAAGTACGCAATCTATTTTTTATGTGCTTTAAATTAAAGAATGATTTTTCACTACTGCTGTTTGTAATCGTAAAAACAAGATAAATGCGCAGAGCTACGACATTTTAATGTATAATTCTAGATCCACGTGTGCATATATTTTAGAAACACATTTATTAATATTATTACGATTGACGATGCACACCGATCATGGACGACATAAAAACCTATCTTATCTAGATTCTTAAACACCTTCATTGTCAATAAACTCGAATACATCTATTATTAGTCGGTAAAATTAAAATTTTTAAATGTACGAGTAAAGATCAATATTATTTAATTACTTATGTATAAATATAAATAAAATATTTTTCCTGTATCCTAATTTAAATATCATAACATTGTGAAGGCCTCTGAGCTTCAGCCCACTCAGCCCTCCCCTAAATTCGATTCTGCATACAACATTGCACACTTTCGTTCAGCAGAATCTATTTTATGTTGTTAGCTTTAACATTAGAGTAAATTTACCTATTATCAAATTTAAAGGTAAGAATTTTATCTAGGCAATGACTTATGCTCTTTTATTAATATTACTAGCGGCCGGTTAAACTCGATTCCGGATATATGAAAGCCACCTTCGGGGAGGGGGGATTGAGTGAAACTCGCTGTAAGTGAATACCCTAGGTCGGAGACAGCACTTGAGAAAAACCGTAGTTAGAAAAGTTTAGTAGTCAATAGTTTAGTCTTGGAGAACGAAATCGATGATAACGATGTTTGCACCACTGCTTTGGTGGCTCTAAACTTTGGCAGTGTCATTTTAAACGTGTAAATAAAAGTCTATGAAAGTATTGAAAGTTGAATTCGAGTGTCTAGCGGTCGATTATCACAGGTGTGTATTACACCTTGTCTCCTCGTCTGCCCAGTGCTTTTATGCATGTAGAAGAAATAAAAATACATTCTGAAAATGGCAATTGAATGTCTAGCTCACCCGGTGTATGTCGATACCTGGCTGGATAATTCGCTAGGTATTCATTTATATTCTATACGGAATACCGTAGCGGTCGTGGAGGTTAGGTTAGGTTAAAAACACGTATTAATATTAAATAATAGATTTAAAATATCTATAAATAGGTAGCTAAGTAATATTGTTAAAATTTTTAATAAATTATGCTTATGAGTAGGAAATTATGATATGAATATTTGGTGAAGATATATGTATATATCTATGTTATTTTTTTTATTATTACTATAGCATATCAAAAATTGATTGAGGAGAAAAAAATTATTTTACGTGTGAAATTTTAATGACGTTAAAATTTGAACTTAAAACGTTCATAAAAAATCAATGTGACTTTCTGATGAACTTTTGTTTTATTTTAGGTAAAAAACGTTAAAAATAAGATTTTTATTATATTTTCAAATCTTATAGATGTAAAAAAATAGTTTTTATAATTTTTAGCTATAAAATAAATAACAAATTTTTAAAATTTTGATAAAATTCTAACACCAAACGTTTATAAATATATTGTGACTATGTTAAGACAATTTTAACTGGAATCTGAAAAACTTATAAAGAACTTTATTAACAATTGTATTCAATTTTAAGTTTTTGACTAAGAAAAAAGTTTTTATTGACTAAAAGTAAAAATAATCAACTTTCTCATATTTTAAATAGCTCAAAGGGAATCAAAACATTTTGAAAATGTATCTTCTGTATTAATTACTGGCACAAATATTTGGTGTTAATACTTTAATAAATAATTTGCAACCGATAGTACGTCGTTTGTCAGCCTATAGGTACTATTGCATAATACTTGCTAAATTTTAACTAGGAACCAAGTTAATTACTTGTAATCGTCAAGCATTGACACTTATTATTCGTTTGTCGTACACACTAGATCGCGAGATTCTGTTTTTTTAAATTATTCCCAGTTATATTATGTTCTTTACAAAATTTATAAAAATAACTTTAAAATTACATTTAAATACGGATATGTAAAATATACATCTATTGAGAAACTATTTAAAATATTTTTAAGGTCAAAAACATATGTTTATATAATTGACACGTATTTAAATACTTTTTTAATGTTATTTATTTAATTTGACAAGTAGGTAAAAACAAATTAATATTGTTATTTAAATTACTTATTTAAAATGGTAATATTATGTCACATTTTAGTATTAAAATTTTGCACTACTTTTGTGTATTAAACAATAATTAAAAAAATATGTTTTAATTAAATTAGAATTATTTAATCAATAATAACAGTTGTTAATGAATAAATACTTGAATTTTGCAAAGTATTTGAAATTAAACTAATATAACTACGTCCAAAAATAATGTTTGAAAATATATTTTCTAAACATTTAATTTTTAAATACTACAAAAGTGTTTGATACATTTACCCAAATAGACGCTGTACTAATATGTTAGATTAGGTTAAGCTCACGTAGCTTAATTTAATTGTTTTATTTTAACAAGTACGCGTATGGTACTGTGATGTATTAACTTAAGACTTTAGACCGGGTTCTCCCTAGTCGATAATTTCTTCACCGGGCCGTATCAGGTAGAATTGAATATATTCAATTTGTCGTTGAGTACCAATATTTTGTTACTTACGTATTAAATAAACGAAGTCTAACACTAAAAAATAGCGTGAGCTCAGTTAAAAACAAGAAAATAAATTATACTATTTACTTGCATATTGCTTATACATTTTTATAATGTAATTTGTGATATAGTATTACGGGCCATGGCCCATAACTATCGATTATCCTTACCTGTGGGCTGTGACCAGTTACAGGGTTGTAAGTATTTGGATAATATGGGTCACCTGCGAAATTGTCAAAATGTACAAGTGGACAAATAATACTGTGGCTTCACTGACAAAATATTTTATTGATTTCTTATCTTAAGATTTTTTGAATGTTCATTGGATTATTGATTTTTGAATGTTTCTACACCTGTTGGTTGTGCATACGTGGAACATTCTTTTTATTTACTTTTTTTGTGTTCTTGTGTGAGTTTTATTAAATTTGTCGTGTATTTTGTTAAGTTTGAATATTATTCAGTACCATTGTACTAAGTAAAAAAATTATAACATATTATTTATTAGTATATACTATATTATATTTAATACTAATATAATAATATATGTATAATGTTATCTAACTATTTACTACCAAAAAGTGAGGTGTGTTGTGCTGTTGCTGGTTGCGAACAACATTCCGGCAATGCAATACAAGAAGGATATAACGTATCGTTTCACGGGTAAATATTTTTATGTTATCCGTATGGTTCTATGCCAATATTAAATAGAACATCTTAAGTATAATTACAAACAAACAATGATTATATACATTTTATATATTTATAGGTTTCCAAAAATTTTAAGACTACAAAAAATTTGGGCTGAAAAATGTAAAATAGTTGATACATGGGACCCTCAATTGTCATATTATGTTTGTTCTATGCATTTTGGTCGAGATGATTTTATTCATGATTTGGAAACAGAATTGTCTGGTAATTTTTTTTTCTTAACTTGTATTTAGATTACAATATAGATAATAATTACCTAACAAAATAATAATTACAATGTTTTAGGTTATGTTCCTAGTTATCGATATTTAAGACAGGGCATTACTCCAACATTAAATTTACCAAACGACTCGGAGATGTCGAAAACGCCTATCGAATGTAACAGTAGCTTGATTAAAACAGCTCAACGTGTAAATATTGACAAATAATTTTAAAATATAAATACTCTTATTACCCCTTATTGGAGGTTAGATGTACATGCATTAAAAATTGCTTAAATTAACGCTAATAGACGAATTGAAAAAATAAAATACAAATTAAAAAACAATTTTTATTTTTTAATAAATAACATAAATATTAAAACAAAATATATATTTTTAAGTTAAATTGTTTTTATATTTTATCAGTCTCATCACAATAATCAAATAATATTTACCAAATCTCAGTACTTATGAACTTATTTTTTTTTAAATTAATCTATATATTTTTTTCCAAAATTTATTAAAAATTATGCAAATGATTACATATGGTGGCTCTATTTATCTCACATGTGTCAATTATGCATTAAAAATATAATTAATTATTCTTTTGAAAATTTTAATTAGATGTATTATTTTTTTAAAGATTCGTGAAGTATTGGCTAGATCACTTCCACCAAGTTTTCTTCCCGGAACTACGAGTATATATTCATTACCACCAACAACAGCATCTATTTCATCATGCGACAACGATACAGTTTCACACCAAAATATGTCTACTTCTACTGATTATAAAAAGTTATATAATGATACTCTCAATGAATGCAATATTCTAAAATCTGAAAACAAGCAACTTTTAAAAAAAGTAGAAAAAAAAAAGAAGGAAAGTAACTGGACTAGAGATAAAGTAGCCAATGCTTTTGCACTAATGTACCATAGTAAAAGAGCATATGAATATTTAAAAAATGAGTTACATTATTCACTTCCTGGTAAGTCAATTTTTTTAAATTTTTAGTATGTTTCTTACTTCATCATTATTTAAATTTTTTTCAGAAATGTCATGTTTTCAACAGTGGGCCAAAGCAATAGTGATGAATAATGGTCTTATTGAAGACGTTCTGAAAATAATGAAACTGAACAGTGAAAATCTTAAAGACCACGAAAAACTCACAGTGCTTATGTTTGATGAAATAAAAGTCTATAACATATTCAATAAAACGAATGATAAAGTAATTGGTCCATATACCAATATGCATGTAGTCATGGCTCTAGGCATTGCGGCAAATTGGAAACAACCAGTTTTTGTTGATTTTAATGTAAATATGACTAGAACTATTTTATATGATATTATTGATAAACTGGATGATGTAGGTTATAAAGTTATATGTTGTGTTTCTAATTGTAGTAACAAAAATATGGAACTTTGCGATCAATTAGAATTAACTTATAATAACCCTTACTTTTTTATTCCTAATGGACGAAAAATAATGTACATTCCTGATTCACTTAATTTACTGAAGCTTGCGCGTAACTGGTTATTAGACACTGGTTTTTGTTTAAATGGATTAGAAATAAATAAAAAACCATTAGAAGCACTAATAACTAAGACATCAGCAGAAGATATACATCTCCACTTAAAAGAAGAACATTTAACATGTGAAGGGCCTCAACGGGAAAATTTTAAACTAGCTAAGCAACTTCTATCACATAATACAGCTATAGCGCTCCAACACTATAGACCTATTGATGATTGTCAATTAATAAATAATACAGCTGAATTTATTAAATTAATGAGTGATTGGTTTAATTTAACTAATGTTTCTCAGATGAACGATAGTACTCCGTTCAATTCTCCATTTGGAATGTTTTTATATGATCAAAATAAACTTTTGAATGAAGTTTATAATATTGTAAATTTGATGAGATGTAAAGGAAAAAATTATACAAATCTACAAAACTTTCAAAAAGGCATTCTTATGTACATCAACGGAATTAAACAGCTTCTTCCAATTTTAAAAGAAAATGGCTTAAATTATTTATTGACAGCCAAAATTAATAAAAGTGCTCTAAATATTCTATTCCATCAGATATATTCTATAGATAACTTCCCATCACCATTGAATGCAGTACACATATTAAAAATGATAACTTTAGGAAAATTTACAGACATTCCTAATGAATCAAATATAATGGACAATAAACATGAAGAAATTATGGTTGCTCAAGTATTAAAATCGGTTAACATACATTTTAACGATGAAGACGACAAAAAAGAAGACAGTGAGCAAAGTGACTCGGATACAATAGGAGAAAATGAATTAATAATCACAAAAAAAGATGAAATGGAACTCAGTGCAATTGAGTTTTTAGCAGGTTGGGTGGCTTTAAAATATAAGTCTAAAATTCCTGAAATCGGATGTATGACAGTGTCTAATGAATCAAACAAAGATATGATACCTTCATGGATGAACCACTTATCATATAATGGATTAATGATACCGAGTAATGATTTTAAAAATATTATTTTTCGTGTTGAACGGCTATTTAATAAATTTACAAAACATCAAATTCCTAAATGTTCAAATGCTAAATTGACAAACAAAATTTTCTCAAGGATGTCAGTTGAAAAAAAATTTAAAGGTGCAATTCTAACCTATATTAAACAAAGAATTGTTATACAAATGAAATATTCTAATTACTGCACTCAATTAAAAAAAAAACAAAAAACAAAAAAAAGAAATCCAACAACTAAACTAATTAAGTAAAGTAAATGACCTGCTCAATTAATTGTATTATTTTTATTCTATTTTAAATATTGTTAATTTTTTTTTATATTCACTATTTTAATTGCTTATAATTACTTCGTATTGGTAAACTTCTTTAAGAAAGTATAGTACTTGTATGTGTTGTCTCCATTTTACTTATATACATCATAGCAAATTTAATAAATTTAAGTATTTATTAGCTTTAATATTAGAGTCAGTTTACCTATTATAAAACTTAAAGGTAAGAATATTACTTAGAGCAGGGGTTCCCAACCTTTTTATCATCGAGTACCATCAGACACTTTTATAATCAATACGCGTACCACCTCAATTTTAAAACTAAATTAGGAGTCAAATTTTTTTAGCGTATATTTTTATTATTCATTCAATTCTTTACATTTTTATTATTTGATATTTATGAAAGTAAAAAAATCATAATTTTTAGTTAAATCTAAATATTTAAATTTTAAATTACAATTTTCAAATTAATAAAAAAAAATAATAAATATAAATAATAATAAAATTAAATAAATAAAATTAATGTGATATTTGTTGTTGTTTATTTTTCACAAGGTCATCAATATACCATATTATATAAAATATAATATAAATAACACAAACGTTAAAACACTTAAAACTATAAGAATGCGCTTTATCGATAAGAATAGAGTATCTAAAATTCTAAATTGCTACGATTACAAACCCCATGTTATCGACATTAAATTTATTTTGATAAAATAATAATTTTATAAAATTAGCTAATATCAAATAAACTAAACTAAATAATATTGAATGCAAATAGTAATAAAAAAATTTCTTCGCGTACCACCTATGAGCCTTCCGCGTACCACTAGTGGTACGCGTACCACGGGTTGGGAACCTCTGACTTAGAGTATCACATAGGTTTTATTGACATTTTCAGGGTGTTTTATGAATATTTTTAAATTTTAATATTTTACATAGCTATAACTCGGTAAGAATGAAAATAATAATAAAAATCTAAGTGATGCTTTAGTTAATATTCTTATCTTAAAGTCTTATAATAGGTAAATCAATTTAAAAATTGTTGAAGTTTATAGAATACCTAATATGGATTCCGCAGAACACTAATTTTCTATATTGTACATTAGTAAAAAGAAAACAATACATGCATGTACAGTATTCTTTTTACAAAATTAGCATACAGTGGTTCAAAAATGAAAATAGTTGATAAACTATTCTAGTTTTTTTAAAAACCTTTAAAATAATGTATTGTATATTTATATAATATATTTCATCAATTATTAAGCTAATATTTCATATCACAGTTTAATGAATTATTTAAAAGCCTATTTTTTGAATATAAATCAAGTTAAATATATACCTATAGGTACTTAGATTAGTTTCCTATTTTATTGAGTAGTATGTTTTACTATAACATGTTTTAACATTTCTTGATACTTTATATTTTATATTTTTAATGTTTATTTGTATTAATTTTAAATGTTCAAAATATAATTCTGTACAATTTTTTTTCTCTTTTTTTACAATAAAATACATAGTTAATGTAAAGATATTCATGATTTTGATTTTTTTATAATTTGTCGAATTTAAGTCATTATACATAATATAAAAAAAAAATTGAATAAATTTCATTCAGTAAAATATTTGAGTTTCAAACTTCAGATGTTTACTTTTAATAAATTAGCTAATTGCAAATAAAAGCAGTTAATGGTGATTTTTCAATCATTTGAGTGTGGTTTACTTTAAGGTGTTGACTATTTGTACTGTCGTGTTACTCCGTGAAAAAATATATTTCCTTTTTTTATTCTTGAGAGAGTACAAAAATATGAATGATGTCCTCTATTTTAATATTTTATTGGAATCTAACAAATTATTTCAATGTTAAAGAACATTATTTCTAGATGAAATATAACATGCATAAAAATTGTTTGTCAAAACTACTTTTATGAAAAGAGAAAAGGTTTTATCGATTTCAATAATAATGTTATAGATCTGCCTAATAATATTTTGTCATTAGTTTTAAAGTTCACATACCTTAGATTAAATAAAAAATGTTTTTACCTTTTTAATTTGGGTTTAAAAAAAAAAGAAAAATGTATATTTAGATGATTACTTTATTATTTGCACAAGTTGTATGATTTTCTAAATAAAAATCCACAAAAAAAAAAAATAATATTAATTACTATTATTATAAATATGCATTTTAATATAATTATGAATTTATATAGTTGAAATAAGAAAGAACAAGTAAAAATGTATGTGTCGTATTTGGAGGAGAAACTAAGTTGTATGCTAAGTAAGAGATATAAATCTGGAAAGAAGAAGAAGTAAAAAAAAAGCTAAAATAAGAAGCAAGTCGATATAATGGAAAATTAGATGAGGACAATATTTTTGTCAATTCAAGTAAAATTACAGATCGTAATATCTTCAAAATATATTTTTGTAGATTGCATATTGGACTGTTACCTATCAATTAAGTCAATATAGATAAAATAACAGATTGTCTTTGTTATAACTTGAATTTTACCAAAATAAAATGTTCTAAGAAAATTATTATAAACAATATAATGGACTTAAAAAAAAAATACATGCGATCTATGTGTAACATTTGAATGATACCAAATATTTTAAAATTGTATTATAATTTATAATATATATTGTTTAAAATTTATTTTAACAAAATGTCTGAAATATTTACTTAAAAAATAAGTATAACAAAATATGCACTTAAAAGAAAATAAGAGCTGAATATACAAAATGAGCAAAATAAAAAAAATCGTTTTAAACTTCTAGTACAAAGAAACAAATTTTTATATAATTGAGCTTTGTTTTGAATGATTATTGAAAAATATGCCAACTTCTATAAGTTCCAGCTTTAGTTGTGGCCTATAGAATATAAGTAATCCTTATTATACTAAATTGGTTGGCATACAATTTACAAAATATTCTGATATCAATGATTTATAATAAATACATTTATTTTTAAAGTATCATTCCAGGAATAATATAATAAGTTTATTTTTAAAATGGTAATTAAATAACAATATTAAATGAATATAAAGAGAATATCATATTTTAAATAAGTTTATGTAATCTCTTAAAGAAAATTATTCTAATAATTCATGGAACAGTTGTGCTATGTTTAGAGTTTTTTCTATGAATATTTATGTTTGTTGAGAAAATAATGAATACCTCCACAAATTGTATATAACTACTGCAAGTATTGGAAACAATGGAAACCATACTAAAATTACTTACATGATATCATAAACTTAGTTTGGATATATTTTTCATAAATATATATCATGAATTCGTGCTCAACACGTAAGACAAAATTAAAAGGTAATAACTTATACAATAATAACCTCTTAAAATATATCAATGCAACAATATATATAGCAAATATACATTTTTTTTGCATGTGGAACAAGTATTATCACTAAGTACTAATCAAACACTATTCTTATTAAAAAAGCTTGGCAAACACCATACTATTATAGTATGTCTTTCAATGAAAAAAAATGCAAAAATTATTGATTAGGTTGTTGTAAAACGTCTTTTGATTTCATAATAGATTCTTTATTTGTTTACTCTCTGTGTCCTGTATCTAATATTTATATAATTATATTTATTACTACCAACTAGTAGCATTGTGTGTATGCCATAAAACCATATGAGTATTTTTATTTTTTTGTTAAGTACCATGTTAAGTATTTTATTATTACATTAAATTCTAATACTGTAATAATATTTATAATTTTAAATATGTATTATTATTTTATGTTTATTTAAAAACAAATTGTAATCTATTGTATTAGAATGTATATTCATGTTTTTCCATGTATATAATCTATTTTATCTGGACTATATTTGTTTGTGGCCATGCACAAGTCATTTCATATTTTGTCAATTAATTGTACACCGTTTCGTGTATAGTACACTACTTAATATAATTAATATGAAAAATGACATTTTGGGTTTAGATAGGAAAAAAAAACAACATAAATTTATGATATAGATATGATAGAATATTTAATTATAATTTCAATTTTTTATACAATTAAATGATAATAATATAACTAATTTGAATAAATACAAACAAGTGCTCTTTCAAAAATGTGAAAAAAAATTTTTTATTTAAAAAATGTAAAATATGTTTATCCATAAGTAATTGTATATTATTAGAAGCAAACATATTTCCTTTTAAAAATGAATTATTTTTTTTCTCCTCTTTGCTTGCATATTGGGCAAAACCATTTTCCTTTGGGCTTAGTACTCAATTTAACACATACAAAGTGAAACCATTCAATAGGACACTAAAATAATAAAACCAGACAATTAAAAAAATTATACTTTATAAATATAAAACAAAACAATATTTATAATAAAAATAGAACAATATAAGACATTTAATTTTAAAAATATAAAACACTATATTTTCTAAATAAAAGAAAAAAATGTAGGATATTGGATAGCATATGCTGTTAGCATAATATATGTCAAGTGGATTACTATAAAGGGTGTATTAAATTTTAATTCTGAAATATTGTATTCAAAAATGATTTTAAGTTGAGACTGTTAGCCTATGTTAATATAAACATCAAGTGAAGATTTCAGATATCTATGGTTATTAGTTTTTAATTACACTAAAAAATAAAATTGATTTTGTCAATAACTGGTTTAAAGTAATTCCCTCTTTTCTTTAATTTTTTTGTATGTTTCTTTTAGTTATTTTGAAAAATGTAAGAAATTTTAAATTTGAAGTCTTTCAAAGTATAAAATTAGTTCACTCTGGTTCTATAATTCACCCTTAAATTTGGTTAGTGTAGAATTTTTTCAATTATTTATCAACTTACAAGATACAGACACAAAAAAAGAACGAATCATTATAAAATCAATAGATAATTATGAATAATAATTAAATAAAAATTACAAGACTTACATCCGGGTTATCGCAGCCGATCATTTGACCAAAGGAAACTTGGTTACATAAGCAAAACTTTGGCTCATTTGGATCCACAGGCATGTCGAGTATTTGGGCCAGGTTAGCAGCTTCGGCACCAGCCAATACACCAGTCTCTGCTTTACGGGTAGAAGCAATCGGTTTAGTGTTACCACCAAGCAAAAGTGTTTTGCTATGTACTGCAGCACTTGCTGTTTTTTTACCCCCTGAAAAATGTTGGTGATTTTAATTCATAATACAATATAATCAACTCAAATGATATTAGAATTATATTGTTCACAAACTTTTTTCCATTTTTTTTCTTTCTCATAGCTCTCTTCTCCTCAGTTCTTTTAAGTCCTTCTGAAAGAAATACAAATGAGAGAAAAGCTTAACATCACTATCATTACATTATATGTTACAGAACACTTACTTTTAAATGAACTTTCGTCCGAATTTTCTGGGACGTTTGTGACTTTATTTTCGATTTTGGTGTTAAACTGGGCCAAATTTGAATCAAGTTTTCTTATACAATCATCCACCTGAAAGGTACAAATTAGTATAAAAATTCTTGGGTTATATGGATAATTCGAAGACAACATACCAATGCATATGTTTGTATAGCCAGTTGCACTTTGTCATCGCTAAATTCTTTGGCTTTCTCAAACTGACGCTGTATGTTGTCCATTGAATGGTTGTTTTTATCCGATAAGTATTTTTTGGATTTAAAATAATCGTCCGTCATTTTATCAATGCCTTGCATCACATTGTGTGTTCCAGAATCGAGGTTACGCATCAGAGTGAGATTTTGACGTAGTATGGCAGGCAAGTCCTCTAAACCTAAAATGTAATTTTTGTTATTATTTCATTGAAATATAAAACCGAAAGATCGTTTACTAGTTAGAAACTCATCCATGTTTGACGAAGACGATGACGCTGAATTCATTTTTATTACTTTATGATCTATCCGAAATTGCTAGGAGAAAAAAAAAATTAACTAAGACGTAGAACGCAGTTTTTACTTTATCGTCTTACTAAATAGTATGGGTTTGACACAACAATGATTTTTGTGATATCACGAATTACGAGAATTTTCTAAAGCTTTTACAATCATTTTCTATAAATCAGACTTGAAGCATGAAAAAGCTGGTAACACTGTGAAAATCATATGATTTCTAAAAAGCTAGAATGAACAATGTCGTTCAAATCTAATGTTTTATTTTTTTATAATAGTTTATTAAAACGATCCCATCGGTTTTTATCAATGTCTCTTTACTTTGGAAGAGTGAAATGTATTATCTAGCACACTGCTACCCCCTTGCCTGGGAAGAGAATTTTCATTTGTATTGACGTCACTACCAATGAAGTAATGGTAGAGCAATCAGAACGAGGGGGGTGAGACTGAGAAGTAGTATTTTTTGCACCATGTCAGGTTTGAACCGATGATCGCGCGCGTCATGGCCAGATGTGTGACCATTGCACCACCACTGCCCATATGTTTTATGAAGAAACAAATAATGGGTGCGGTTTTTTACCATACATGTAGTTTTTGGGTAGGCCTGTTGAGTGGTCCTATCCCTTAGCTTGACTAGGTTTACAATATTTCGAGTTAAACAATTAAAAGTTTGTGGTTTTCATGTGTTAAAAGGTCATTATACTAAATCTATTGCATATCATTACTTAAAACTCCTTGAATGCTGTTTGCCTGGAACTGAGGAAGAAGGATGTTAAAGTGGTACAGGGAGGAAAGGGGGGCGTAGATATTTTGAGGGAAGATAATGTTAACACAGATGTTTGAAAAACGCACACTAAGCTCCTTAATTGAATGTGTCACCATTATGTGGCTTCTTTTATTAAAAAAAAAAAAAAATGATTCAATTTATTACTTTGATATATTATTTACACAAATAAAGCAATGACTTTAAATAGTGCTGTACTATTATATCAAAATAAAATATATTGTTAAAGGTACATTTTAAATTTCATACTACACACAATTTTAAGGGTTGAAAAAACTAATAAGTAATAATTGTATTTTTGTAAAAAGACACGTAACATACGATAATAAAATATGCTGTATTGCCTGTATTATTATTATAAATAACCTATCTCTATTGACATAATCACAACAAATTGTTAAATATGGGAAAACGATTTGAGATAATAATGATTATTGATCGCTGATAGCTATATTGCTGTAAATACATTATATGATACAATACTGTTAATAAAATAATTTCAATTATAAAAGTCTTAATATTTACAAGTGAACAAATTTCTGACCATGAAATTTTGGCACTTCTAAAATACTGGCGCCCGGGGCAGTTGTAGCCAGTGCCTCCCCCTAAAAGGGGCCCTATATCACGCACACAATAATCAATATGGTTTTATTTTTGTTATAATGATTATTAGTATTATCGAATGTGTCTTACGAGTTGTGAATATTATAATAGTTTATGTAGATATTATATTTGCCATTTCATCGTATGACGCAAAGTTTATTTGGTTTTCGGTCAGCACACTAATAAATTGTACTTTGTGTATTATAATCTACATAACTATTGAGATGAAAAACGTTATGAAATACAATAATTAAATTGAATATAATTGGTATACCAATAATAATTATATCATTTAAATGTCATATCTAAATAGTTTTTGAAACATATAATATTAGTATTATATTTTATAGACTTTTTACAACCGAATAAATTGCGATAATATCCGATAATAAAGTTAATAATGGTTTAGTAAGTGTGAGTGAGTTTTTTATTATTAAAGACGAAAGTATAATAATATTTTTATTCGTAGTTCTATCGCAGCGTTTCTCGATCAGCGTGTCACGAAGTATGCCAAGACAGGTAAAATAATGACACAAAATGTACAAACATTTTTGATACGATTTACAAAAGCTGATTTAGATATTCGATATAATATTCACGATGATTAAAAGCAAGCTATCTGTTATTGACATGTTTCATATAACCAATTAAAATTAGATATTATCAAAATTCTTAGTCCTTAGTCTTATTTTTTCTATTGTGTGTCCCGAAAGTACGAAATATTTCAATGTTATGTCGCCATATCACCAAAGTTGAGAAACACTGTTCTATCGTCTCGCGTTCATATTTCCATATATTATCGTTACCTATAATATATCATAGAATGATCAATGCTCGTAAAACTACATCGGAGTACCAATATACCGACGTTAATCGAGTCCTACGTAAAATATGCGTTGCGTCCGACGAAAAACAAAACGGCAGCTTTTATTTGGCCGCATAACGGACGCAACGGAGTGGGCTGAACAGCGCAGTCAAAATACAAAGCACGCGGACTCATCGCATTTGAGTTGGACAGGAAAACCGGGATTCGGGTACCAGGGACCTATTCGGCAACGACTAGCGCCGCCTTGAACGTTCTGGTCGGACGCGCATCACCGCGAAGCTGGTCGTCACCGATGCGTGGTTTATGAGACCCTGTAACCAAACACCATTTGTTTGGTGATCCGAAAAACGGCAGAACAACGACGACCGGGAATGGCGACCGGTGCGGACGGTGCTCATTGAAATGGTAACAAAATACATACAATACGATACGCCAAAGCGTGTCACGATACGTTTTCACGGCGTTACACGAGCACATATTAATACATAATAAAACATGATATTTAATACAATGTTCGCGGTAAAGTATATTTTGCCACAGTGACAATAACGAACAGCAAAAACAGTTATTGTAAGTTGTCATATTGATATTATAGGAAGCTTATTTCCATGTATTATAGTCCATTTATACTCAGTGTTTGTTATTATATAAATTATTGAGTTTTAGTTAAAAGTTATCTTGCATGGTGAAGGTACAAATGTACAATACATATTAATATGATAGTATACAACGTATAATTGGCTTATAGAATTTAAAGCTTTGCTGTTTTAAATATTAACAACGAAATACCTAGTTGACTATAGCAACCAGATAATACATTCGTTTATAATAAATTAAAATTTTAAAAATTAAATTTTAATCGTCTATAAAAAAAAATTAATCCAGCAAAAATTTACATTTTATCTAACTCAAACAATTAGAGAGGCACGATTAATTATTAAATAATGGCATTTAACTGTAAGCGGATAGCTAAGTCTGAAGGGTGTTGCCGGCAAGACAAACAAATGATGAGATGTGCAACGACTGCTCTAAAGCAGATGAAAGATATGTTTGAAACAGCTTGGTGTCCGGTTAAAGAAAAATCGGACAAACAATTGAAAGGATACAATGGTTGTGTAATAGATCCTGCATGTAACATCAAAGAATGTCCATTTCGCGGAACTGGTGTGGCGCCTAACGTAAGTATAAATAAAATGATTATAAATTCGTAAAAATATAGTTATAACCTTTAATTCTATTAAGATATTAAGCTTGCATAACGTCAAAATTATTTAAGTCACAGAATAATTTTAGAAAAAAAATAATATGTTACACAATTTAGGTATGTGCTATTCTTATCTAACTGACAATTTCTTTATAAAAGGATAAAGGGTTAATACCATATACGTATAATCAAAATTAGTTCGATTGGTTAAGTGATATTTGATTTGTACGCAATCGTTGTATAGGTTTTACAGAACTATTGCACAAAAAGCATCGAGAAAACCTTCGGCGGGCAATCAGACCGTGACGCCATGCGGCTGTTGCCAGGCGAAGTAGGCCTGCGTGGTGACCGTGCCACGTTCTCTTTGGTTCGTGGCGACTGCTTAGGGTACGACAACTATAGTACCGGTGGCGGCGAAGTGTACTACAACATACGTCCGAACGTAAATCAGTTTGCGGATGACGAAGAAGTTATCTACGTCGATAGCAACGATCTGCAGGAGCAAGATCAAGAACAGGATCAGGATCGGAATCAAGAGCGTGATCCGGAACAGGATGATAAAGAGAACGACAATCAGCAGGTGGAAGAGTTAGAAGAACAACCATTGTCAAACGAACGCAAGCATGTGATGGAAGTGTTACCTAAGTCTGTGAAACCAAAGCTGGGACCAGTTACCGGGCTGCCTGTCAGCGATGACGAGCACGTGTTCGTTCTATGGCTGGGGAAGCGACCGGGTGAACCTGACGAGAAAGCCCGGCTGCAGATCGAGGTGCGCGTGCCCAAATGGGTACCAGATTCAGAGGAGGAGACATCTGAAACAATGCTCGCGGAAGAATTACCTGAAGTTACGACGAAACCGATAAAAGAAAAAAAGGCTAGTAGCTCCAAGAAGTCCGGCAGATCCAAAAAGTCTCGCAACTCCAAGAAGTCCGGCAAGAATAAACAGAAATAAAATCTATGAAAAGTAAGAATTTTATCACGCGTGTATATTATAGTTTGTGCCTCCGCATAGGTACTTTGTGTCCCGTTAAAAATAATTGATATTCAAAACTTAAAAAAAAATAAATTTTCTTATAATTTATATTTAAATAATGCAACGCCGACATTGAAACGCATATTATTTATAAATTAACTAAAAATAAATAATTTATAACTAAAATGGTAGAATAAAGTTATATATTTATATATCTGCCGTAAAAAGTTTATTTTAGAGATATAGACCATTAACCAGATCTCTTATAAAATAAAAAGTTAAAGTATATAAACAACCGAACTCAAATAGAACAAAACGTGATTATACAAATATGTGTTAATCGCGACGTTAAATGGCTGTTAAAACTGAATTAAAATACTGGTGAATAACATTTCCAATTATAAATAGTTTTGATAATTACTTAATTTTCTATAAACAATGAGAACTTCACATAAAATAATCGTTTTTCGTTACCCTACAAATCTTTTTGTGAGTCTCTCTTTAAATACGAATTTTGATTAATCCTTTCCAAATGTGAATTTGCGTTATGAAATTAAGATATTGCCTAAACTCAGGGCCGTGTTTAAGAATGTGGAGGCCCTAAACCCACCCTTATGAGTAGATATTATTTTTCGATTACATATATTTAATATATTGTTATAAGTGAATTTAATTTAATAATATATTAAAATTTACTGCAAAACAATATTTTATTAGAAACTATGGTTTAAAAATATTTGTAATTAAATATTAAAATAAAAATAATAATAAAATGTGATACAAATGTAAATTATATTAATTAGATAAATAATTCTAATTGTCATTATTGTCATTTGCACTCACCAACTTAGAATACTATCCTAACCTAACCTGACCGTCTTGAAAAAGAAAAATAGCAGGTCACTTTTGGAATTTGGGAAATAATATTTACCTTCTACTTTTAACTTTCTTTCCTTTGTCCACCAGAAGTATAATATATGCAAGGCGTTTTATGACGACCGTCGTATTATTTTGGTGAATAAAAAATTTATGACTATAATAATGGAGTAAAATATATTTATATTATTTTATAAGTAATTTTTCAGTAGTTAAATCAAAGAAAATTTTTAAATTTATTAAATATTTTAGTAATATAAAATAGTAACGTTTTCACAATAAAATACATCTTAATCATCGACGACGACTAAGAGATTTTATAGGATTTGATAGATTGTACAATTTATATAAAATACGAGGCACAAATTTCATTAAATTATTTCGAAGTTATTTAAAATAAATTATACAAAATTAAATTTTTCTTATGTGAATTTACCGCGTGCTTACTGTAAAAATTTTTTTTTATCGTTGCAAAGAGAAAGTTTTGGAACTATATTTTCAAGTTTTCACTTCATAATACTATTTAATACACTTAACTAACTCCGATAATTATCATGATCAAAATTTTACCAAAATATACTTGTGTAGTTAAAGAGTGTACACGTCTACCACATCAATGAAACCTTTATCAACATTATCATAAAATGTTTTTATTTAAAACTTATTCAGAACAGCGGTCAGGCGGCTTGCTATACAAGTTATATTATGTATTTATTTATAACTAGGGCTAGTATTTAAATGTAATAAAAAAATTTAAAACATGCATTTGGCTTTTTAAAAATATGCAATTAATATACACTAAAAAAAAAAAAATCATACATTTTAAAATAATAAAATAATATTCTTAACTATTCACGCTTTTTAAATGTATTATATGAAAGAATTACATGGTGTTTTAAATTTTCAAAACTAAACGAGCTTCTGTTAAACCTTTAATATAAGTGTTTTTGAGCTACGTTAATACATACTGTCACGAGATAAAAACGTCTAGTAACAAAATATACCATATAACATGCATTTTTTTCCAAAATATACAAAATAAAAACACCACTGTTTATCTCATCATGAGGTGATTCGTGGATATAAATGACAAAAGTAACACTTTGGAGGATCTAAAGGCCAATCCTATACAGAAACGTGGAACAACAGACTGGTTTGATGCAGCGAGCATAACCTGGGATAGTTATGGAACGAAACTGAGTAAGAGATCATCCACCACTAGAAAGTTCTTGTTACAGCCTGCTGACAAATGAGATGAGCAACAAAATATTATTGCTATGAGAGAGGAACAACCTTTCTTATAAAATATTGTATCAAAATTGTTTTTATTATTACCAAATTAAGTAATGGGACACTCTACGTTCATTTTTTACGTATAATGCGAAATAAATAGTTAAGTTAAAAAGAAAGGTGTTTTTACTACTTATTAATTGATATTGGTTATATTATATTTTATTTTTTTATATAACTTATAATTTTATAATATGTACCTGGCTGTACACCCACATACCATGATAAATTATAATTTGAACGAAAGACACTTTTATAAACGATGTTAGGTAAGTCAGTAAGTGACATTTCGAGAAGTATCGATGGGTAATTAATACTTATTGATTTAAAGTTTGAACAAAATCATATTATTTCAAAAACAATTAAGTCCATCTTTTGTTTTTCTTTATCTTCAGTTTTTACTATTCATACTAGTAATATAACTGATTTACAAAGAGAAGTAGTCTGTAAGTGTAAGTGTTCTAAAATATAAGATATTAGTTATATTTGAATTAGTAGATACAATATTAAAGATTGAAATACAATTTTTTTATAATATGCACACTTCATATTAAAGAACTAATATAAAAGAGCCTTAAGAACTTTGTCCCCATCTTTATACCATAAGGGAGAGTGTGGTAAGTTGACGAATCGATTATATTTCTTAACAAATTATGATATCATTTATCGATTACATACATGATATTAAAAACAACCATCGAGATAAGAATTTTTTTACATTCTTATAAAGCACATACAAATATGCATTTTGAAAAAAAAAAATTTAAAAAATTGATAGGTTGTTAAACTAGAATTATGCCAAATGTATAATGTCTAACATAATTTGTAGGTATTTATAAAATCTGTTTAAAGTAAATTACCAATTGGAGAAATTGTACAGTGTTGCCTTTAAATTGCCCATTAGTACAAACCAAATGCAGCACATGAAATAACCATATTATTTTCAATTAATTTAATGTTACAAAATAAAAATATTTTATAACCTACACAAGGTAAAAGTCAAATAAATTTGAAGTAAAAGTATAAAAATAAAATTATAGTAACAGTCACACAGGTCTAAATAAAATACGAAAATAGGGATGTATTACAAATGCTTTACTATATTATCGTTATTTTTTTTTTGTACGGTGGTGGGGATAATATTTTAACTGGCTAACCTTTCTTGGTGTCTGTACGCACCCCACTATTCGTGTCTATTTTGATAGGAACAACTTATATATCAATTTCTAAGTTATTAGGATAAGAATTAAATTGTTTATACGAGTTATTCTAACCACGTTTTGACAATATTTTTGGAACATTTACCGTTAAGGAATTTTTGAATTACCGTAAGTATAATTATTAAATCGAGTTTATACTTTGGAAAGTACATGTTCTATGCTATATTTTAAATGTATTTATGTAGAATATAACAAGTTATATGTGCCGATAAATAATTAAAAGTTTAAAAAGAATGTGTGGGGAAAGATGACTTGGGTAAATTGATGATGTAAAATAAATATACAACAAAATCGTCAACTTACACAGTTACACCAGTACATTTTATAAAAGTATTCAATTTATACAAAAATTATTTGTTAGGATCATAATGGTGACAACGTACAAGAAAAAAACCATAAAAACGTGGTCGCCCGATACAATAAAGAAAGCAATAGATGAACATAAAAGTGGAAAATCGACATGCTATGCTCTTGCAAGACGGTATAATATTCCAGAAGCTACTCTTCGACGGTATATTAAAATTAATCAAAAGGTACCTAAACAGTGTAATGTAACTTTTTCATGTATTTAAACAAATGAACTGTGTCATTTGTGAATTTACATATTATTGAATATATTTAAAAATAGTATGATAAATGATTAGCACTATGCACAGATTTAAAGTTTAAATCCAAAAAAATTATTACATTTATATATCCAGTCATATATTATATTATATAACAAATGAATATTGAATAAGTTTATTAGGATTATGCTATACATAGTGGTCGATTTAGAGATACATTTTTCTCAGAAGAATAAACACAATTAGCTAAATACATCTCTGACATTAAACATAAAGCTTTTGGTTAGACTAAATTTCAATGTCAAACATTGGTGTATGATTTTGCTTAAAATAATGGCATTGTACATAATTTAAATAAAGAAATAAAATTAGCTGGTTAAGAATGGCTTAAGAAGTTTATGAACGATTTCGGTTGTAGTCTTAGAACACCTGAGTCAACATCAATTAGTCGATTAAAATATATTGAATAGAATAAATGTAGACTTATTTTTAACTTTTTAAAAGAAATAGGATTACAAAATAATTACACAGCACATCAAACATATAATGTTGATTAATCAGGGTTGTCAACTGATCTAACTAAGGCAACCAAAAGTTTTTCACCATTAAGCACAAAGTGGGTAGGAAAAGTTTCATCTAAGGAAAAGAAGTAAAAATATAGCAGTTGCATGTGGTATGAAATCTTTGTTCCCCCCTTTTTTCATCTTTCCAAGGAAATATATGCATCCAAAATTTATGATAGGATCTCCTTCAGGCAATAAAGGAATAGTGCAATTTCATGTTACATTTTGTATCATTTTGTAAAATATGTTAGACCCAATATTGATGGTTCTATTTTACTAATTCTAGGTAATCATGCTTCGTTTTCTACCAAATACTACTCATAAACTACAGCCTCTTGATGGTTTTTTTGGGGTGGGGGGGGGATCTCTGAAATCATATTATAACCAAGTATGTAACAACTACATGATATCTAATGCTGGACATATTATAACGGAAACACTAATTGATCATTTATTTGAAGAAGCATACTCGAGAGTTGCTACTTTAAGAACGTCTTTAAATGGATTCAAGGCATGTGGGATTAAATCATTTAATCTTTTGATTTTTCTGATGAAGACTTTGCTCCAGCTGCTACAACAAATTTAAATCTCATAAGAAACGCTAATCAATTTTAAGACATTTATTTGTGAAATATGTATCTGTTAAGTATTTTATTTTAATTTTATTTTTACCATATACTAAAATGTATATTAGTTGTGTTAAATTTGTAATTGTTAATACTTAATTTTTACTGATAAAAGTTCCTAAGAATTAATATTTTAAGAACCTATTATTTTCTTTTTTAAATTTATTAAATAATTATGTTGTTAGTTTTGAGTTTTCACTAAATAAAGGTTAATGAATAAAGTGTTTTAAATTATTTTGATTTGTTTAATCATGATTATTTATTTAAATAATAGGTTGATTATCTAATAATTATCATTTTTTTTTTTTTTTTAATTTAAATTTAAATTTTCATTATGCTAACTTTTATAATATGTTTAATATTATCATACATAAAATAAAATTAATAATTATTCTATATTTTATTGATTTATCAAATGTATTTAATAAACCCTTTAATATAAAGTTTTGAAATTATTACACATTATTCTTGATATTTAAGACAATGCTCATAAAAAAATTTTAAGATTTTCTGATTATTATTTATTAATGTAATTATCATTTAAACCTTAGATTTGTCAACTTACCATGCTCTCCCCTACACATAAACGCAAATTAACCGGTAACTATTTTTTTAAATATTTATTTACATAATTAATTACAATGATTGACAACATCACAATAAAAAGTACTATAAGCTTGAAAAAATTACCAATGCATAATTACAAACAATAAATAATACAGTTAGATTATACATAAAGTAATGCGTTTATTCGCCACTGTTTATCTTGTAGTATTCTCATACAAATCGATGTGTATCACAACAAAATTTAATCAAATATAAATTAAACATAATTAACATATATTATACAGTCAATTAAGACAAGTATTATATTTTTAAAACAAATTACTTCTATAGAGACAACAATTATTGAATATTAATATTTAATTAAATATTAATTGTATCTGTTTCAAGAGATTTTTATTTTGAAGTTAAACATTAATTATATTTTCTTTTTTCTTATAGAATTCAACCCCAGCAGAATTAAAAACTCTAGAACAATTTTCCATTGGTTTGCAATCCTCTAGCCATAACAGGTAATATACATATTTTTTTTTATTTACTCATTAAAATACTACCATTTAGTTTTAATCAATTATTATTATTTAATTCTGAAACAAATTATGAAGCTTCAGTTCAAAGACAAACTCAGTTAATTAGAATAATATGTAAATTAAAATATTTATAACTATAAATATGATTTTTGTTAATTTTAAATTAAATTATTTCAACAGTAACCAAATCCCTACAACATCAAAAGATATGGCAATGTCAACTAATATGAAACCAGATATGCTACGAGTAAATTTATTTTTAATATATTTTTTAAATATTTTATGATAATTAATTAATTACATTATAGGTGAGATTAGATAAACTAGGTGAAATTCCTTCAACATCTGACAGAGTCTGTATTGAATGCAAAAATTCATGTTTATTACATGAAAAGATTTGTGCATTATGTCGTTTACAGAAATTGCCAGGTCTTATAGTAACACAGATTAATATGCCTGGTAAGTTAATTTAGGCTTAAGGATTTTAAACTATTTAACAATAAATTTATTATTATTAAGTACCTCCATGAGTTCTTTAAATTCATTCAGAAACGAACAACCATTAGAACCTGTCAATGCTACAAGTCAGGAAAAAAATTCCTAAAGAAAAACAAAAAACGCGAATTATAATTTACAGTTTATAAAGAGTGAACTATAAACCATTTAACAATAATAAAAATATTAATTAGTTATAATAATATTAGTGGTGAAGCTGCTTACGAGACAAAGACATTGTCTACCCATTTTTATTTTAAACTGATTGCTTTGTATATATATATTGTCAATTTGTGTTTTAATTTGTATTAAAATAAAATGTTTTTATTAAAATTTATTGTATTTTATCATAGATAAATATTTTAGTTTATAAAATAAAATAAAATATATTTATATTTTTGGATATGCTGTTATTTAAGTTTTATTTTCCTTAAAATTTAAAATATATATATATATATATTATAAAATTAAATTTTTTTTTACTGATGTTTCCAAAAATAATTTATAATAAGAATATTTATTTTAAATTATTATATTTTTTTTTTAAAATCACTGTTTAATAATATGAATATATCTAAACATTGTTTATATAAATAAAAGAAAATACTTGCAAACAAACTAACAAATGATATTTAACTTTAAATTTCATACACAAAATACATCTGTAATATAATAATTACCTAGTAAAAAATTGTAACAAAATACCTATTATAATTATAATAAATATTATTTATAAATTATTAGATTTTATTTTAATCTGCAATTTAATATTAAAATATATATTATAATATAGAATAATTATAAATTATAATTAATGAATCTGCAGTAGATTGAAATAAGTTTAGTATACTAAATTCTTTATAGGTACTTACCAACAAATATTTTGTTAGATGTATATGACGTGCATGTTGCGACCGATCCAAATGATATTTATTTATTTTTTTATTTTGGGTTATTGACAATAGTCAGCAAATTTACAAGTTTTTTTAAACCAAGCTTTTTAGCTCCGCCATTCTCTTTTTTTCCCATAGTACTGTATTAATTATGTAATAATTATAGCTGTACTTCTACACTGAACACTGAACAACCAAATTTTTTCACACACGACTACACGAGGTTAGGTACGAGTAGACGAGTAGATGGTACTACGACAGAAATCAAAATCGTGGAAATATCAAGGCAATTCGTATCGTGCATTGAACATTTATACTATCATTATCATAGTATCATAGCTTTTATAGTCTCAATATTATTGTAATAACTATTTTAGGAATATGTTTCCTGGTATTCTCCAGTGGCATCGACCGCTGATACTTGATAGCATAGCGATAAATATAACATAAACTAGCCGACTAGCATATTATTGTGTAATAGTGTAATACGCAAGGAATCAAACTTGCATAAAATTATTAAAATTAAATATAATAATATAATATTTTACTTAAAACTTAAAAGAGTACTTACAAATAATATCATTAATATCTGTCTTTAAAAATATTTTTAATACAATAGGTACATATTGGGTTATTTTGTATGGGCCCGATGGATATAAATTATAAATATGACACCGGTCCACTATGCAAATGCACAGTAATAGTGTAGCACAGTGGCTCAGTCCGCCCCTGTACTCTGTAGGTACCCAAGAAATCCATCTCGTAATGAGCTTAGCCGATGGGTAAGATTATACGACTATGCGACTATGCAACGAATAATCTAAATTTTAAACTATTTGGACAAATGCGATAAGATGTAAAACGTCAATGATTTTTACTTGAAAGTTAATACCACAATTATCAGTTTTCAGTCGATTGTTTTAAAATTATAAAACTATCATCTATTACAATAAAATATCTAACATAAAAAAAATAATAATAAATAAAAATACTGTAAAATGCTGTTAATTATAAGAATATTATGATATTTAGTAATGTCAATTGGATACAATTTTAGATGAACTCAGTACAAAAAAACGCTAAATTTGTATGGCATTTAAAATTTTTTTTCACTTAGTTAAGTGTAATTGAGTGAGCACGTGCTATCTTTAAATTGTAGAAGTTGATTGTCGAAATTTCGACAATTAATACATTTTACTAATAAAGCTTAACAATAGATAAGACAAATATAATAATTTAACTTAATTAAAAAAGATGCAATTCATATTTTTTTAGTAGCTAAATAAAATTAGTAAGTGATTCATGTAAAAAATGATTGTGCTCTTTTTAATTTTTTAAATTACAATAAACATTTGTCTTTAACTTTAATTTCTACGATGTAGTATATTTTATTTACCTATATTAATGTTAAATTTAAATAATTATTAAAATGTATACATCTCAAATATCTAAATAGGTAAAAAAATTTAAAAAATAATAATGTTTTTTATCAAAAAACAATTTAAGATAAGTCATATAATATTAAAATAACGTTTTTAATTTAATATTTTTATACAAAATACTTTGTAGAAAACATTTTTTTTTTTTTAAAAAACTTTGAATCCAACTTCCAAGATATGGAATTAATTACTCAGTTAATAAAATATAATAAAAATTATATCATAATTTTTTACAAAAATTTAAAATAGTTTAAATCAGTAATTCAATAAATATAGTTGTAAATACGAACTATTTGGTAAAATCATATATTGTTTCAGGCCAACTCAGTGGCGCCGAACACGTACTTGAGGTGGTGCATTTGTACCACCTATAATATTGGTAGGTGGGTACTGGCCACTGGGTGTCTGGGTCCATATAGTTATGTATTATATAAATAGATCATGAATGTGTCGATTTATGTATAAAACAATATTTTATTAAAGTTTTATTGAAAATGTTGACTTTGAACTTAATTGGAAATAATATTTTGTGGGCGTCTAGGTATGAGTGGGTGGTGGGTGGGTGGTTAAAATTTGTGTTTGCACCACCTACTAAAAAGTAGTTCGGCGCCACTGGGCCAACTACTTAGCTAATAGTCATTACTTATAACTACTAATATTATATAGTATTATTTTGTCAAAAAATTAGAAACAGAAGACATATATAATAGTAGGTATTATATTATTTTTATTTTAAACTGAGTATTAGTATTTGAGTTTAATATTGTTTAAAGTAATTTAATATACAAAACCATTGAATAAAAAAAAAAACTCGATGGATTGTTTTTAAAATAACTGATAAAAGCTTAGTTATTTCAACGATAGATTTGATTAAACTGGTTAAGTTCTCAAGTTAATTTGAAAATAAACTAATCAAAAAGTTTCAAAAAAAATTGACTTTTTAACTAGCCTTCGGCTTTTTTCAATTGGTTAATGCGCACTCTTGTTGAAAATACTAAATCACGTTCGTGTGTACGAATAATATAATAATATTATATTATATTTCGCCGTATCGGACGCACCGCAGTACCGCACTGCGCGGCAGAACAGCATGGTCAGAATAGAAATCGCACAGACGCCACAGACTCGCCGCACCGTCGCTTCACGTAGGACACGGTGTGGCGAGTACGAACGATCGTACACGAACGATTTATTTTGTACGCCATATTATTCATGTTGGTATATTATGTAGAATAGAGCCCACCAGACAATCTGACCGAAATATCGTTTGTCAATAATTTTTGTTTCTACGGAGTACGGACATGGACAACGCTAAATATTTACGAAAAACTTATGCGGGAAAATCAATCATAGAAAGGCGTGCCGCGTGATAGATCTTTCATTGCTGTATTGAATGGAAAAAACGATAAAATAATGTTGCGAACGGCAATCGTCGTCTAGAGGAAACTAGTAAACAACGCGCGGGCTCCACAGTCCACACCACAGTCTATGTTTCTGAGTACCTATTTAAACGACGGAATTCTCACTAAGTCGACGTCAGTTATCGCGTTACATAAATCTTAAACAAACATTACCAATTAATTTTTTTTCCATTGAGCTATCGTATCTAAGCTAGGCGTGATAAAGTAAAATGTAATATTATGTTCTTACACTGCAGTAAGTACTATACCGAAACATAATGATTATTATGATATGATACATTACGAATAGTACTCATAAATCACTTACGCAGAATAGTTTACGACTGCCAATAAACATTATTACAGGCAAGACTGTACATAATCGTAAACGCGATTGCCGATTGTTTGATTCGGTTTTTATCGAAATATATGTTAGGGAAAAAGTAATATATAGCCATATAGGTACTATAAATGACGTCGACGACACGTCGGTTGTCGATAGAATATGCTTTTTAAGTTTTTTTACAATAAATGTTTAAAAACGATAACTGTGCAGTTTGTGTTTGATTTGTACTTTAACGATTAAAACGGGTTTGGTTTTTTATTATTATTGTTATTATTACTTTTCGTTTTTTGAATACCTATCCTAGGTTTACGAGATGATGATCAATTTGCGTAATCCTACAGGTAACAACTATATATATATCTATTTACTTAATTTATCATTCAGGCTCATTAACATGATTATCCTAACAACATGACATGCTTTTAATTGCCTACAATTACATGCCAGGTGTGATTAAAATTCGAAAGATACCAGGATTTTTTAATCCTTTTTTAAGTTTTCACAAATACAATACCTATTGTTAGGTTATTAATTCATTTTTAATTTAAATAAAAGATCGATAGCTTAATCGACAATAGGTTGGTGTAAATCATTATAGTAAAATTGACAAATAATTTTTCAAATACTTGTTCAATATTTTTTAGTACATACCATTATACTAAGTAGGTAGGTACGTATGTGAATATTTCTATATCGGTATTGATAGGTAGGTACATATTATAATTTGTATTATGTAGGTGAACAAATATATATATTATGTACATTTATTGTTTGTGAAGATGACCTTTGGTATTTGATATTAAGGTCATTAATAATTAATTTTATTATATTTACTATATTTATAAATATTATATAATATATTATTATTTTATAATCAGAACGAATGAGCAATGTAAAACATAGTAATATATTGTAACATATTTTGTAATTTTATACACACAATAAATAAGTATATCGTATTATCGTATAATTAAAAAAAAAATAACACATTTTATGAATATTTATTTAATTTTTGTCTTATAAATTGTTGTAAACTAATTAAAATAATTAAAAAATAAAATTTTTATTGTGTATAGAAAATAATAATATAATTTATAATTAATATGTAATGGAAAAATTTTAAGTAAGTATCTATAAATGAATAATTTATTCTTTGAGTTTCAAAAAAATATATACAGTAAAACCTCTCTATAACGGAATCGTTTGGGACCAATATTTTTTCCGTTATAAAGAGTTTTCCGTCATAGAGAGGTAGGAAATTATATATTATTTACACCGGGACTATTGACATTTTCCGTTATAAGGAGGATTCCGTTTAATAGAGGATCCGTTATAGAGAGGTTTTACTGTAAACCTATAAGAAGAAAAAAATAATTTTTTTATTAGGTATATCCGATTTCGTCAATATTTCAATTTCAAAAGTTCATAATGTAATTTAACTGTAGATTTTTATTTTTAATTTGTAGTAAGAACAACTCATTTGAAACATTGCATAACTTTTTTTTGCGAGTATACAATTTTTTTTATTAACATAAATAGAAAAAAATTCGAATATTTCAATAATATATAGGTAATAATAGCTCAAACAATTTAAAATTATATTATGTTCAATATATACATATAGGTAAATATTATATTTATAGTATATTTGATAAAATTTCAAGTTTCTGTGGTTATTCAATGATTTTTAATAACATTAAGTACTACTAATACCTAATCATAGAAGTCACCTCGTTGTAAGTAAATTTTAAATACTTCACTTTAGCAAAAAATGGATGAGTTAAAATTTAATTCAATGATAAATCATTGCTCATATAAACGATTCTGTGCGATTTTGAGACGGGGCAGACAGGCTGTCTGCTTATATTTTTAAGGATGTTTTAAAATCACCAATGTTAGTAAATTGTACAGTAGAGCCAAAATTTAAGATCGTCAGTTGTCTCCATTAGCTACTTTTTCTTCATCATATTTAATAGATATTTATTTGTTAAAAATAATTTCCAATTATTGGAAATTGCATGTATTTTATTTGGTGGAACATTTATGCATTTGATTGGTTATATATTTAATATTTTAATGAATTAAAATTATAAATACAATTTTCTCACTTTTTGCCTTTTGAATTTATGTTATACATACCTATAAATTTTTATATATTAAGTAGGTATCTAATTTTAGGAACCATAATTAATTAAAAAAAAAACTACAATTGACAAAAAAATAAAATAAAATTTCAATACGTGAAAACCATATCTAACTAAAAAATGGAATCTATGTTGATGAATTTACATTTTATGTACAAACATTTCCGATAATCGAGTATTCTCACGATTTTGTGTACTTGCAGTCATTACTCATTAAAATAACATTATTGTTAACGAGATTTTAGAAGATATGTACTATAAAAAACATCTAGGTATACATCGTATATATTATTATTATATATATATATATATATAAAAAATTGTTTAGTAGGTTTAAAATATTTTCATCATAATATTATATTTTAACTCTTAACGTTTATGTGTATAATAAAATTGGGTCATCAATCTACACCCCGCCACTTCCAAATGAAACCTTTAAGATTTTTATTAAAATAAATAGTTATGTATTAATATATTATATTACCTAACAATAATACTTTTTCGTATATCAAGGTTAACTGCTTTTAAGTTATAATAGTCAATATTGACATACCTACACTAGACAAGTGTTAATAGGTCCATGATATAATTAGGGCTGCGAATTTGTAGAAAAGTGCATTTTTTTTTGTGACTGTGAAACGTGGCTTTGTAAGTATATAATTTGAGTTAAGTAACAACGAATCCATTCATAAAACATTTTATTTTATATTTTTTAGCATTTTTAATATATTTAATTTTTAGGTTATTTTTTTGCATTTTAATGTCATATTTTCTTTTTTTAGTTTATTTTTCAGTATTTTCAATTATTTCCGTCAATTAACATTTATGAAAACTAAATTACTAATAAAATAAATATAAAAAAAATTTAAAAATGTTTCAGGTGAATAGCATTATATAAAATTCAAATTCAATCAAAAATTTTTTTTTTTAATAAACACATTTTTATGCATGTAAAAATATCATGTACTAAATGTATATCCTAAAATATCAATATAAATATAAAAATCGTATTAAATTCACAGCCCTAATTATAATATATTGATAGTATTATTTCAAATATTTCAATAGGTATTAGTGCAATTACTATGGGTCAGATGATTGATTGAATAAAATTACATTACATGAAAATCCAAAATATATAAATACATATTATACATATAAGGATTAAAATGATTAAATTAAAAAATGTAATTATTTGTTGATAATATATTATAGATTTATACACTTGAAAAATATAAAATATGAAAGTAGTATTATCAACAATTAAAAATACTACATTTTATTGATTGATTGATGACAGAATGTCAGTCATAGGTACCTTGCTAATGATAATTTTAAATTGATTTTAATGTATATTATGTACATTTCTGGATTTTCAAAGTTGAATTATTACAGTACCATCCACAAATAATCTTTTATTAAAATTAAATGTTTGTTTATATTGTTTTGTTTGTATTCACATGAAAATGAATTAGGTACATACTTATGAGTTTTAAATTAAAAGTATTAATTAAACAAATATTTTTCTTCATTTCACCAATGTACAGCATAGAAAATTTGAATTCATTTATTTGATTTTGGTTTTTTAATTTCTTAAATTTTTATACTTTATGTATGCATAAAAGCATAAAATTGTACAAAACCCATATGGAAACATAAATAATATTTTTGCTTTAAATTTGATTATATATTAATTCACTTTAATATTAAGGTTTTTATACAAAGTTCTAAAATTTGAACTGTTTAACACAAATTTGGTGTGTCGTACATTCGTATGACATAGTCAGCACTCAGCATCACAAATTAATGTCTTTGGTCTTCTAAATAATACTTGATAAAAATTTAGTATAAAAAAAAGAATTCAACATAATACATTCAAATATTGCAACATTAAAATCTATAAACTGAATTCCCATTTTTCATATTTTATGGACTTCTGCATATTTATTTATTTAATTGGGTTTGTTGGTTATCTCAAAGAACTGTGATAGACATTACCATAATTATGAAAAGACATTATGTTAGTAAAATAGAAATGATTATGATAACAATATTATGTTTTTTATATTTATTGAGCAAGTTGTATTAGCATGTTTGGTGATAGCTAGAGAGAATGCCCAATTATAGATACTACCTTACTGCTAACGCTAGTATTAAAATGTGTGGACAAGAGTGAAGCATTGCCATAAACATCTTCTATAGTGATTACTGATTAGATATTATGTTCCATGGACAAGTTCATTGGAAATGAAAAGTATAAACACTAAATTTTCAAAAATTAGTGTTATACTTTTCTTAATATTAAATTAAGGTGTTTAATTGACAATAGTTTACAGTGACAAACAAATTTATAAAAAATAAAAATCATAAAAATTATTATAAGAATACTTGTCATAAAAGTTTTTTATTTAAAAAAATTAATGGTTTTTGATATATTGAGTATTCTTTGATCAAAGAATAATCATATATATATAATTTAATAAAATATTTACTAAATATATTTATTATTATTTATTTATTTAAAATCAATTCAAAAATATTTGTACTTATTTGGAAATTTAATCACAATTTGGCTTATATATAACAAAAATATTTTAATATACATAAAAAGAAAAAAATTGATTTGAAATAAGAATTTATTTAGAATTTGCTCTTTGACAAAATAAAAAAAAAAAAATACATTAAAAAGATACAATAATCAATATTTGCTATCTTTATCATAAAGTGTTGCTATTAAAATAATATTATTACACAAAAAGACATTAAATTACATTTTGTTTTCATTTTTTAAATACATAACATAATTTATGTTCCGCTGTCCACATTTAGTGTTATTAATTTAACAAAAAATATGAATCACTTACTGTAAATAAATTTTCTATGTTACATAATATTCAAAATATGAAACAATTATAGATGTAAATTCAATTACATATATTGAGTAACCAAATTATTTAAGATAATTTTTAAATAATTTAAAACCATGATAAAAATGAATTAATAATAAAAATAAATTAAACTATGAATCACAATTTAAGATAATACAATCAGCCATCAACCTATACACAGGTAGACAAATTAAATCACCAACAAGTGGTTTTTTTGACTACAAGTGCTTGTGGCATAGCGTGAGTACATGACTTAGCTATTTAAGTACAAAAAAAAAAAGTTCTATAATTCAATATGATTTTAGTTAGCATTTTTAGTGTTTTAATGACAAGTACATTTTGTTCTTTATCATTTTTCTTTCGGGATTGATTCTTTTTAATAATAACGCAATAATCCTAACCAATTGCTCAGAGCTTAAATTAGAACGATTCTTAAACTTAGTCACAAGTTGAGTAGTAGTTATTGGTTTTCGTGACAAATATCGACGGACAGCTTCTTCAGTTATACCATGAGTATCAGATAAAGTAACTGGAGAAAAATCAATTTTAGCTTTTTTCTGGGAAGGTTCCATGCTAAAATAAAAATTTTAGTATTAGTTGGTATTAGTATAAGTTATGCTAAAAATAGATTAACATTACCTTTGATTAGATGAATCACCTGACAAACTAATTAGATCAGGACCATTATTTTTCAATGCATCTAGATTAAAAGGTCTTTTTCTGGTAATTGGCTCACTGTCTATATCTGAACTATCGACAGAACTATCACTATCTGAATCTACAAAAATAAAAATGTGATAATAAGTAATTAGACTTTTTAGATTAGTTAACAAAATAAATTTAAAAATATATTTGATCTCAAATAAATTTATTACCTGAATCTTTTTTTGACTTTTTGTCATTGTTTTTCTTTTTTTTCTTATTTGGTGAAGATTGCTTAGGTTTGTTTTCTTCTTTTTTGGTCTTATCTTCTTCTTCCACATCAGTGTTATTTTGTTCATCTTTATTTTCTTCTTTCTTTTCTGCATCTTCATCTTCATCCTCATCTGATGTCAAGAGACTTTTTAATGCTTTTTCTTCTGCCACTCCCTGCATTTCTTTAGTAACTTTAGCTTCGTCATCTGATACACTATAGAAAAAATTATAAGCATTTAATTTTAGGTTTACAATAAAAAATACTTCAAATTAATTACTCGTCTGAAGAATCTGATATATAATCCAACTCTCTTCCCTCTTCATCACCATCATCACTTTCTTCTGTTGCTGATTCGTCAGACCCTTTTGACTTTTTTTTTGGTTTAGCTTTGACCTTGTTTTTTTCTACAAAATAATAACTAAATGAGTAACAATTTGATGATTATATTTTTAAGATCATAAATAAGTAACTATGTTAAATTAAAAAAATATATCAATATGAAAAAAATGTAATTACAACAATTATTCAAGTTTTTAAATTTCTTAAACATTGTGAGCATTCCAAATCTTTGATATTAAAACAATCAATTACACAAAATATACTTAGATTATCTATAATTTTTCTTTTTAATAAATACTGCCTTACGTTTTTGTTTCTTTTTCTTTTCAATTTTTTCTTCGTCTTGTTCTTCTTCTTCGGATTCATCTTCTTCACTTTCTTCCCACTCTTCCATTTCAGATATTTTGAGTTCTAATTTATAATTGTCCAAAATATATCAACAATAGCAATTAATATGTCTAAATAGTAGCTTATTTTTCAAACCTTTGCTTTTACGACTTTTTGTTGTTTTTTTCCCTTTAGTTTTATCGTCTTCATCAATATCTTCCTCTTCTTCATTTTTAAGCCTTTTTTGTACCATGAGAGTAAAATGATTCAAAACCTTATTACGCCTATACATTTTTTATTCATATAATTATCATATGTACTGTAATTAACTAATTTTCTAATTAAATACCTTCCAAACTCTTCTTCTGCTTCTTCAGAAGTTAATGTTTTGTAACGTTGTACTGGTTGAAAGTTATACCACTCTTCTAGTTTATGTGCAATGACCATACCATCTTCTCCATGAGTAAACAAGTAATATGAAGAATTGTCAGTAATTCCTCCTTCACGTACACCCCTAAATCTACATAACCAATTAGGTATAATAATATTAATAAAAATAAAAAGACATACTTTTTCCCGCCAACTTTTAATGCCCATGGACTAGACTCTGAAACTTTTTTGTTACCTCCATATCTTCGTTTCCTTGCTTCTTGTCTAGCTTCACGACCAAATTCACTTCCAGCTCCAAATCTAATATAAATGAAACGTAAACATTTATAACACTTTAATGTTATAAATATAAAAAAAAAATACTGTACTTAGGCATATCTTCTTCTATAATTTTTCCATCTACTTTATTTGTCTCTCTCTCCATTTTGGCATGAGACCATTTATCAAAGTCAATGTTTAAATTGCTATTGAATTTCATCATCTGATATTTTACATCAGAGTTTCTATAAATTAATATAAATACAAATTGTTAAATTATGAGATATTGATAAGCAATTGCTTTTCTTTTTATGATAGTAGTAAACGATGTAATTAGCCATATCAGGCAAGGTAATTGGAATTTACAAATCATGTTTTAAATAATATAAAATAAAAATATTGATTTAGGAAATTTGTGTTCAGTAGTTTCAATTTTATGTTTAATATTATAGTAAATTACATGAAATAAAATTTAAATCTAAGAACATAATCTGCATTCTTATGTTGAGTTCTTACATTTTTAGTAATTTATGAATATTTTCAAATATTAGCCCAATTCCACTTTGATATTTATGCTAATAGAACAAAATTTTAATTATTGAACATAAACTTTGGTATGTTAAAAATAAAATGAAGGGAATGAAATGTTAAGTTATAATAAGTAATATAAATAAAATAAAAATACTAACAAAAAATTGTATAATATTACTTGCTACAATAACTAAGAAGAAACTTTTTTTTTCATGAGCTGAAATTTGTTTTATAACTAAGTTATAAAACTAAGTTAGATATAAGTTTATACTGTATATATTGTATAGTTATCTTAAATGATTATCAACTTTCACTGTAATTCATTGTGATAATACTAAACTTCAAATTAACTAGATCACTGTTAATATATTTTTGAATTATTAAAACACTATATTTAATTTAAATGAATAATTTAATTTAATAATTAATAAATTTAAAATGAAACTTATAGTTTAACAGCTATAATATTTACTTAGACGCTTTTATCCCACTACTAATGTACAAAAGCGCAAAATGAAATAGTGCTTTTTGCACTTTTGAGTTGCACCGTATTTTTAACAGGTTTACAGTTACAATACATTAATAACAAAAAAAAAATCTTATCTAAAATGTACATTATATTTAAGTAATTTTATATATATAAATCAAAAGTTACAAGATATTTTTGGGATTTTTAAAATTATTTATTTAATAAGGATGATTGTATATACTGAAACAATAATTATAAAACACAAAATCTAGCTTATTAGAAAGTATTTACAAACTATAAAAACACCAAAAACACTGACATGATTTTCGTAGACAAAATTAATAATGATATCTGTACGCTTAAACCCATAAATAAACACGTATAATTGCATATTACTTACTTGGATACCCTTAACGAGAATTCTTTAGTATTTACCATGGGTGACATGTAAGGAATACTGCTCCCGCTGACTTTCTAAAATTTGTTAACAATGTTAATCCACAGCAAAAAAAGTCAAAGAATTATTTACTATGGAACTTACATGTGAAAAACTCATTGTTGGCAGTCAGATATAAAATAATAAATTATTAGATTCGTACGTCGAGTCGTCGTTGTCGGGAATATAAGTCACACAAGCGAAGAGTCGTCACAGACAAGTAGACAACACTTAGCTCTGACTCTGAGTTTTGAGTGTTTTGACTGAACAGTGAACACACGCTACACGTTATCTATAAATTTGGGATAAATCTCAAATCTTGAGATAACGTGATACTGGTCATAGCAGTGGTACCAATACCGCCGCTGTCGCTAAATAGACGACGACTCATCCACGACATGAATAATTCATGTAAGCAAAAATTCATAAATTATTATGAAATAGAAAATAGATTATGACTTCCGAGTTTTGAGAGTTGCCACTTGACAATGAACAATATTGAATGTAAACACATCGTCATCTTTTATATCCGTTTGGTTATACACGTCCAAGAGGTACATAATTATATAAATAATACAATGACACATGATATCCTGACGTCTGTGCTGGTGCAGCCATTCTAGTGTTCTCTGATCGTAGTTCTTTAACCATAGATCGTAGAATTTTTATACTGTTGTCTGCGATAGTGTCGATAATATCAAATAGAAAACCCGACATATTCTTATACTTTAAATGAGCATGCACATCGATAATTCTAAACAATTTTCGTGGACCATCCCTCTCTACACCTTCCGACCGAACAAAGAGTAGGTATATTATCTTCGGGTCGTGTTCTATGCACATTGCACAGCAATTGACGGCGTCATTGTCCGTGAAAAATAATATTTATTTTTTAATTCTCTTATCAATTGACCCAGTGACGGTCGGCGTAGCTCCTATCAGTCTATCTATAATTATTCTGATGTCGGAGAGCTGCAGCTGATAACGCGACCGTCGTCGTCGCCGCCAACGCCGACGATGAGTTTTTCATCCGTAAGTACATTGTACCATGATAAAAAACATCACTTTATCATGGAGATGATGATTTCTGGGGCTGTTTCGTGTATCTTTTATCATCTTTCACGTTTCTCGTAAAATTTTCACCGGTGATGAATAACAACAACGATAACGTTACGATTGTTGTTCCTTCGCCGCCGATCGCAGTGACACGACGCCGACAGTATCGTCGTGAAAGTCGCCTGGTGTCCGAGACGATGTCGTGCCCAGTTCGACGGTCGTAGTTGACGGTCTGCCAGGGACGACGTGACAAGTCTAGAGACGACCGTGCGATATTGCGATAGTTGTTAGATAAGTAGGTGCCATCCGTCCGTGATCGAGAGATCGCCCAGCCGGGATGTGTCGCGCGTTTTCGTCTTCGATGTTCGCGTCTTGTCGCGGCCGATCGTGATCGACAGCGTATTCTGTGTGTTTCACAGCTGACCGGCCGAGATGTGACAGACGCCCGACCGTTATGAACGCGGCGGCCGACGGTTACGGTTCGTCGTGCATCATGTCAATGAACTTGGACGGCTGTGGCAAGGAGCAGCTCAAGACGCAGTTCGTCACCCGGGAGGGTGTTTATAAGCTGCTGACTTTGGCCACGTACTCTCGTCCGAATCGCATCGGCTACAACGTGCAGACCAACACGTCCGTACGCGTGTCGTTTGTTGGTTACTCGTCGTCGGATACCAACGGCGACCGCATGTGCTTTAATATTGGACGAGAGCTGTACGTTTTTTACTACAAAGGAACGAAAAAGGTGAGTAATTATTGTAGATTTGTCTTTCATGCATGTAAGTGTAGGTAGCTTTATGTCGAGGGTTCAGAAGTTTCATGGCTATCGGGTCCTCTTTAATTATGATTCAAATTTTTTTTTTTTTACTCATCTAATTTCATTGACTATTGTTGGCAAAAGTTCAGCATTCAGATACTCTTTAATTTAAAATATATTTCAAGTCACATTAATTAAATCAGTGTAAAATCAAATGGGTACAACTATCTGTATAATTGTTGGTACTACAACATGACATGAATAAATTAATAAAATTAAAAACTTTAATATCATTTGTATTATTTATAGGGGGCAGATTTAACTAAACCCATAGATAAAAAATTATATAAAGGAATAAGTCCTACATGTCATGACTTTAATTCAACTGCAATAACTGAAGACTCACTACCATTGATTGTTGGGTTTTCAACAGGATTGCTACAGCTAATTGATCCTGTTCGAAAAGATGTTAGTGTACTATTTAATGAAGAGGTAAGCAACATATTTAAGAAACTATTTTAAAATATTAATTTTTTTAATTATTGGTAATTAAGTATATGACAAGTAGAGTTTAAGTTGGGTATTTTGTATATTACTACTGTATAATGTGTTTAGTGTGTCATCAGTTAATACACTTACCAGGTTGTATGAAAAATTGATTAATTTGATAGTTAAATAAAATTTAATGGACAAATTATGGGCCACTAAATCATATTTAAGAGAACACTAGCTCACTATTAATTCATTAAATGTTTGGTGATTGTTCATTAACTTCAGCAATACAATTTTAAGTCCCAGCTTAATTCCCTTTGTTTCTTGTATATCATGTATTGTACAACTTAAAGTGAAACCAAATAATGTTGTCTATAGGTCGTTAAATCCATGTGTATGTTGTCTTCTTATGCATAACATAACAAATTTTATATTTAAATAAATCCATTTTACTCAATTATTTTAATATTGGAGTGAATTGGCTTATACTAAAATTAAAGATTATTATATTTACTAGTGCATCTCAAATGATTTTTTTTTTATTATTAAATCTTTTGAGATTTCCTTGGTTATATTTGTATCTTTAAGTTTAATGATGATAAGTAACTACTATAAACATAATTTACTTTAATATTAAAAATAATAGCGAAACAGATTCTTCTGAATGTTAAATTATTTGTATTATGTGTTAGTAAGATAGAAACTACTTAATATGTGAATGTAAAATATTTTTAAGTAATTTTTATTGTATTAATTTTTTTTCTAGAAAATCATCGATAAAACGAAAGTTACATGTGTTAAATGGGTACCAAATTCAAAACATTTATTTCTTGCATCACATGCTAGTGGTCAGTTATATTTGTATAACGAAACATTTACGTGTGGTACAACAACGCCAAATTATCAACAAGTAAAATCTGGTGAAGGTTATACAGTTCATACGTGTAAAACAAAAAGCACGCGAAATCCAATGTATCGATGGTTAATTGGTGGCGACTACAACAGCATTAATGAATTTGCATTTTCTCCATGTAGTCTTTACTTAGCAGTTGTTTCCCAGGATGGATTTCTCAGAGTATTCCATTATGATAAAATGGAACTGATTGGAATGGCTCGAAGCTATTTTGGTGGATTTCTTTGCGTTTGTTGGTCTCCTGATAGTCGGTAAATAACATATAACATATTAGATATTATAAATTAAAATATTATGTCAGTAAAATTTTAACGATTCTAAAAATAAAAGCATAAAAATAAAAAAATTGTAAATTAATGTTAACCAGGATTATCGGATAAATTAAATTACATTTATTTGATAAAACTAACTGATAAATTTTGTTATCAGTTTTGTAAAATTACCAAGTCAAAATTACACCTTTAAAATTCAGTTCAAATAACTTTATATAATTTACAAAGTTAGTAACATTATTTGATGTTTTAGCAACATCCAATTTTATTTACAGATAGTTGTTACAAGATATTTATACTATCCACCCATAATATTTTTAGAAATTCCGCTCGAAATTCTAACAAAATATTTTTGGTCTATACTGCAGTAATAGTATCTAACCCAGCAAAGATAGAGTAATTTAAATTATTTTTAAAAATAAAACACCATTTAATTTTTATTTTATTTTCTGTATATAGAAATAAGGATAATAATATTGAACAATTAAAATTTTCAGATATATAGTGGTCGGAGGAGAAGATGATTTAGTTACAGTTTATAGTATTTCTGAAAACAGAGTCATAGCCCGTGGTCAAGGACACCATAGTTGGGTTAGTGTGGTGGCATTTGATCCATACACAAGTTCACCGCCTTCTATTGAACCATGTTTACCTGGATACTACAGACTAGGTTCAGTAGGGCATGACACTCAAATGTGTTTATGGGACATCACTGACGATATATTACATCATGTTACATTAGTATCACCGCTTCCTGTGACATCTAAACAAAACGGTGCTATAAATAATGTGAAACATAATGCTAATAATGTACAAAAACAAACTCAAGACCCCATGCGATTGATTGGTACTACTGCTTGTCCACGTTTTGATCAATGTCCACGACTTGAACCATTAATATGTAAAAAAATTGCTCATGATCGATTGACAGCTCTAATTTTTCGTGAAGATTGCTTTGTAGCTGCTTGTCAAAATGGATATGTGTACACTTGGGCTCGTCCTGGAACAATTGTAAGTGTTGAATGAGTACAAATTGTTTAGTCATTAAAATAAATATTTTTATAAAAAGTTAATTTATTTTTCAGACAAGTCTCAATGCACATTTGGTTTCTGATCCAAGCTCTGTCATGTCATCATTAGATCTACCTTCATTGAATACTACATCTGCAGTGTAATGAATAATTTAGTACAAGTAATACAATATTCGTTTATTAAATTGATGATATTATGTTCTGTGTTAAACGACTACAAAAGTTAGGAATTAACAAGCAAAAGGTGATAAAAAAAAAAATAAAAGAAAGTTATAGTTCAAATGAATAACTTATTATTATCAAACTTTAGAATAGTAATTACATAAAAAAAAAAAACAAATTGAATTAAAACAAAAACAAATAGGCTGTGATCATTTATTAATATTGTCAGCTAATCTAATAAAATATCTTATTATATCTTAAATAAGAATTTTAATGTGTGAAAGAAATATTTTATCAAGATCAAAGGTATATTGTATTTTGTATGTTTTTCATTGATCAGATCTGTTTAATATTTGTATCAAGTCTATTGTTGTCTTGTGTTCAAATATATTGTGTTCAGTTTTATTTTCTCTTTTCAAATCATAAGTGTGTAATATTTTTCATACTCAAAAATTTTGATTATAGCCACTGTGAAATAAATAAAATAATTACTTTGATGACATAGTGCAAGTAATGAGTTGTTAAATAGTATTAAAGACTATATTATCCAAGAGCCTATGTGAGTAAAAAAAAAAAAAAACACAATAATAACTTAATTTACAAACAAATTTTACAAAATTTTTACATTTTTTTTATTACTTACAAACACAACTAAATGAAATAATAGATCATCAGAAATGGATATAATTTTATTTAATTAAAATAAATGTATTGTTCCCATTGTACATAAATATTATTTGTACTAGACAATTTAGACTGATTCCAAATAAAACATGCTAAAATGTATATATATTTATAAGTATCTTTATTAGTATTATAGTATAAAATCATTTTGATTGACTGGTAGATTTATTATACGTAAAAGTATCTGTACAAAATATTTTATTAAACAAGTTTTAATTTTGTAATAGTTTGATTATTTATACCATTATTAAATCTAATTTGAATTTATTTTCTTATCGTCTTATTGACTGAATTATATTTGTTTTTCATATTATATTTTCATTACTATTACTTTTAATATGACATCAGCAATTGTTGTATGAAAGAACAAACAATAAAATACAGTAAATTGAAATCAGTAAACATACTACATCAATGGGTTAAACAATTTAAAACTACCACTTATTACTGGGATTTTTTTTTTATATTGGGAACTATTTCTACTACACTATTTTTTAACGTACTTAAATAGAAGATTTTGTCACATTCCACAATCTGTTACATTTTTTTAAAATAATTTTTATGTATGCTTAGCTAGTCAAAATTTCACTATGAATGGTTATAACTTTTCTTTCTTTTTTTTATTTATATATATATTTATTATTGCAAGGGTAATTTTTGTCTTGATTTCAATTGGTAGTATTGTCTTTTAATATTTTTTTGTTTTTTTTTTTAAAGAATATAATATAATATTATACTTATCATTTTTGTATACTTTTAATTTAACTTTAGTTCAATAATTATTTAAAAATTATGTAATTGTTTTTATTTGTTGGATAATTTTATGGCCAATAAATATTTTATATTATATTATTAAATTATTCACTCATTGCGTTCAGTAAAAAAAAAAAAACATTTAATTGTTACAAACATATTGTAAGTTACTTTTATGTGTACGAGAAACATTTATTTTCTACCTACTTATGTTAGTGATTTTAAATCAAAATTCTTTACATTTTTTATAATAAAATGTAGAATCTATTAAGTAGTATCTTGTTACTAATGAATTGTATTGCATTTGTTTATTATTAAATATAAATATAATGTAATTAAACCATATTAATTAATTCATATTTAATTATTTTAATTCTAAAAAATATAATAACATTATAAATTTTAGTTTCATTAAAAATAAATTATTATTTTTTTTAAATATATATAATTGTATATAAAACAAGACTTCTGTAATTTTTAAATGGATTATTAAAAAGCAATTGGAATATTATTAATTTATCAATTAATATTCTTTTTTTTTAATGTAATATTACGATGTAGATGATAATATGTTATTATATTATGAATTATGGTTTAAAGTTATTATGTGTCTTTTTATATTATTAAAAATATTTAAAATGAAAAGTATACTATACAGAAATATTATGTTTATTATTTGTTTAGTATTTATATACTGTGTACATCAAATGTATACATATATTATACTGACATAATGTAACTCGGTTACATTTTTTAGTGACATAAAATTTGACTACATTACCTTGAGTCTATACTATTTTTTTCCTTAAGTCTTGTTGAATTTGAAGTGATTTTAAAATATGTATAAATTGTTTGATTTTTATACTTTGAAGAATTGAAACAAAATTAAAAATTAAAACTTAGAACTCTATTAGTTGGTCTGCATTTGCAAAAATACAAACTAAAAAGAACTACAGTCTGAACATTTGTTTTTTGTTTCGACGGTTGACAGTCTTTTAATGTTGTGTAAACACTAAACGCCACAGGTATATTACTCTATGATGTATGCTAACCAAATAAAAAACAGATAATACTGAATACAAATATTGTATTATAATGTGTATATTATATTACTCATATTATAGTTACTACACAAATAACAAGATCAATGAGTTGAAACAATATTGTATATTTGGTGTCTAGAAGTTTGGATTAATTTTCAATTTTAAGTACCAAGATAATATAAATACTTATCGTTTGATGTATTTAATTAATTAATTAATTTTTTTTTTTTTTTTTTAACAAACAGAGCCAATTATAATTCCTAAGCTGCAATTTTCTTTGAAATGATTATAGTTTCGAATACGTGTTTGAGCAGTCCATGTACAAGTCCGACCATCAAGTTTAAAATTGTATCTGTTTTTGAGTAGTAAATGCTTTCGAATTTCAAAAACAGCACGTCTGACGTCATACGGTAATTTTTGAAATGGTTTTCGACTAGTTAAAATTGCCGCCCCGTAGGTAGTACCATTGATAATAAATATTTATAATCAATGGTGGTACTAATGTCTTTGGGACCGATGGACTGCCTACCGAACGTTTTGCGTAGCGTGTACATTCTTATCAAATTCACTTATCAATAGAGTCTCGTCATCAGACGAAAGCATGAGACAACGATATTCGTTCGCGATCAAATTATCAAAATCATTATTTGTTTTTACGCTGTCAAATTATTAACTGTCGTTTACCTTTTCGGAAGAATGTTTATTGTTTGATAGTGTCAACAAGACAACGTCACATACTTAGTTTCGGCTGGATTATACGATCTGTCTTAAATATGGTACTACTCGACAAGACCAAAGTAAGTGCTTTACAAAATATTTATTTTAGTGCTTCGATTAAACGTGCTTAAAGATCTAAAGCTAAACACAATAAATTTTCCACTTTCCGCTACAAAGCCAAAAATTAACAAAAATTTGAAAATAATCTCCCTAATACTAAGCGACCTACTACACCTTTTTGTGTGTCTAAACATTAAGTAGTCGACTGTTTATTAGGATTGAAAAAACTTTATTGACTACTGACGTTACTTATCTGAAATTCCATCTGTCTGGTGTCATTTTCATAAATTATTCATAAGTTTATTCATTTTAACTTTTAGGTAGTTTTAGGTAGTTTTATAGGTAGTCTTATTATTAAGACAATGTTAACTTGAAATTGATTGGTACCTCTATATTTCACACACTTGTCATATAAAAATCATTCTTCGTATTTTTTATTTTATATTTAAAACTGTTTGAATTAAATAAGTATGATTTGTCACAAAGTTTATCAAAAATGTGTTAATCTAGCGTCCTGAATAGGTTTCTTAGTTTGTTTCAAAATCGTTTTTTTATTTAAATTGTAACCAATTTAAGTTGTTAATAAAATAATACAACTAGATTCTTTAATATTTAAGTCCTAGAAAAAAATGTATGTATGTTGGTCGTCATTTTTGACATTATTATATGTAGTATATTATGATAGGCTATAGACAGATATACAATATTAATTATTTTACATTTATATTTTTTTATTTTAAAATTAGCTGTTCTAATGTATATACACCTAATATAAATCAAATAATAATAATAAAAAATTCTATAGAAAATGATGACCCTTTTTGTTTCGTTCCCTTAGGCAGTTGTAGACTGGTATTTTTTAAATGAAAAGTTGGCAATTCTACTTATAGATATTAAGTGGATATTATACAAAATAAATTTATAATTTTTTTATTTGTTTTCTTACAATTTGAATTTTAAATGATAAAATAAACCATAATTATCACTTAACCAATAATAATAACCATAGATTTATTATTTCTTAAATTCTACTATGCTTGTATAGTTGTATATTTAAAATTTTAATTTATTTGTCCAAGGTTCTTCCTACATAAATATTGTTTATTATAATTAGTTTTATTAATGTCAATTGTGTACTAATTCTTAATTTTTCTTCACTACAATCTTATTTAATATTTTAATAATTATTAGATTGCTTATTATTTTAGATTCTGAGTGTGAGCTAATGGGTTTTATGATTTTTACAACATATTAATATATATTATGAGTATTAAGTAAAATATTAAATGATGCATATAGGTAGGTATTAATAGAAAAATAATTATTTAGACATAGAACAGAAATTAATATTAATGAATCATAAAAATATATTATAATTAAATTAGATTTAACAACTTTGCTAAAATAATATTAAATAAATTAAAACTATCAAGCATTTCAAAAGTATATGTAACTACTTATAACTGAAAATAAATAAATAAAAGAATTTAAATTAAAGAAATAAGTTTAAAATAATTATGGTTTATTCATAGGTACCTACACTTTGTACATTTAAATTAAAATTAAAAAAAATATTGTTCTATTTTGGCAGTGAAATATGATACTAATAAGTTTGGTTGTTAGTTGGTATCATTAATGTAATTTTTTCTTTGTTTAACAGTTTTTAGAAGAACTAAACATTTTGTTTAATACATCTCAGTCATCTGGATCAGTAAGAATAACGATGAAATTATGTAAGCTACTCATTATTTGATAGTACAGTGAAATCTTTGTTTATAGATAATCAAATTTAAAACTGAAATAGAGTTTAAAGATTTATATAGAGTAGTGTACTTTATAGAGCAGTGGTTTTCAACTAGTTAAAACAATAAGTTTTTTCTATGATAATATTAAATAGTAAAAATATAATACTACTTATTTCTTTAGGAAATATAAATTTATTAATTTGAACATATGATAAAATAGAATTTCACTAGTTGATTTGATGTAAAAAATTAAATATTGACCCTCCTTCCAAAAATAATAATAATAATAATAATAATTGAAGAAAAAATTGTTAAGTTAAAAGCACATTGTGCTATGTTTTAAAAAAAGGTTGAAACTCACTGCTATAGAGTATAATATGTTTAAATATTTTTGTGGAATTTACTGCTAATAAATGTTTGACGGAGAGTTGTTGTCTATAAATTGAGGTTTTGCTATGTTTAGATTTATGTATAGAATCTAAAAATTTGACATGTTTACATATTTAGTGCTATTGAATAAAGAACCAAAGGATCAAAAAGTTAAAATTGAAGTTCCTAAGGAAAAAGTGTGTTTGATCAGAGCTACATTCAAAAACAAAAAATTAAGTACTAGAGTAAGTGTTCATTTTGTTGTAAAATTGGAAATCAGTTATTAAATAAAAGTGTAATATCATTTTTATACATAGATAACTGCCGATGAAGTGAGTTCATTCCAAGAAGAGTATTGTACTTTGTTGAAAAATTCACTAAGTAGTTTGAAAAAGACTAAAAAGTTAAAGAAAAAAGTCATGTCTTAAAGTGTGCAATATTGTTTGTAATATTTCAACTATTTTTTCAAACATAATGTATTTATGACTTGTACACAGTTAATGTTTTTTTTATTAAAATAAGATTTTACAATATGTTTTTTTTTTATTTTAATCAAAAATTTACAAATATGAGTACCTATGTGATAATTAATAATTATTTGCAAAACTTGATAAGAAAAAAAGTATCATGCCTAAGTAAGCTTAAATTAGTAAGTACAATCTTATAAGTTATAATCTAAATCATAAAAATACAGTAAAGTAAACAATATATTTATATTGAAGATAGGAAGTAACAGATAAAACTAATGGACAAATAAAACAAATTAGTAATGTGATGTCGAGTTACCATGACTAAACATTTTCTGCAATGGAAAATGTTCTAGACAACAAAAATGCCTAATTGGTGTTTAATTGTTTATTCAAAATTATTGTCATGTGATTTTTAATAGAACAGATCACCTTGACTTGTATGTAAACTCAAAATATATCAAGTAGTGGCTAAGTTGGAATTATTTTTTGGTATGACAAATTATAAAAATTAATTTTTACCTATTGTGCCTAAATGAACTATAGAAAGGAGGCAAAAATTAAGATAAGTAAACATGTTTGAAATAACAATATTATTATATATACGCCAAAAACATTTTAATTGAAATACATTGTTGAAAAAATGTTTTGTTTTGAATTTAATAAAATATTATATATATTTTTAAGGTAAGATAATTTCAATGATATTTTTTTGATTGAAATTAATTTTTTTAGTTGATGTTTTATTAGATGATAATTAATTTTTTGAATTATAATAATGTTATTGTTGATTTTAAATTAAAATAAATTATCAAAAAAAAAAAAAAAAAATATATTTATATGTAGGTATATAAAAGTATAAATCAAAAAAAATTTTTTTAACAATATTAATAGCTAACTATGATATAATATTTTCTGTTCAAAATGAGACCAGTCTCGGGCAACCGAGCTGCAAACTCACTATACATGGTAGGTCTATAGATAGTTGTTTCAGTGGTGATGATAAATAGGTGTTGCCTAGCAAAGAAAATTAGTTTTATCTCGAAAAGAGTATAATTGGTGTCAAAAGTTAACTAACTATAATTAAATACTAAATAGCATAACATTGATACATATTATATTCAATAACATGGATTTGTGATAAAATTATAAAAAAAATTTTATTTGTAATTTTGTACTTAAATTGTACATTCTGTAAGAGTACTATGTAATTTTTTATCATGACGAAGAACCAAAGTCACTTTAGCACACTGTTTTCCAGGAGTATTTCTTCAATATTTGGGACCCATAGCCAAATGGGAAAATTTATATTTTAATCACTTATGTGACATGACTTGAATTTCAATCTAATTAATTTCTAATAATTGAAGTTTGGTTTATTCAACAAATAATCCACAACATTCTAATAAGTACCTATTATATTCTTATGCTTCCATACGCTTAAGTTACATGTGAACAATAATATTTTCTTAACTTAAAATGTAAAAAAAATAACAAACTTTGATAGCCTAGATATAATTTTTTTTTTCATAATTTATTATAATAATTATAAAATAATTTTATTCTAATGTTTTAAAGGCAGTTGATTTTTTTTTAAAGTTTGTATGAGATCAAAAAACAAGTTTTACACTCTTACATACTTAAATATTTAATCAAAACTTAAGTCCTAGAAATAATTTTAACTACCTATGTGTATTATAATACCTACCTAAATAATATAATAATTTACAATAAAACTTTTGTAGTAGGTACATTTTCAGATTCTTATACTAACAATAAAATTTGCAGTCAATTTTATTAGTTAAAAATTCAAATAATTCAAAAATGTTAACAATTTTATAGTTTCAAAAAATTTGGTCGACCAATATTTATAAAAAAAAAAAAAACTTTTTGTACAATTTATAAGATATATTTATAGGTATATTAAATCATTAAAGGCTATATTTTATTAAATTTTATCATAATATATGTAGGTAGGGACCAGAAATTATTTTTTGTACAATTTAAGTTATTCAAATATATTTAATAGCGAACATTTTATAGCCTATCAGTAAATAGGTACTTATCTTTAAGTAATGGAATACCTTTATTATTTTTTACATTACATTTTTAAATTAATTAAATATTAATAAATATTAATCGGTAAATCATACAAAATTATCACTTGAATTAAATTATTATATTTCTGTGAAGAAATTATTTTTGTTTTATTTAATATTTTCTGTATAAAATTATAAAATTAGTAGGTAAAAGTATGAAATGAACCACGAGTGAAATATTGTATTTTTTAAGAATACTTACTTATTTTTTTAATAAAATTTAATGATTAAGTATTAAGTTACTTCTCAGTTATTTGAATGAAAACGGACGTATTTGGGTACTATAGTTGACTTTTTATGTTTCATAAAAATCTACCATACACACCGTGGTATAACATAGTCATTATTGCTATAAATATTTATACGACTTTACTCGTTAATTTTATCAAGAATTATTAACAGTGGATACGGTCGATAGTAGGTAAACGTGTCAAACAACCGAAATTAGATTTTATTGAGCGTCTATCGGTATGGACACAGCCACAGCGCACATTTTAAGGTCAATGTTTTTTTGAACTTTATCACATACGAGTGTACCTCTACTTATGACATATCACGCCTATGTATAATAATACTTAACAATATGTTCATTAGGTAGATATACGCAAATAAAATATTGGGTATGGGTAATATATTATATTGGTACATCGACAGCTAATTATAAAATATTTATATTTTTATTTTTATTTGTTTTTACAGGTAGGTATCTAATCGTTCAGTGTTTAAACCAGTATTTATGAACAAGTTTAGGTTGGTTTTTGTATACTTTCCTACTTATGTAATACGCTAATGACCGTGTGTTTGTCAATGTTTCCAGTTTATTATTTTCTTTATTAGATACCTTCATGAATAAATACATTAAAAACGCTTAAGAAGTTAATTCTGGAGTTTGAGTATAATTTGTAGTATGACCCACCTATATTGGTATTGTAAATTATGTGTAAAACAGTTACCAACAAGTCTAGATTAAAGGGAAGGGGTTACGGTTTTGGAGCCTATCTCTACCAATGATAATATGTTTTTAAAACCTACTTACGTTCAAAAAATACAATTATTTTATTAGTAAATTATGAAATAAAAATGTTTCTAATTTCATATCAAACCTACTCATGTTCAAAAAATACAATTATTTTATTAGTAAATTATGAAATAAAAATGTTTCTAATTTCATATCAATAAAAGTATAACTAAATGAAAAATTCATAATACATTTTAAATTAATTTGTGCTTGAATGTTTGACAAAGTTTATAAATTAAAATTGTAGTTCTGAATTTGCTGTGAATTTAAGTTAAATAAACAAAAGTTGTGTATTTAATTTATTAAAATGGTTTTACGAAAAATCACTGCAATATGTATTTCCAAATATTTTAATTGCACTTAGATTGCATTTTTCTTTCAAGTACCTAGTCAATTGTTCGACCAGAAGAGCATTAATTCTTAAGTTGACATGAATAAAAAATAAATGCAGTACAGACCAGATTCAAGAAAATGTAATGTCATTAATGATATTATACGTAGGTACTAAGAAAATAATATTTTGTAATTTTAACCGATTTTAATGAAACCGCAACAGTTTACAAAAGAGAAAGCAAGGAAAAAAATATAAGTTATAAATATTTAACAACCAATACACTGTGGTCTTATACATACGTAGGTGTAATGTTATTGCATAATTTTAATTTGTTAGTTCATTAATTGTTTTTTATATACTACAAAATTATAAACTATAATTAACAATCGTAAAAATGTTATAGTAAAATGTTTTTTGAACTTTGAATTGAAAGTTTAAAGGATCCTATTAAGCGGGTATCCTAGGGCCCAAATGATACTTAATTTAACCTGATTACAGAAGGAAAATTTCTTTAAATTTTCTCTTAAAATTATAATTTTAATAATTTTAATTACAGTTATGTTTTTTTTTTTAATTTTAAATACGGAATGAATTCTAACTAAATCAATTTAAATTTTATGGTGGGTCATAGGAATTTTTTAAGATGTTCCCATTATTATATACTATACGTTTATCGGAATGTGCAGAGCGCTATTAAATTGGCCGTTATACATATTTTCACGAAAGATTTTTAGCTGGTCCACTTGTTGTTTTATAGATTTTCCATATTTATTTTATAAAATCATAATTATAAAATTAAGCAACATCGTACAGAAATGAAATGAGTTTAACGTTGGGAAGATGTTATAAAAACAATCGACAATAATATACAAAGCGGAACCGTTCGCTACGTATTTTTTTCTCTGCAGTTGTCGGTTATCGCCAGTTGTGATTGCAGACTGCGTGTAATGATAGGTATCTACACATTACATAGGTATTTATAATATTATAACTATAGAAGATAGAAATAAATATAAGATGTATATCATATGATATATTTTTACAAGTACATCTGTCTATACTCGAAAAAATATTTTTCTATTTCCATAAGATCTGAGTACAGTCACATAATAATTGTAATGATACGTATAGAAGCTCAACTTCAATACAAGTGTGTTGTGTGTTATATAATGTAGGTATAAATAATAAAGCGTGTAAATGCAGCAGATAAATAGATAGATTATAATTGTTCTAATAAAATAAATATATTAATTTATAATGTAAGTACTTAGTGTAATATAGTTGTTGATGCTTGTGAATTCAATCGTATAATTATTAAAATGACAGGTTTATATTTATATTTATGAGTACATAATTTATAATGTTATCAGATATTCAAGAAGTATTGGGTAATCTACCTATGTCTTTGTGTAAATTACTATTCCAATTTCTCTGTATTTTAAATTTTAATCCTTAAAGAAAATCTGAAAATGATTTCCTCTGAAAATATATATCCTCATTTAAAAGTGACGAGAACATGAATACTACTATTACTTTAATTTATTATCATTAATATTTTATTCCATAAGGACCCATAGCTATAGTATAATAATTATTATGAACCCTCTAAAATATTGACTTTTTATACAGGCTCTTGAAATTTTGATATTGCATAATATGTTTACTCAATATGTAAACAGGTACTTCAATCTTTATAAACTTTACTGGTAATATTTGAATTTATTTCATACCTATTTATTTGTATAGGATGATAAGCAAATCCTAGAGTATTCTTATTTAAAATTATTTTTTGAATTTATATTTTATATCAGAAAGAATAATTAATCTTTAAACTTTAAATATTCTCTTATATCGAAATATTTATTAAATAAATAATTTTTATAGGAAACGCCTATTAATAGTTCAATATGAATAGTTGTTGGGTCTAAATTAATTTTTTTATCAGATTGTAAACTGTATTATTTATATTAGTGGCGCAGCTACGAGGGAGGCAAAGGGGGCGCTTGTCCACCCAACCTCCTCTGAAAATATTAGGTAAAAAGTTAATAAAGAATAACAATGATACAGGAAAGAATTGAGTCATTGATTTTGGTATTCAGTATTCACTGGAAAAGAAATTTTAGAAAAACTTCAAATTCAAGACTTTATGGACAAATTTGGTGAAAAAGATAGGTGCATGAAATTATAAGTGTGAGATGAATTGTTAAGAGTAAATTTGTAAGTTTGTAAAATAATTTTCCATGATAAATTTTAGTATTTATACATAAATAATATTTTTATTTTTTTTAAAATAAATGTAAGAAGTTGTGTATTATTAAGTTCTATATTGTATAACTTCTTTTATTATTTTAATTTACTAAAATTAATTATTAATTATTACCTATATACTTGTGTATTTGGATTTATATAATCCATGATTATTATGAACAATTTTGAAATTTTGTCCTCCACCCAACTAAAATTCCTAGCTATGCCATTGATTTATATCATTGGTTAAATTATAGTGATAATATTTATGACGAAACTATTTTTATAGAATTTATATAATCGACAAATGAAACTATTAAATAAAATTAAAAATTTATTACTAATCATTTGAAGAACTAATTATTGGAAACTTGTAATGTATCAACATATTATCGCACACCTTATTCACTACACTATACTATAATCACTGTAAATCAATTATACTTGAACAACTGTTTATCATAACTAATATTCATAAAAGGCAGATGTATTATGTATAACTGTATCTATACGTAGATATTAAAAGTTTCGTTTAGTTGAAATTAGTCGACCTCTACATGAAGTGATAAATATTTTTCATCTCGTTTTTCTTTTACAATATTATTGAAAAAAAAAAACACACGCAATTACTATTTTATATTATTGCTATATAAAATAATTATTTACATATTAAATTTAATTAAAACTATCGTTATAATAATATGTGTATAATATTAAATTATAATTTATATACTACTGAGTCATTCAGATAAAATATAATAAATAGACATATCTATTATTATTATCGTTAATAAGACTATTACATCGTTTATTAATTGTAAATTGTAATATAATATTACGAATACACGAACATTTCACGGTGTGATGTTAACGTATTCTAACGATTTATTAGTATGTATAGTTCTTGAATTCGAGCTTATACGAATATCTCAGTTGTATATAAATTTATCATTATTTTGATCCTCATCACGCCATATTTCAATTCAAGTATTTGCTTAATTTTTTATTGGTACCTGCCTACTTACTACACTGAATTACCACTCTTATTATCAACGTAAGTAAATGTATTGTCGTATTAGTTAATTACTATTTATCAACCATCTGTTCGTAAAAAAATTGAAAGATTTTCAAATAAAACACGTGGACGTTTGATTTATAGTTATCTATAAATTATATAGTATCGTTCAGCAGCACCTATGATTTTTCTTTCAGATCTCACTTTATCGGTAGGTGCACCTATTGATCGTTAGTTGTCGAGTAAACAGAAATTTTATATTAATTAAACAGTTAAACATTTTTTAATATTTAATCGCTTATCATGAAAGCTGTAAATAAATGTCTGTCTTTAACATAATAAAAATGTACACGAAATACAACAAAATTCAATTCAAAATCTCGTCGAAAATTTGATGGTATCAAGGCGATATCACATACGTATTTTTATCAGGTAAAATTTATTAATATTTTTAAAAATAAATGATCGACCTAATTTAATTTTTAAAATATTATGCATGTCTATTGTTCGTCTTATATTTCAATCACGTCGATGAAATATAAACCTATCTAGCATATAATTATGTTTTTGTTTGCCATTCTGCGTGAGCTGTAATAAATTGTAAAAATACGAACCATAATCATAATCAAAAAACTATTTGATTTCGCAGGAGTGCTTCAATTTTCACTGTTGATCGATTTTATTTTTGTCTACGAATAAAATTATTAGCTATTAACCTTCTTTGTAGTTTTAAATGCTCACGTTTGTTTTAGAACTCGAGTTATCGCAAAAATTAAGTATTTCACAATAGGTAGTTGTTTTTCAGAAAGTTGAGAGAAATAGCTGGTAGAATTTATAGAATATTATTCAATTCGATTAATATTAATTTAGGTTTATCTACACAACAAATAAAATATTATGGTTTGATATGATAATAACTATAATAACTATAATAATAATTTTAGCTTCTAGATAAATTACACAATTTTAATAGCTTATTTTAGCATTAAATATTAATTATACTTATCTGTGGTATAGGTACCTGCAGTGTATGGTGACTATGATGTATATATTGATTTATGTTAAACTAAAATTTATATTTTATATAAGTTATTTATAGACACTTATAACCTCTAGACTTTGATAATTAGTTTGGTAAGTTTCAGTATAAGTGGTTATAATTTTGAACATATTTACGTATACTTATTACGTATTCTGGACATTTAAATTTAGTTTGATGCTTTTTATTCCGGCTGGTTTGCCTTGTCCTTGTTCCATTTAATATACCAAACCACGTTCATGACCATCCTCATTTGGAATCCTTCGTACGACGTTTACATACCATAATAATGTATTGTACGGACGTACTGTGACATAGTATTGTAAAAACACACTAACAATTATTACTATACAAGTTCGATTATTAAACAATAAATTTCACATAGGTATTCGTTAATTTCAGTTTTAGACGAACGCGAATTGATTTCCAGGTCAATCAATAAATATATTTCATATTTGTCAAAATATAAATATACAATACAGGATGGAAAACGTCGAGGTGAAGTCAAAAATTTTGACTTTGGCGTCATTCTGGATATTGGGTCTATGCAATAACTTTGGATATGTAGTGATGTTGAGTAGCGCTCACGACATTTTAAAATCTAATTCCGGCACGTCGGAAGGCAACGAAGTAAGTATAAATTATAATATTACTTCGAAAGTATTATGCAAAATATTATAAGTAATCAGCTTTTTTTTTTTCCTGAGAAATTAGTATGAATTGTAATTAGTATTGTTAAATTAAATGTTTATAATTATTAATTCTGCATAAAAGGTATTATTTTTTTATTTTTTTTTTTTGACCATGTGATATTTTAGTGTTTTGTATAGATAGATAGATAGGTTGTTACAATAAAGTGCAACAATATAAATAATGTTCTAATAGCATGTATTATTTAATGTGCTTATATTTTTTAATTTAACTAAAATTTGTATGAAATCCAATTGATGGCATGCATCTACAGAATCACTCGTATAATATTCGTTTGTTGCAAAATTTATTGATAAAAACCACATTTAGATAGTATTACTTGTTAAAAAAAAAAAAATTATAATTCGATCATTAATTAGGTCTCAGATTAATATTACAGAATAAAGATAATAAATATAAATGTAAATAAAAACGTTTTTTCCTTCATAAATAATTTGCTATACATAATATTAAAAATAAATATAATAGGTAACCAAATTTATATTAAATATTAATATCCATAATATAGGACTATATGTATATAGAAATTTATAGAAATCGAGTCGTTTTAAAAATATTCAAAAAGTTCTTGAAAATAATTAAGTATTTGATTTAATATAAATAAATTATTTATAGCTTAAAATATAATTAGTATGACTTAACAGACTATACACTGACTTTAAACTATTACTTAATTAAATAGATTAATACTAATAAAGCTACTGTACTATGCTTATGACAATAGCTTTAATTAATTAAATGATCGAATTTCAGATTGTTTGACTGTGATAAAGATTGTATAATAGGTACAAACATACATAAATTTTAACTTAATTTCACTGTTAACGTGAACAAGTAGCAAGACTTATAATTATGTAAGTTTTATCCTATTACAACTGTTATTGATTTCTATTCTAAAATTAAGTGTTAGGGTTTGTAGTTACCACTCATAATATGATATGGATTAAACAATATTTGAGATTTGTTAAGTTCTTAACGAATTATAAGCTGTAACAGACAAATTAATTTGTAATTTGATAACGAAAAACATAAATGAAGTATTATTGGTAGATAAATATGGTGCTAAATATTAGTTATTAAAGGTAGCTAATAATTATTAATTGTAATAATGTATTAATCTGTATAATGATAAGTATTAATAAAAAATAATTCTGTATATATAATATTTAACTTTTTAAATATTTGAATATTTAAGTAATATAGTTTGATCATATTTCGTGTTTATAAATAAGAGTAAATGTAATATGATCTTTTTTTTATCCACTATCTATACTTCTTATAGGTAGACAGATACTCGTACATTATACACTTTAACCTAATCTAACTTGGTTAACATATGATGTTTCGGTTTACAAGGTTTATTCATCATGCTAGCGCGTGTAACATGTCCCTAATTTAAAGAATGACTTTTTTCGATTTGATTTTGCTTATCGATTTTAACTAATATGAATAAATAATTTTTATTTATAAAAACTTTAAGACCAAAATTTCCAAAGTAGGTATATTTATATTAATTTAAAAATTAATTGAGTTCCGAAGACTTGTAAAATTAATTGTGGTCTGTAATCGGTGACCACAACTCTTTAAAGATTGTGGATGATTATAAAATTATAATATGTATTTATATATTATTATTTTGATTTAATTTAAAAGTATTTAGCTATGAAATAAAAAATAAATTGTTAAGTTATTTAAATTTGTACCTGTTTATAATTTTTTTAGATGAAGTTAATTTTATAAATCAATATTATTTTTGAAATAAAATATTTATTTATATAGATTTATTTAATGACATTATAAAATAAATATTTAATATCATTAAATTTGATTTTAAAGACAGTTAGCCTCAATTCCACTCAAGAAGGATTTAAAAGAGAGTGTAATCATTTGTCGACCGGCGTTATACTTTTGGCCGATATAATACCTGGACTGTTAATCAAGACTTTCTCACCATTTTTCGCGTTGTATATCAAGTGGGTATTATCTATTTGTTGAGTAATTGGATCATATAGTTGTTTTATTATTATTATTGGTCTCTTAATGTTTAGATGAATGGATAGTTAATAGTAAATAGTAATATACAATAATTTCACAATGTTGGACATAAACAAGTTAATATATAAACCTTTTTATTAAACTTTTTTTATACCAAATTTTTTATCAAATTTTAATTGATTTTTATAAATATTTACTAAATAATAAGTTTGACAGTAATGACTATGGATGCTCCCTTCCTATATTTTTAAGTCTAGTACAGTAGTATAAATTTTTAACTTAGTTACTTATTGTAATATTTTGTGTATGCATATTGTCAATGTATTTTATCAATACAAAAAAATTAACTAATTAATAAATGAGGTAGGTACCTACTTAATTTACTTTTAATTTTTTAATTACATTTTTTTTTATAAATTATTAAATAATAAATATAACAAAATTATTATTGATGATAGATTGATATATATTACAGGAAAACAAAAATATTATTTTCATATTTATTTATTTTTATTGCCATTTGTTCAATAAATATAACTTATTTTTGATACTATGAGTATATAGACATTTACAAATAATAAAAATATTAATAAAAAACGTTTATGAAATTAATTAATAATGGTACATATTTCCAAGAACAAATAATAAAATATTTTCATTATTGTGATATTAAATAATAAAATGACACTGGACCTCCTAAGTAAGTTGTTACTTATTAGCTATTATTACTGTTATTGTAAATGTATTACTTGTGTCCGATGATATTTAATACTTTTATTATACTCGTATTAAACTATCTGTTGACTATTAATAGATTTAATAAAAAAATAGTTAAAGTTTTAAAGAATTTCTAAATGTTTTTTATTACATTAATTTAACTTGATTAAAAAATGTCATTAACTTACCCAGCTTTTATAATATATTTATTTAATCAAAAATATTATTTTTACAGCCAGAGACTATCATTGTGTATTTCACTGACAATCGCTAGTTTTATAACTGTAGCAAAAGCGAATAATGAACTAGTTGCTGCCGTCGGTGTAGCACTTACATCCTTGGCTTCAGGTCTAGGAGAATCAACACTTTTATCTTACATGGTCAACTATGAACGGTATGAAAATAAAGTATAAAGTAAAATATTTTTATGATTTTAATATATTAGTAAGTCAATATAGAATAAACTTATTGACGACTACTATTATACACAGTGTTTGATTGTGAATAGGTATGAATTCCTCAATAACTTGTAGGTTAAATTAAACTAGATTTTAACAATGATCGGTTATATTATAGATTTGCTCTAAAAACTATACAAATATACTCTTTGTGGTTATAAAAATAATAAAAATATGTTTTATGATATGCATATTTTCTTAACAAATAAAAAAAAACACAAGAACATGTTACAGTGTTACATATTATTTTAAAATAAAAACTAACCATAATTGTAGAAATAGAACATAAATTTATTGCTACCTTAAAGAACATTTTTTTAAATATTAATGATTTAGTTAGAAAAAAAATATTGTAAAAAAGTTAAAAAGCCGTTTTAAAATAATTTCCATGAAGAATTCAAACATTTTATGGAATAAATAGGTCAGTCGATACAACTGTTAACAAAAGATTAATTAATACTTTAACTTAAAAAAAAAAAATAAATAATTAATATTCATGGTACCTATTGATATGTGCGTGAATATGCGAAAATTCTCAACTATATTTTACTTTACGGTCACTTACTAAGCGCGTGTAGTACCTACGTATGTGCAGATTTAGAAAATTACCTATAGTGAACTCCTTAAAGACCACGTATTTTCAAATTGTTGAGATATTTTGTATTGTTTACTTTAGGAGTGTCCCATGAGGATAACTTTTGTTGTTTTTTTTTTAAATGAGAGTTCCTCTTTTTTACTGTAAATTATTTAATGCATAATTGTTTTTAAAATGTTGATATATCTAATGAGAAACTGAAAATCGAATGAGTAATTTCTCAATCAATAAAATGTTTATATTTTACATAAAAAATGGTTTTATAAAAATATAAAATCAATGTCATATTGGACCTAGTGCTTATTATACTTGGGCCAATTTTATAAATTATAAGTGTTGATAGGTTAATAAGTTAATTATAAACATTTTCAAATTACCATGCCTCCCAATACTTTATAAGTTCATTAAGAACCTATTATTTTTAGTTTAAATAAATCGAAAACTCCTCATTTGAAATTTTATTTTAATACGTCACAATATTTTTAGAAAAACTATACGCTAAATAATTTACCGTAGAAAAGAAGGGCTCTTGTTTGAAAAACAAGTTTTACCCCTAAGTAGCACACAAAATATCAAAACAGTTTATTTAACAGCTCTAAAAATAAATGTTTTAATAACTGTTATTGAAGAAAAAAGAGATGCTTGCTATTTGGTCAATTACGTGAAAAACGTATTCTGTGCGAGAAAATAAGGACAGAAATTGTTTTTTTAAAACGTTTATATAAGATAATTATTGTTGTGTTTAAAAAAAAAAAAAAAATAAATATTTTATATTGTAGGAGTGTAATTACATCTTGGTCGTCAGGAACGGGCGCTGCTGGTATATTAGGAGCGTTGACGTATGCAGGATTGACTGGCGTTTTTCATTTATCTCCGACCACTACAATGTACTTAATGCTTTCGGTGCCATTTTTAATGGCTGTAACGTAAGTATTTGTTTATTTTTAGTTCATTTTAAAAAAAAAAAACACTCATTAATAATAAACAATGCGTTTAGTTAAAACAAAGGCAAGAAATCCAATCGAAATTAATTGTCTGTCATAGATGGTAAATACTTATATAATAGATTTTTTGATTATTATCTACATACATATATAGATTAAATTACAGCGTAATAAATTATTGTTCATATGATACCTATCTGAAATGCATTTTTAATTATTACAGTTTTTTTTAATATTTGTTTTTGTACATATATTGTTATTGTACATATTTATAATAATATGATTTTATAAATTTAAAATTGTAATATTTTAAAAATAATTAATTTTTTCTAAGGTTTTGGGTATTGTTAGAACATCCGAAAAAAGAAGAAATTCCAACGATACCTAGCGATTGTCCTGAATTCAATACAAACACTCAGAGTTTTTCGAAAAAACTATCATATGTGCCCTCGTTGTTGAAATTTATGATTCCTTTAGGATTAGTGTACTTCTTTGAGTATCTCATCAATCAAGGATTAGTAAGTTTTCCACACAATTTACGTTATATTTGGTTAAAATTCATATTATACCTATTAATAGACTTAATTGTCTTCAGTTTGAGTTGGTTTATTTTGAAAAAATATGGTTGACACATGCCGAGCAATACAGATGGTACCAAGTCATATATCAGTTGGGCGTTTTCATTTCTAGAACTTCAGTGAATCTCTTTCCGATTGAAAAAATTTGGATTTTGACAGTATTGCAGGTATCTTATTTTGTATACATTTAGGGTTAATTACATAGTTTAGGTAGATAATTAATTCAAAAATAACAAAAAAAAAAAAAAAATGAATATAATCAGTACATTGAATTACAATAAAAGTATATTAACTAGATTAAAATTGAACAGTATATTTTCAAATGTTAAAATAATATTAAAACTTTTTGTTTCAATACCATGCTTCAACATTAATGGAAAACATCTGTTTTCTTTTTAAAGAGAATAAAAAATGTTACAAAAAATGAAAATTTGTTATTTTTAGCCTTTGTGGTTATAGAAAATTGTGTTCTACAAATTATGGATTAGAATGTTATTTAAAAATTCATTTGAACTAAATAAAAAAATAAAATAAAAAATAAACTTATATTATTATTATTATTTAATATTTTAGTGATAAATTAAAGAGTAGAAAGAAGTGGTAAAATAAAATCTGTCCTCAGATTGCAAATATTTTAACACAGTACTACATTTAACTTGTGAACATTTTAATAATAAATTAATTTGATTAATGTAATGTTTTAATATTTAAGCTACTGTGTAATGTTATTTAAAATTTAAAAATAATGTCTTCAAAGTATGTTTGTGTTTATAAATAAAATTAATAAAATTTTTCATTTTCAGGGTCTCAACGTCGTATACTTTTTAATTGAAACGCTTTACTCTTTCACGCCAAATATATATATTATATTCATTATGATAGGATTCGAAGGTTTATTTGGAGGAGGAGCGTATGCTAACTCGTATCATAAGATCATGAAAAAAGTACGAAATTGTTTTATTTTTATAACTCATCAAATATATAATATAAATTATATATTAAATATATATTTACAAAATAATTCACCAAATATGCTTACTCCCACCTTTTTCTTTAATAGTAAATTTATTCAAATTATGAATTTTGGAATTTTTAAATGTGAATTATTAAAGAAATTTTATTTTAAAATACTTTGTTTTATTATGCAATTTTTACTTTTTTCAAATTTAAACCACTCTTTTTGATTATAAATTATGAAGAAGATTTTTTAAATATTTTTATACGTTTATAAATTTAACTTTAAATGAGTATTTTCCAAGTTATTATAAACTTTAAATACTAAGGATAGTAAAGTTTATAGTAATATGTGGGTATTAAAATAAGGAGGCTATGATGTTTTTAAAAATAAAGTAATCAATACAAATTCACTAAAATATTATAATTTGTGAAAATTATTATAATTTAATGTTTTAAATTAAACTACTATTAAAGACTATTATCCTCAATACATAAAGTTTAATAACTCAGTATATACTTATTAAATGAATACAATGTTTAAAAGTATCGCTTAGCATACAATTTACAAAAAAAGAGGTGATTTTTATTAGAAAAAAATTTACTTGCAAAAGGAGACTTTATACAGTATAAAAAATGTCTGTATTTGAAAAAATAGTCTTTAAGTGTACCTACTTCTAAATCTCATTCACCACTCATCCACAGAAGGTTAAAAAAGTAATAGCCTAGGGACTTGCTAAAAGCATAATATTAATAATTTATCTTGTCAAGTGGTACTACGAAGAGCCTTCCTATTCTTAACACAAATGTCATTGTTAAATTTGTCATTAGATTTACTTATTATACTATGCTTCAATGTTTGTATAGATAGTTAATATATTGTTAAAAAAAAAAAAATGTCAATAATAAAAATGTGTACCTAGATATGTATACTTACTTGAAAATTCCAAATATCAGAATTTAAATAAATTTATAAGAGGATAAAAGAGGAGTAAGCTCTAAGTATGCTTGACGAATCATACCCTATATACATAAAATCAAAAATAAACTCTGTTTTGTTATTGCTTGCAGGTTCCGAAAGAGCATCAAGAATTTTCAATGGCCATGACGTCACTTTCTGACTCGATCGGTATTACATTTGCCGGACTATTGGCGATTCCGTTACACAACCGAATTTGTCATATATCGAAATAAGTTTACTTATTGATAATAATTGATACTGTATCTATAAACAAATAAGAGTTTTTGTACTAGAAAAATTAGTTTAAGAATATTGTGTAATTTTGTTAATTTTCAACAAAAATTATTTGAATGTTACTTACTATGACATAATATCGTTTAACTCCTCATTATGATTATTGGTTTGAATATTGTCTGTAAGCAAACATGTTTATTATTTATTATAATAATATTATGAACGAATAAGATAGCACAAATTTGTACTTAAGAGAATGTCTTAATTATAAATTATAAAAGTTTCTTAAATAGTTAAAACCTTTTTGATATTTAATAATAAATTATAATATTTTGTATTCATATTTTTTCTTTTTTTAACTCACAAACTGGCATGTTGACTTTTGCTCTATATATTACGTTCGTTCTTTGGTTAACTACGATGTCTATTGCTCGTTCATCAGCACCGCCGTATGTACAACAAGTAACGAACGTCTCGCAATAGATTTCCATATCCGGAACAATTATCGGCATCTATTATGAATTAGTAAGTAATTAATTTAAATATGTTCATGTACTAATAAAATTAGTCTTGTTTTGCAAAACTTTTTAATGTTATGCCAGTTTTTAAGAAACTATAAATATTATACTTCAGAGACATCTAATCAGTGCTTATATTATGTGTTGTCTCTGCAGTCTTATTACCATTCATAACATACCAAAATGTAGGTACATTTAGCAGTTCCAATTTTTTATGTTTAACTTCAATATTATAGTGAGTTGATAAATTAACAAGCTTTAAGGTAAGAATATTAAATTTGTTTTTTATTAAATTAAAACATCGTAAAAGATGTGAAAGACACAAATAATATTTTTATCTAAAAGTTTTATGATAAATTAATTAATTTACTATGATATTTAACTAATCACTCAAAATTGGAACTACTGAAACTGAATGTAAATTTTGGTTCACTATGCGTAAATAAAATAGTACAACACATTATCCTGTTATACTGGTACGAACTTCTCTTAATTTTTACGCTTACCCTGCAGCGTGGTGATTCTATACTATGATAATGGGCATTGTACAAAAATGCCACGTTAATGCCCATCAAAGGTTCTTTACCCAAATTTTTCAATAAAAAACGTATTTTGAAACGCGGACCCAGACCTAAAAGCTAAAATATACATTTCATGCAATATAATACTGTATTTATGCCAAAATGGGTAATATTATATTATACTGCTACCAGTGACGTATCCACAGAAATTGATAAAAGGGACTATGACAACTTATCTTTATATCTAATATTAAATTTATTGTCACTATATTATATCTATGCAGTAGTAGGTACATAATGTAATAAATATTTTTATGAAATATATTTGTCTCTATAGAGATATCCATTTATTGAATTTGTATCATATAACGCATAACTGTGTAATATATACAGTGTATATATTATAAAGTAAATTAATTGTTTTTAGGTGCGTCTAATGGACACAAATTATATCTGTTTAGTGAATTAGAAACAATTTGATTTATTAACCTTATTTAAACCAAATTTCTAGTTTTATTCTCCAGGGAAAATTTTTACAGAATGTGTAAATAAATTTTCAGTTTTTTTTTAAATTTAAAACACAAAAAAAAAATCTCAAGTATACAAATATTCAACACACATTTTCGCAATAAAATACAGAAATATAGCCCCTTTAAACTTCTCTCTGGGAATGCCACTAATCGCTACTTTTTAACTTTTATACTTGAGCAGACGTGTGTATGAATTGATTTGTAATTTTTTGTTTGATCGAATTTAACCGTTTGTTTGACACTATCATTTGTAGTATTTGCCACGTTTGTTGAGTTCGTACGTGCATTTCTATAAAAACAAACAGAAAAAGAAACGTTAGACGATTCATTCGAATTCTGAATTGATTTTTGTTTATTATTTACCCTTGCAGTGTTCTCTCTCACGCAAAGTCTGTTCTATGAACACATTACTTCTTTTGGGTATGCTCAAGTTACCTTGGACGTGCGCTGTCAACGTTGGGCGAACACACAAGTCGAACGTCGCTGTTCGTTTCAAGAGTTTTATGTCCACTTTTCCATCTAATAATATTTTTGTAATCATTTAGGTTGGTCATTAATTTCTATATCTAATTATAATATATATATATATTAAGATTAACTGTGATTTGTGACTACAGACCATATTATTATGATGGTATAATTATTGATTAAATAATTTATCGATAGGACCGCGAGTTAAATGAGTCATTATCCAAACGCGGAATTTATGATATGATTAAAAAATAGAAAAAATTGCACTACAAATTCCAAAAATTCTATGCAAAATAAATTCACAATTTATAATTATGTTTTATGACACTGAAGATATCTTTTCTACTAATAAATGATATTTTTAAAATATTAAAAAATATTTAAATAAATTTAACGAAAAATAAATAAATAGATAAACGTAAAAAAATAGATATTTAAAATATTCCTAAACTTTTTATATAAAAATATGATTTTTGAATATTTTACATGTGATAGTTTTATTAGTTTAAATGTTAAATAAATTGTATAAAGCGTCAAATCAATAAATCTATTAGAACAAAAATTTTGATACAAATACGTAAAAATATGAAATGAAAACACTTAAATATACCTATGAAAATTAACAAACTAAAATGATATTATATATGTTTTCAATAAAACACGTATTAAGTTCAGACTCGCATTGAATTCAAAACGAAAGTCATTGATTTGCAAAATTATTAAATTCACAGACCTGTTTTTATTAATAAGTATACTCACTAGTAGTAATCATGATCAGAGCATTTTCCTCTTGTCCAAATCTTCCAAACACGATGCACGTCACTGGATCCGGCATGGAAATCTTGTGGATCACCGTCGAACCACAATACATGAGGATCAATCCTCTCGAGTGTCCATCAGTGTTCGTCACGTTGCACGACACAACTGTCATTTCGAGTGACATACTTTGCACATACATGTTCACCATTGTCATAGGATCTCCGGGTAACTTAATGTTCCACAAAGACACACACTGCAATAAGTGTACGGAGTTGTCGATGAAAAAAAAAAAAATTGAAAAATGTTGGTATAAACATTATACATTGTGTTTGGAGAAGAGGAAGCTGAATGTGTCGAAAGAAGTTAACACGTCTGCCCCTTGTTAAAATAATGTAAAATTTATTTTTTGTGCAACAAGTATTTTATATTTTTAGGTACTCATCAGTGACATGATTACACGACCACATAGAATTTTAGTCTCTACTCCCTGCAGTAACACATTTATATCTATAAATGATAAGTCTATATGTATCATAGGCAATATTTGATTGAATTTTAGAGGGGAAAGGGGCTTAAATCTTTCTTTGCATATAACTGTATAAGAACACCGCAAAGACTTATACGAAACGTAATGTCACCTTTAGCGTATAACACTGTAACAGTCCGTCTACAGTGCAGCAGATGAACTTGTCGATACGAAGTATTACGGCCACGATCGCGTGTGTCGTCTCGACCTTAAAGCCGCTCGTCGACGATTTCGAAAAAATGTACATCCTACCCGTTCTTGTGGCTACGAGAATCTTATAGTCGACGTCGTACAGTCCAATAGCAGACATGTAAGCAGTTTCACCCTGTAACTAATAGGAGTATGAAATATATTATTTATTTTTTGTCCACATTATTATCGTATTATTAAAAATGTTTTAAAAAATATTTTTTAACCGTCCGAATCCGTATATTTTACAATACGACCGTATTATGTTATTTATATTAATTTTTGATAGTTGATGATTTATTTTACAGTAAAAAAACAAATATAAATGGTAGATATTTCATTTCTGGTCAATACCTAGCATACAACTATAAAATATTGATGGTTAGGTATAGAGGTATAATAGTATACAAGACACTTAGACACGTATAGATAGGATTATTCGATTGTTAAAAGTATGAAATAACCGAACATTTTGATTAATCAAAGATCTTTACTCAGAAAGCTTTAGTGCTCGATTATTGAAATAGTTTAATAGAACTAATCAATTAACCAATTATTCGAAACAATCGAACAGTCCTACGTATAGGTTAGATAATTTAAGTTTTTTTAAACAAAATTTAAAAATATATTAAAATTATTAATTCACACTAAATTTTGTAGTTACTCTCCTTCTTGGGTCGTTATAGCTTTAAGCTTTGATATTGTAGTAAATATTAGTTTGCTCATTATCAAAATTAAAAATAAGAATATCATCTGAAATTTCAATAAAATCCTATGGAGTAACTCTGATTATAATATTCTTAGTTCTTCCCTACCCTTGCTCTAAGTTTGCACTTTACTTATAGCAAACAAATATCATCAGCCATCAATAAATAATTATTTACAAAAGAATACGATGTTTATAAATAAAACATATAATAGTTTTTGACAATCATATTGACTTATTTAATACGAAAAAACGCCAAGCACGCAATTTAATACATTATACACAATACACATTCATATTGATATTTATACATTATATAGTAAACAAAAAACAAAAATGTATACGTTATTGCATTTAATCCAAATAAGCTTTGCACAATATTAAACTAATAACTCTAGTAAGTTATATATGTATAGTATATTATATTATAATAACTAAGGCTCGGAAATTATTTTATTTGCATGTTTTTTTTTTTTAGGGCTATTAGATTTATTTTTAAGTAAGCTTGAAATTAATTTTACGACACAATAAAAAAATATTAAAAGCTTATTGTGTATATTTTTGCATATTTAATGATTTTGTAATTTTTAAAGCATAATTTTCAATTTTACCATTTTTTAGACCACATTTGATGATTAATGATATGTTTATAACATAATATGAAAATTTGACAATAAAAAATAAAATGCTTTATAATGTTTATTTATTTTCAAGATTTTTCTAGGTATTACTGTATGTTTTTGAAATTCCTAGTAGACATGCAATTTCTCATCTTTATTAATAAATATTTAGTAGAAATTATAAAATGTAAAAATATTTTTTAATATAATATTCATATTCATGAAAATTATAAGTAGAAAAAAAATAAGTGCTGAAGTGCATGCATATTTAGTAGGTGCATTTTAATTGCATTAAGTTCCAAGTCCTAATAATAACTATACGATTGATACATAGTATAAATATTATATGTATATAATATAGATTATAGTATGCATAAATAGTATATATTCAATACTATTATACTCACAACTGAAAAATCAACTAAATATTAACCAAAAAAAATCCGTAAAGAAGAACTCGATTATAATACAATCATAAAATACATTATTATGTAACATCTTATAAAATAATATTACCTCATATTTGTCCGGTAAAATTTTAAACGATTCAGTATCAAGTATGCTGATCATGTCAGTGGTTGCTATTACCAGACAACTGACCCCCTGTACATCGCTCTTATTCCTTTTCAACTCCGTAACACATGTTATGGTGTGCTAAAAATTATACATTCTAAGTACCTATTTTATTAACGATTGGGGTCGACGGAGAAGTTATTTTAGTTAGGTAATCAAAGTCAATAATATTATAATACTTGCTTGTTTTACTAGATTATTTTTTCTATACTTCTCGAAATATTCGACGAGATGACACTCGTTTAAGCATAACATTTGCTGTGACGTCGTCGAAAGATTCACGAATCCTATTTTTGACGAAAACACTTGCAAACGTTTTAGCAAATCGAACGCATCTTCACTCTCTTGCCACAATTTACATTCTTCGGCATCTTTTATTATTGTCGATTGAATTGAATATTTATGATAGGGCTTACAATTTCGATAAAAGTATATCTCGTTTTTTATCACTACAGCTATACCTGCAGAAAATATTTCATCCGATCATAATAAAATATTAAAATAATAATCATTTTATTGTCTTACAAAGTACGAGTATAGGTATATATGTAGGATATGTACCTCTGTGATATTGTGTTATAAATAAGTGTCGCTTCTAACATTATTATAATGTAATGTATGTTTGGAAACTTTTTTTTATTGTTTTTAAGAGGACATCGCACTCGCGTGTGTTGTCTCCGTCGTACACACGTTCGACATAGTAAATTTTCGTTTACTAGTTTTAATAGTGTGCTTTTAGTTTTGAGTAAATTAACCTATTATCGTTTATCAAGCTTTTAAGTAAGAACATAATCTGTGTTCTCTTGTTAGTTTTTTACGATATTTTAATTTTTAAATGAGTTAAGACTGTTAAGAGTATGAAAAATATAAACATTTGAAAATACTCGTAATTCACAGGTCGTACGAGCTAGTCGCTATTCGATTTTTAGGTATGTTGTCCGGCGCGCGGCGTGCAACGACCGTGGCACAGCGGCTGTAGTTGCTCGTTCAAAAAACCGTCACTCACAACATACGCCCCTGTTACATGTGTACCGATCTTTCCCCGTTATAACGCGTTCCATTAAACGTTTATAACGCGTTTTCATAACGTTTATGATGCGTTTATATCTTTCATACTCGCAACTCACTTAAAAATTAAAATATCGTAAAAAACCCAACGAGAGAACATAGATAATGTTCTTACCTAAAAGTTTGATAATAGGTCAATTTACTCTAACATCAAAACTAAAAGCACACTATTGAAACTGGTGAACGAAAATTTACCATGTCGTACGTGTGTAAAACGGAAACGACACACGCGGATGCGACATCCTCTTAATGTTTAGATAATTTTGTATTTTTATCAAAGCATTTTCTCTTTATTGTTCATACAAATTTAGCACTGTCCATAAATAATTATTTCACTAGTATGAAAAATTTTCTACTTTTTTTTCAAAATAAAAATTTCGAATCAAGTTTAAAAAGTTGGTCAAGTGTATACCACTTCGCTGTACATTGAGTAATGACTAATGAGTGAGTTACAGTATAAAAAGTTGATTATCAATTTTTAAATTAATACCATCTTATCGTAAAACAGTGTGAATATCTAAAAATCAATTTATTTTAAAATATTATTGTTTTAAATAAAATTAATCGAATTAATCGAATAATACTTTTGAATCACAACAAATCTATAAAAATAACTGTGATGTTTTTAAGTTTAGCATAAAAAACTTATGAAGAACATTATTTCAAATTAACAAGCTTTAGCAATAAAAATTGAACATTTTATAAATTTTCAAGTTGAAAACAGTTTCAAAATGTTTGCGATTTTGATGAATTTTGTAATAATTTTAACTTTAATTGCATATAATAATAATTATACTTACGTATATTTAATATTTTTAAATAGATATAAAAATAACTTTTGCGGGATCTTATATAATTTTCAAGAATTTTGACTCAATGAATAATTTTTTATCGTCATTCATAGAAAAAAGAGATAACAAATTTAAAAAGTTTTTAAATAGCTCAAAAAGATTTGAAACATTTTTAAAATTGTGATTTTATAAAAAAAAATGATAATATAGGTAAATATTGGTGAACATTTTCGTATGATTATTTATTTTTGAATTACAACAAAAAACATGATTTTGCAATCAACATTTTTCTCAACAGGAACATTGTAATCAATTCTCAAACCAATATTATGATCTTGTATAATTTTTAACATACTTTTATACGAAAAACATATTTATAAATTGAATAGAGATTTGGTCATTTGGATACTATAGTATTATATTTAATTTATAGATAATTTGACTACGTAGGTTAAATTATTATAGTATTATAATTTATTATATAATCATTACGTATTTTTATCGTTTATTACCTATAACACGAGTACGTACGTATAGGTATATCAAACTTCATCAAAAAATGTAATATCGATTAAGATGCGTGTTTAAAATATTGGAATAGATTTATTGTTTGTGGGTCTGCAATTCAACTCTCAAGAACACTCTAAGATATTTTCGGTTAAATTAGTCACTATTGATGTACGTATTTACCTATTGAACTTATTGCTTATAATTTTGATTTGATTGTACTTATCAAAATATTAGAATGATCAAACTTTCTCACGACGCCTCGCTCGTCGCCCGAGTGCCGTTTACTGATACCTAATTTGCAAATAAAAAAATACTCTATAGTATATACATCATGGATCATGTTACACAATATGTCTTTATAATTATGTAGTTATTAATAGGTGTAACTCACATACAAAATAAAAAACGTTTATTTTAATTACTTCGAACTCGTTATTATAGAATACCTATACAGTTTTCATGCTTAAATTTAGATTATAATATATTTTGATCAATCGTTTGAGTACAGAAAATTGTAATTTAAGTAACAGTTAATGTTATGTTTCTACGATTAATGTGTAATACTTTTCGAATAACGACGAAAAAAAAAAAAATTCAAATCGTTTTTTAAGCGTGAATTTTATCAAAATGTAAACTTAATTATAACTAAATTATGAAAGTAAACACGTGAAATTATGCGTAAAGATTTTCAAAAATATCTGCTGAATTAAAAGTAAAAAAGAAATTCTCGTCTGTAAACCAGAACTCTGAATGACTGTGTCAGGATGGTATAAATAATAATTAATTCATATTATATTATATTTTAATAGCGCAGTATTAATCCGGAAACATTCTAGAAACGCGTTATAAACGTTCTAGATACGTACTACAAATGTTATGAAAACGCGTTATAACCGAACTAAAACGCGAAAGATCGGTACACATGTAACAGGAGCGTATATTGTGACGTGACGGTTTTTGAACAGAGCAGCTACTGCCGCCGCCACGGCCGTTGCACGCCGAGCGCCGGACGACAAGACTTTGAATCGAGTAGCGACTAGCTCGTGCGACCCTAGTACTGTAAACTCCGTTTCGTCAACGCAAATCGTCATCGACCGCGTTTGGTATGTTATGTGTACCTCCATGTTCAGTTCCGGTTAGTCAATTTTAAATCCCCGCCAAGTTTATTATCACATTATTGCTATCATCATTAGTTTACTACTGCCGTCTGTTGTATATTCAATTAAAAAATAATATTAGGTATTAATCGTCACTGTTGTAATCGTTGTGATTTGTACTCATTAGCGTATTCAATCGTTTCAATCTGTATACGTTTAATCATTTATAATTATGTGTATAATCCGTCCAGTTCATCGTAGGGCTCGGTAACTGAAAACACATTTTTAAAAAAAACAGTGGTCCGAAAACTGAATTGGGTACTGAAAAACACCATGGACTTACGGGGCACGGACTAGTGCACACAGAAAATGAGATGATAATATTTTTTTAATAGTTAATCTTGATAGATATAATACAATTTCCGGACTGATGTTTTTTTCCAATCTCAACGGTTGTCGTGCCAAGACGAACAGTTTGAACGGGTTATGTTTTCCGTTTAAATTGGATTGTGACTTTTAATTCCTTATTTCCTCGTTAATTAAATTGTACTTCATTCAGTTGGAAGTAGGTACTTACCTATATAACTGCATAAGTACCTACTTAATATAATGTGCTTAAAGGCGTACCAAAGGTGGGGAAGCTGGGGAGTCATATTTAGGCCTAATAGGTATTATTTTAATTTATTTGTATACATAGACATCGGTGTGTTTTTCTTTGATAGTTTATACATTCAGTTTAAAATATTAAATCAAAATGAAATTGACTAAACTTATAGAAACAGCTAGGACTATACATATATAATAAAGTTGACGTCTGTATTACACTTTCAAATTTTAAAGATTACCAATTTAATTGATTAAAACGCCCAAAAAGTCCACAAATTTTCAGTTTTATATAATTTCCAAATTATTTTTATGACCAATATTTATATAAATACTTTTTATGTAAGTGATTATTTGATTTACCTATGTATGATACGTTTTAACATTATACCAAGGGTTGTTTTATTATATTTTACTATATATTAAGATATATAGTTAATAAATAATATTTTTTTGCGCAATTGAAATTATTTAAATATTATTTTATAGGTAGCAAACATTTAAAAATGATCAGTAAAAATACTTAAATTAATATATTATATAAGTACAGTTCATTCAATATTCATAAATATTTATCAATGAACATTATATTATTTATTGTAAACCTAGTAAATATAGAAATTAAATCGATGTTTTTTGAAAAATAACAAATATTTATATCAATATTGGATGTTTCATATAAAATATTTATAATTTAATTATTTTTAAAAATGACAAACAAACTTATATTGAAAACATCTAATTTAAATATCTAAAATGTCAAATCTTATTTAAATATAACTTTAAAATTTAAATATATGTAGCTTTTTTTTAAAAGTTACAATGAGAATTGCAACTAGATAATTTTAAAATAACTTGAAAATTATATAACTGATTTATAATATTATCCTGTCTTGGTTATTATAACACTAATATAACAATTTTACGTTTGAAATAACAAAGCACCAATGGTGATTTAAGGTATTTTATTAATTTGATGTAGATTTTAATATTTTTTTAATCATCAATGCTACGCGTAGTCATGAAATACAATTTTCTTTCGTCGTTACTTACAAAAATAATTGGCTCATTAATAAACCGCACGCTTACATTTTTTCTGATAACATTATTTTGATATCCAATATAACGATTTGATTTCATGAAATCGATTAACCTCATGCCATACAATTTTTATATTTTTATGTCATAATTGATATAAGTACCACGCACGCATCATATGATATAACATTACTGTTAATCATTTACATATCATGTGCATCGTTAATCGTTATTTATTATAAATTTTTAAGTATCACCAATGGGGTACCTACGTGATTTTAAAATGTTTTTAAGACTTACACGGGATGTGTTGTTCACTGTTGTCCGTGTACACGGTTGTAACAGCTGATGGTTTTTCGTTCAAGTATATTATGTGCGTTCGTTTCAATCCTTTGTAAATCTAAAAAGAACGTAAATATATAAGTATTTATACATATCATAAAATATTTCATATCTTATATAAAAAGTGTAATACTTTTAATTGTGGACTGGACGTTCCCGAACCGAAATCTATGACTACGAATTTATTATCATTGTCACCGTGGACATCAGACAACATCATACAGCAGTTAAACGTTTGCAGATTGATTGGTGGGTTGATATCCACGTCTATCCACGTAGAACTCCTGTAAAACGAACGTACATTCAATGAAAATAATAAATGCATTATAATAACAATTAATTGATAATAATATATTGCGATAAATTGTTGACTTGTTTACATTTTAAAATTTTTTCCACGCAAAAACAACTATAATTATAACGATCGTAACATTATTCTAATCGAAGTTCGAACATGTATTAATTCGTGCACGTATAATATTATAGTATTTTTATAGAGTTTAGACATTCGTGTCGTATTAGTGATGATTGCATTGTACAGTAGGTAACAGCAAGTAACTTTTTGTTTTAGAACGCTTCGGTGTGTTGTACGGCCGGTCGCTTAGCAACTATTTATATTCCCTTGTGCGGTTTAACTTATGAATCAAAAATGTGCAGTACGTAAGAATACATTTTTTTTCCTATTTTCAATGAGAAACGATAGATAGGTGAACTGCGATCTAAAACAAAGCAGGTACACTGACATATTTAATGGTACACAAGCCATTTTAAAATATTAGAACAATTTAATATCATGACACTCTACAGTATATCTTTTTCTAAAAAATGTAACCCTCTAACATATTTTAATTATAAGCTATCAAATAGTTTATTGAACTAGACATATAAAATTAAATACATTGATGTTATATTCTATTCAAAACAATTATTTATCTTGTATGTATTTCAAATCACTATCTGTTTTTGGTATGATTAATAAAATTGTAAATTGTAGTGATCTTAGTAATTTTATAAGTATTTAATCTTATTAGTGACCTATGGTATATATATTTTTTTTTCCTTGTTATTAACTCATTATCATAATTACCATACACATATAAGTATCAATCTTCATTACTCTAATATTACATTATTATTCTAAAATAATATGTTAATGTATTTTTAATGCTGTGTTTTTAAGTTATCAATGTTATTACTTATTAATTTACTGTAAATTGGGCTAACGCCTGTTAATATTATTAATTAAATATATGACGTCATACAATTTTAATGACACTATTATAATATTGCTCTTATTTTTCTTCATGTTGTATGATTTTTTTCCCATCAATATGCTTAAAATAGTGTATCTGACTTAAGATTGTGAAATTAAAATTACCAGTTTTTTTTTTTTAAATGAAAAGTTCACAGGATTTCAGCACCTTTAATAAGGGTGATCAAATATTAAAAAAATCAAGAATTTCGTATACCGAAAAAGGAATTAAAAAAATTGAATGTGTGTAGTTGAGTTGATCACCAAGTAATTATAACATGCAGTATGTCGATTAACTTAAATGCTAATGAGTAAATAATTTATGATGCAGTAAAAATATTTTAGTGTAGTTTTTTTAATATAATATTTTATATACATGACATATGGGGCCTTGTGGTAAAATAAGAGCTAATAATTAAAAAAAAAAAAACTGCTAATAACTAAAATATTACCACTTTCATCATTGTGAAATCTGTGGATTATGAATTCAAGTCACTGACTTTATTTATTAATTAGCATGGTATATAAGATCGAATTATAGATTACAGTCAGACTATACTCTTCTCATCATTGGGCCTATTTTATGTATAATAAACCAATATGTTTGTTATGTGCAGCCGTGTAGGGTTGAGCAGTACCTATCTTCGACACAATAGTACCTATCTTAAATACATATTATATTGTATTTACAATTGTATTTTTTATATTGTATCTCGAAACAGTCATAGTAATTATCGAAAATTTATTTGTATTTTGATACATTTTTAGTCTATGTATTTTTATTAAATAATTGATACATGGAGTAAAAATGTATCAAAATACAAATAAATTCTCGATAATTACTATGACTGTTTCGAGATACAATATAAAAAAATGTTCATTTTTTTCCAAAGATTAATAACTCTTATTATAATGTACATATTTTTATCTTCATAATTATTGTTATATTGTTGATAATATTAATCCAGTCTACACGATTGTAGGTATGTATTATACATTTATACGTGGAAAATATTCGTCAATTATTATATTTTACGAGTCTTTAATACATAGACATCAAATGGTAACTTAGTGATGTTTCTAAATGTATATAATAGATATCTCACATTCGCATCATATCATATCTGTAAATGTATTGACATATAGTTAAATAGTTACTGTAGCCGTGAATGGTAAAAATAAAAAAACGTATACAAAAATATAATATTAAATATCATTATATTACGATCAAAAATTCCCAAATATTGGGTAATTTAAACAATTAGTCATTTAATATTACTTTAAAAAATTTAAAGATATTTCTATTATAAAACAAGTTATACAAAAATAAAATAAATTAATAACTCTAACTGGCTTGGTTGTTTATTAGTCATTTTACTATTATAGATGAATACTTATAATATGACAGAATTACTTTTATCAAAATAATTTTATATTTACTATCTTCGTAAATGTTATAAAGTTTGTAATGACTAATTATTATTAATAATTTATGATAGTATTTACTTAATGTTAATTACTTACATTATTTAATAAATAATAGATAACAATATTTTACAATTTATGATTTTTTTTTTTTATTTAATGATATAAATTATATTTGATTAATCGTATAGAATTTATTCATTTTTCAGACTAACCAATTTAAGAAGTAAGCCAAATCACAATAATATTGGATTTTAAAAACGTAAATGCATATTTTGCGTGATCCTAATGACAATACTGCTTTGCACTATACGTATTACAAACCATCAGATCTGATTAAAATGACGGCCGACATAACATGTGGCTTAAAATATAATCTCTATATCTACTTGGACGAAAAACAAACATCTGTCGGCGTAAAAATATTAAAAAATATCATTATTCATCACACCGTTTAGTGTTTACCTATACGAGAGTTTGAGACATGCGTGCTTATCTTATATATATATATATATATTATAGCGTATAAGAAAATAAATAATAATTGTGTATACTCATTACTCACCGCGTCATCTAAAGTCGTTTTATCTTTGTTCGGTAACATAATGTCGTCATTTAGTTGTAGTAATATTACCACGAGATAATAGTAATTGAACGCGCTGTGCCGGCGCAACCGCTTACATATTATATAGTTATCATCGCTGAAGTGCATCCGTAAACATCGATATCGTAGATATTTACGTCTAAATATTTAAGTTCCAAGTAGGTACAGCACTACAGCAGTACACGGCAACTCGTTCGAATAGAATATTTCTACGTCACCTGAATAATCATATTATATACGTATGTACCTACCCTTGTGACAAACAGGGTTTCGTTTATTACTGCAGGTAATAATATTAAATATAATATCAAATAATAAGTATACAGTTTGGTAATTTAAAACATAATTGATTCTTATTCAAAGGTTAATCCAGGTTTAGTATAAAAGTTTAATAAAAATGAAACTCGAACAAAAATTACTTTTTCTCTCAAACGCATAAGTCATGAGTATAATACATTAATACAATATATTCAATATAATGGTATTTTTCAAAGGAAAGGAAATAGCTTGAGTAACTATTATAATGTTACGTTGTTCAAATTAATTACAAAATATTTTATCGTTTTAAATACCACCGGAGAAAGGTCGATGTTGAAATATATTTATCGAGATTTCGGTTGAATATAAAATTGTATCGATCAAATTACTTACTATACTTATACTAGTTTGTCGCTCAGTTCATTCAAGTCCCCATATTAATGTGTTATGCTAATGATCAGTATGGACGTTGAGATATTTGTAGCTATGATGTGAAGTATAATATTATTATTATTGGATAGTAAATAGTAATACGTCGAAATCACATCAATCGTTAACTGATCGCATCTGAATAGGGTTCTATGTTATTATAATGAAGTAATTTAATAAGATGTACTTAAATCTAAAACACGGTAAATAATAATAATAATAAGCCCCCACAAATCCAAATGGTAAAAAATAAAATAATAATAAACCTGCACATTACTATTAACGCACTGTGAACATTTACTTTTTAGACGATCGTAGATCCCGAGCCTAGCCGATTAATATCGTAATATTATAATATCATAATATTATTATTATTAAAACACCGTCGATGTCGTCCAGACGACAGTCCGTCGTCGCGAAACCCGGCGGCGGAACGCTGATCCGGTTGACGCTGAGCGGCGGCGCATTAGTCGCGTCCATAGCGGCTGTCAGCTGTTTCCTGACCGTGTGGTCGTACTGGTACTTCGAGCTTGACGCCGACTGCACGCAAGCGCGCGACTGCAAGTGCCTGCTGTTCGGCACGAGCTTCGCGGGCGGCGGTTTCGTGGGCGGCGACCGGTTCGCGTGCCTGTACGTCACGTACTCGCTGCTGGCGTCCGCCGGGCTCGCGGCCTGCGCGTGCGCATACCACGGTTGCAGGGCGCTATTCTGCCGGCACCATCAGCACCACCAGCCCATCAGGTCAGCGGCCCATACCGGACCCGAGAACGGCACCAGTGGCCGCAGAAGGTACATAATAATAATATGTACCTTATTTCGTGGTCGAAAATCTATTTATTTATTTATTTAATTTTTTTTTTTTTTTTGAAAGCTGAAAGGTAAAATCTTTATTGTTTTTACAAAGCCGTTGTTAGAATTTTGATCGCAAACGATTGGTTTTGAAGTTGTGGTGATTTAAAGTTTGTCAATTCGGGAGCGGTTTTATTTACATTTGCTCCTTTGGGTGGGTTATTTTTACCCCGGTGGGCCTGTTTAGGATTGAACTATTATCCAACGAGAGGTCTGTACAGGATCTAAAGTTTTCAACCGCTGTAGCCGGCAATCGCCGCGTATCTATATGGCCGGGGAACAGCTACCCTTTATTAATTTAGTATTTACCTATATACATATCACGCACGCCCTCCCCTCCAAAAAAACACGCTGAAAAAAGTGAGTTATTATTTTATTAACATACTCAAATTAGTATATTACGAGTACCATAATAGTCTCAACATTAATTTATTAATATTTTGTATACACGTAGACCGAGTAGATCGACAACTTGCGGCCCTCATAGTGACTTTATGTGGCCCGCGATAACAATTTATAATTAGTATAAAAATATTGTAAGTACAGTGTACTTAGTACACTATATTATTGCTTATAAATGAAAATTATTGAGGCATTGAGTTGCAAAGTGACGGAAATCTTAAAACCAAGGCTTATATTTGAAAAAAAAAATTGTTTTACGTTATTTAAAATTCAAATGTTATACAAATTTTCAGTTTATCGTTGTTCAGAATTAAAACATTATTCAACTTTTGCGTCAATCGTTATTCAGAATAAAAAATTTTAATATATTTTATTAATTATAATTATTAAATAATTGGAAATTAATTATTTCATTTAATGATATACTATATTTAACGTTTTGCGTTGTTTTGTTTTATGATATATCATATATTTTGTTAATCGTTATGTTTTATTTTGTGTTATTTAACTATTTATGTTTATTGTTTTCCGTTATAATTACATTATAAATCTCAATCGTTTTTTGTCAAATTTAACGTTATAATCATAGCATTATCATAACGTTTGCAAGCCTTGCTTTAAACTGATTTCATGATGGCCAAAACTTAGTTCAGTTTTATTTGAGTCTTTGTGAAACAAAATTTAGAAAAATAAAGTATTTTGCTAAATAAATGTTATCCGTGTTTGGAAGTACATAGGTACGTTTATTTGTGAGCAAAATTGTTCACTAATGAAATCGAAAAAACAAATTTATGCTTCGCGATTATCCGATAGTCACTTGATTGCTATATATTGAGAATGTTTCATCGAAAATCAAACCAACGGGCAACGATCAATAAACTGGTTTATGCTATTCAAACTCAAAAGTCACATTAACTTTTACTTTGTATTTTTTTTTTTTTTCATAATTAGTATGTGTTATCGTTAAAAAATTGTTAATATATATCTTATTGAATTAATATATAAAACAGCGATGGACTTAAATAAATTAAATTTGATATAATCATAAACTCTTGTTTAGATAGAATAAGGTGTACTTGATTTTTGTTTCGTGAAATTTTTTTTTTTTTTTTTGACCCTTGTCACTAAGAAAGTTACCGCCAACCACTGATATAGACTATGGCGGTAGTGTTTAATTGTTAATTGCTACAAATATTAAAATTATAAAATTACAATATTATCTATCAACTATATTCTAACTAATAAATTATTTATTGGGTATAAGTTAATTATAGATTAACATGACTTATTATAACACATTGCTATTGCACACTACATGTAGTCGTAGTGTTATTTGTAGTCTACTGCTATTCACAAAATTTCGGTTAATTAAGAATTTTTTTTTCATTAAAATATGTATTTAAGATATATAAACAATACACACGTTTTAATATTTTTACCTTGTTTTACTACTTTGATATACCTACAGAAATGATTCAAAATATCTATTTGGTTATATTATTTTAACTTTTGATTTAACTGATTATTTTTAACTGGTCTTAAACCGACCACAGTGTGCTCGAAATAAAAAATAACAAAAGACTCTATCGAATTAAAAACATAGAAATAATTAGATATCTGGTGAAAATAATTATTTGAAGTTTCCTATCTCTAACTACTTACATCCCTCACGCAGCGATTTGAATCTAAATGTTTTAGTCCGCAGATACAGATGAGTGGTTTAACGATGTGTTTTGCAATTATTCTCGCTGTCATGGCGTTAAATATGTTTATTGCATCCATCGTGCTGAGTAATGGATATATTTCGACTTGTCTGCAGTACGTGCATCGAGTGAAAAGTTTTTTGATGGTACCTAATGTTTTAAATTTGTATAAAACTATAGCGATTAACAAGATTAACAATCAATATAAAAATTGTTCGTATGATTATTATAGGTTTCCGGAAACATGGTAGAATTGATAACAAATCGTATGTCTTGTGCCACCATTTACGATTTCATGGACTATTTACAACCACCATCGCGACAAGTGACATATGAACTAATCCATCGACACAAAACTAATCCGCGCGATTCTGTGATTAATACATCAGCACTTTTAATGATATCTATTGTACTGTCATGGTTGAACACACTAATATGGATTTTATTTACGTATTGTACCTATTACTTCAAGTAAATAAGGGTAACTATCTATTAACTTAAATAATTGTACTTAATTTTAGAGTAATTTATTGAGAAATGTTTTTTATCTTATTTATTGACACGAATTAGATTTGTGTATAATATTTTAAACATTGGTACCTACATAACCGCGGAGGTAGGTACTTAAAATAATCAATTGTTACTTGTTAGTACAAAAAATGAATAGGTACCTAGTTGAGTTATTTAAATAAATGTCATTTATAAGAAAAATCACTGTTAACAAAAACACGAGCGACACCTAATATTAAGGTTTTGTAAATATAATTTACCTTACCTACTTTATTTAACAGTTGTAATAATATTTTTAATATATTTATGAGCTTTTTAAAATTTAAAGTCTAATTAAAATGTTTTAAAATCAAATGTTTTTAGTTTTTAGACAGTCTGATCATAATGCAAAAATAAAATGGTAATAGAAACATTTGATACTAACTAGTCGATAAAAAAAAAAAAAAAAAAAAAAAAAAAAAAAAAAAATAAATAATTATAAGAATCACATATTAAGAGGATGTATTGTCTCTATACATTTTCATACCTAATTTTTACAATAGCTTATTTACTGTTAATACCGGAGGAAATATACAATTGTTTAAATGTATAGAGAAGAATATGAATTGTAATGAAGCGAAGAATTTCATTTCATCATGCTCTATAAGTACATATACCTACTAGAATAATTTAAAATATAAAGTTCATATAACATGTTTTAAAATAACCATTGACAAAAAGTTAAAAGGACAGTTCATATTCTCCTCTAAAAATTGTTTTGTATTTAAATTTACTTTTATAATTTTAATTGACTTGAAGTTTTATAGTAAGATTTCAGTGTTTAGACTTGTTATGTTACGCGTGTGTTAGACAGAAACAACACATGGAGTTACGACGTAGTCCCCTTCATAATTATATATTTTTTATATTTAATTTAAAGTATGTTAAGATGAAGTCAGTTTTATAATAAAATCTTTTCAGTGAAATATGAATATTGATTATTATTTAAGTATTTTTGAATATAAGTACTTCTTTGTATAATTGTATAGCTTAAAAATTAAAATATTACTAATTTTTGTTATTTATTATTAACTGGTTGATTCTTTTAATAGTAAACACTCATTAATTGTTTTTTAAAAAAGTATAAGTATTTTTATACATTTTTTTACGTAATTTGAATATATAGTAAAATTTTATTTTAATCTTATTTTTATTTTCTTGAGAATTTTCAAGTAAAAATATTTTATTTTAGAGTTTGGAATATGAAATTCAAAATGTATATTTTCATTTAAAATAGTAAGAATATATATTTTTTTAATATTGTTTTGTAATGTCTTAAAATTATGTAAAAAAAAAATCGTGGTTATTGGTAAAATAATTATTTTGTGTATATTATATAGAAATAAAAATATGAATTAACTTAGTAAAGTAAAACTACGTAACAAAATGTGATGACAGTCCATTTTACATAATAATTTAAGATAAAAAATATTTATTTAGTATCTATTATATTATATTCATCATAAAAAACATAAAAATACAAAACCTTATTTTACAATATTTCTACTACTGATACATAATTTATATAAGTAAAACACTAACATACATACCTAAATACTATCTTTTTGAATAAATCTCTATCACATTTGTCTTAGAATCATTTAAAATGTGTACTTGATCTAACAAACATATTATGTAAAAATATATTTTCTTAAGTAGGTACTATATAAAATATATAATATTTAGTACAAACCATTAGTTGGTGTGCATTTAATTTAAATGAAGTTAAATGTGAACATTTTTATTTATAAGCGAGTGAACTGATAAAATTTTATTTTTTAGTTATTTAAAAAATATATAAATATTTACTTTTAAAACAACATTTATATACTTATAAAAGAGTAAAATTATTTTTTCATACAAATATTGATATTTATATCTTGATAATAGAATATGTTACTTTTGATTGTTCCATATCAATGTCTGGTACTTTCAGGTGAATTTTTAACTGGCATAATTTTTCTAGCACAGCAATACCTTAAAAATAAAATTATTGTGCTTTCTTAACATTTTGAATGAAATTATTATAACCTTAAGTTAAGCTTTAAATAATTGTTTTTACCATCTCCTCTGTTGTTACTATATTTACATTCCCATGCATCAAAAAGCATATTATAATATCTAGAACTATCAAAGTATTGATGATATTTAAAAGATGAAGCAGTTGGAAATATTTTTTGAAATCTAAAATCATAAACATAGTTAATAATAATGATAACAATGAAATGAATAATAATAATGTATTAATAAAATACGTACGAGCCACTTTGTGACAGTTCATCTTCGTATAAAATAAGATGCCGAATATCATCTGGTAATAAATCATCTAATATACTATCAATATACTAAAAAATAAATAAATAAAAGTTTTTTATTAATTAATAATTATAATTTTAATTAATAATTTATACTTCTACTCTGGATTTAACATTTGTATAATATTCTTGTTTTTCTTTTTCTTTAGCAGATAAATTTAATGTATATAATCTCTTATCATAACATAGATGTGATTTGACTCCCAACATCTTGAGCAAAGTATTCTGCAAAAAAATTTTAATTTAATAAAAAAAAATTAATAAAATATTTATTGAATGATAATTATTGAAATCAGTTATTAAATTAATTAATATTTGTATAAGTTATTATAACTCACATGTGTATTATAAGACATTTTATTTGGAATATGGTAACCAACCATATTCATCACATCTCTGACTAATGGTCCTTTGACAGCCAAATCAAGTGGAGAAGATGAATGTAATGAAGGAGATATATTGACCTATCATTGCACATAAAAGTATAAAATCATTAATAAATTAAATTCTATAAACGCGTAATTTTAATTACCTCTAATATCCAAGGTTTAAGATATTTATCGAACAAAACATCTATTCCAAATAATTCATATGCGTTATATCTGTTAGTTAAATTTGAACGACACATTTGACTCATAGGTGATTCACCACTAATGACAGTTTTCACAACCAAATCTTTTAAGCTCTCCCATAATTTTTTAACATCAATTTTGCATTCATTTTCCATGTACGTCCATAATGATCGTAATGTCCTAAGTGATTATAATTAATTAATAATCATTGCATTTTTTAAAACATAATTCCTACATTAAGCGTACATTATATACTATATATTTTATTATTTACCATTTATGACCTTGACATGCATCAGCATCTTCATTTTCAGTAAACTGACTACTAAGTCTGTTAATACTGTAGTTTGTCAAATGCATATATCGATCACATATAGTGGTAATATCAGATGAATACTTAACTAAAATATTAAAAATAAATAAGTGACAGTTTTGAACATACAAAAAAAAATGAATATACCTGAAGCAAATCGTACAAGCCCATTATCATAAAGATATAGACGAAGTGGATTGATTGAAGTGATGAGTATATAGAGTCTTAAATCAAATTTAGTATCGTTGATTAAATATGGATTATCTATGTACCTTTGTACAACTAAAGGTATATTTTTTGGTATTTGATCCCATTTCGATACAACGTAAATTCCAGTTCCTCTAGCAGATGCTGGCTATAAATACCAAAATAAATGTAAGATATTAAATAAATTATCGTTTTAAGGATTAGTTTTAAAAATAATACCGGTTTAATAATCCATTTATTTTCATCATTTTTCTCCCAAACTTGTCGTAACATTTCAGCTTCTTGGGGTAATATATATGATGTGGGTAAAAAACCAAATTGTTCTTCACCATACTTTAACATTAATGCATGTAAATTTTTCCACAACTTATCTTTACGACCAATTTGAAAACTACCCGGTAAATGGTTAATTTTTTGTTGTTGCCAAAGTGTTTTGAAACATAACGATTTAATATGTTTACCCCAAGTTCCTATCCAATCATTAGATTCTTAAAAATAATAAGACAAACAAACATTAATTATTATTTTTAACAATTATATAATACAAAAGAAATAGGAAAAAACTATAAAAAGACACTCACGGGATCGTGGTAACATCATTAATTCATTAGGTGGAGGAGTTATACCACAAAAAGCATCAATGATAGGAGGTGTAACACCACAGTGGTTTTGTAAGGAAATGGCATTTTGACTGAATTGATTAGCAATGACTGTAGGATCAATTGTATTTTCAACTAAACTATGCTCACTTCTAACGAGTTTAAAACCACTATTTTGAACAGTTCGACGTACAACAATTGGAGTTATTGAACTTAGTTTCCATTTTAGTAACTTTTGCAATGATAATGGAAATGATTTACCTGTAATAATAATTATATTGAAATATTAATAATTTTTATCTAAGTAAATATTCAATAAAAACACATTGATACCTTTACTATCATAAGAAGAAAATCGTATGTATGGCGGCATATTAGAAAATAAACTAGGTCTTAAGGCTGAATGATATTCAAAATTATCATTTTGTTTTTGAGTATCTGTAAGTGTTTTGTATTGAAAATGATCATTATTATATAGGTATTCAATATTTTTATGTTTAAATTTGTATTTGAAACATAATACCAGAAAACAAATGGTCAAAAGTTAATTTATTTGTTTCGTCAGTCATAAAATCTTGTTCTATTATACTCTTGTTAAAATTTTGCACTATTGGAGATTTTAAACATTTTTGAGCATCTATTATAGAAACAGTTTGTTAATATAAACAAATATAAAGTATTATGTCAAATTTTAGTTAATTTATTTTACTTTCAAGTTCTAAGTCCTTGTGTGTCTTTAATAAACTGAAATAAATAAATTCAATAATATAATTAAAAATAAAATGTTAAATTGTTTAATTATTTAATTCTTACTTAATTGGAAACACAGTTGTGTTATTTATATTATCAGTTATGTTTTTTATTTTAGTAGTTAATATTTTACTATTTTTATTAGATAATTTTGATTTTTCTTTTTCATTGATATCACTATTAATTATTGATTCTGGTTTTAGATTTGTTTTTTTGAGAATTTGTTTGTCTTCTTTATTAATCATAGATGATTCTTTCACCTTAGGAGTATCTTTTATATTTTTCATTGATTTTAATGTTTCTTTTGATTCTACGGGCATAACTGTAGCTATTCGTACATGGTTAATAAGCGTTTTCTGATTTGGAATGTCCATGAAATCTTTATTCTTTGATTCTATATTATTCGAATGACTATTTATGGTTAAAGATGAGCATTCTATCTTTTGCATACAATTTGACTTAGGAAAAACTGTTGGTACTATCTAAAGTATAATTATATACAATATAATATATATAAAAATTAAAAATTATTATTACTGTAATACTTACTTTACCCTGGCGATAGACAGGGGGTTTTCCAATGTTTATGTTCTTTTTATTCAACGAATAATTAAATTGATCAGTATTTTCTAACTTGTCTTGATTATTACAGTTTTCATTTTCTTTCCATTGTCCTAAATTATTATGGTATTGATTAACATCATTGCATCTATCATTCTGCTCTATTTCATACATAGATTGTGTCGTATAATCTTCCTTTTTGTTTTCTTAAAAAAATAGATATTTTACTATAAAGTTATTCTCTAGGTAAGTATTTAGTTTATTAAATTTGAAAAATACTATTTTTTAATCTTCTGTTAGTATATTGCAATTTGCAATACGTTTGGCAGATTATCAACTAATAATATTAATTTTAATTTTAAACCAGAATATTTTAATAAACTAATTAAAAATTACTTATCCTTCTTACTTAATGAATTAATAGATTTGGATATTATATTTGAGTAGATTAAATTTTCCAATGTAGGATCAGTATTTAAGATTGGATAGGGACTTAATTTTAGTAGCTTCTCTTTAGTATGATCCATATTTTTATGTAAATTGGTGTGTTGACATTTTAAACCATCTATAGGACATAACTGTTCTTTAATCTCATTTAATGACAAAGTATTATATTGTTACAAATTTCCGTTTTAGTCAGGTTTCTATATAACTGAATAAAAAGAAAAATCCGTGCTATAGGGTTAAAATATTCTGCATAATTAAGATTTAAGGTTTTAAAATATTTCAGCCAATAATAAAAATTAAAATATTGAAAATTAATAAATATTATAGGTTACAATAAATTTTAATTTTTAGTAAATACCTAATTAAATAATATGTATTAATAAGATATTTCAAAATAATGATATATCAAAATTTAAAAAAAAATCCAAAATTTAAACAACATATTTAGTAGGTATTAATAAAATAATAAAATAAAGTAAGCAGGTTAAAATACAATTAAAAATTCCAAAATTCGTGTTAAGTTTTTTTTTTTAATAATTAATAACTTTCTTCTATAACTTTCATTTTTTCATTTAAACTTAAACAAATATTTGAAGACGCGTAAGACGGGACGAAACGATAGGAAAAATACGACTACGGTGTCACAACAATAAGAACTGATGATATAAAATCAAAATAAAATGTAGTTATCTATCAATACGTATTAATTTCGCTGATCTTAGTAATTATTTAATAGCAAAATAAATGTAGTTATCAAAAATATTTTTGTTCATTTTATGATATGTTTTTCCGTTTGCTAAAGGTGAAAATGATTCACGGGACCGAAAAATAGCTCTTTGTTTTATGTAAGACAGATTCTATTTTATCAAGAATTTAATTCTTTGTTAAATTATATAAATCTGCCAGGGCTATAATAAATTTCTGCACAGAACAGGATTTCGTCTTATCAAGAGTTCGGATAAGACAAGTTTTACTGTATATGAAATTTACAGTTTTTTTTTTTTTTTAGATAAAATAAAGTAATTTTAAAGTACTTACCTAATGAATGAGGAGATCTGGATAATACATTTGAATAGTTTAAACTGTTCAATGTAGGATCAGTATCCAAAATTAAATAGGGATTTAATTTTAGCAGTGTTTCTTTACCGTGATCCATTTTTTGATGTAAGTTGGTATGTGAAGTTTGTAAATGATCTATAGGACATAACTGTTCTTTAATCCCATCTAATGAAAATGCATTATATTGTTGATGGATATCAAATGGTTGAGATTGTTTAATTATATTCATATGTACATTACAGACAGTGCAAAAATAATCTTCTGATGCAGTTCTATCATCTCCCATCTTCATATTTTCTTAAGTCAATATTGAGTATGATATATTGTTCATATTCTATTAACTGGTTTAATAATATTCAAATTTATTTGTTAAAATAGTGACATATTAAAAATAATTAAAATAAAAGCATTATAATAAAAATACACTAAAACATAAAATTAAATATAACAATATATATATTAAATATAAATGCATTTATTTGAAAATATGTTATTGAGCAAGAGAGAAGAGTAAGGTAAGATGTATTTTAGACAAATGAGGTCAGTAGTTAGATAATGGCATGTGTATAGTATAAGTACTTGGCACAATGTTTAGATACTTTGACATATACAAGTATTCTATCATTTATAGAATGACATTAAAAAGAAACTATGTTTCAAATTATTTGAAAGGAAAATATCTTTTAGAATTCTTTAAAATATTTTACAATTATAAATATAGAACTATTTTATTTAATTTTATTTATAGAAAGAAAATTAATAGAAATATAATTCAAGCATAAAATATTTATTTTCAAATTATTAATTAAATAAATGACAATGACATATTGTAGATAGTTACTGTATTGAATATACTCACATGCGTAAATAAATTTAAAAAAAAAAAATTATAGAATAAAAGATATAATAGAAAATAATAGAAAAGTATGTATTAATATTATTAAATCTTATAATTCTACTTATATATAGTCCAAAATTTACTGGACTTGGCTTAATAATCAAAAACATTCGTAACAATTATTTTAAAATAATTTTAAAAAGAGTTATTTAATTTTATTTAACAGTACTTGATACTTAAATTTAAAAAATAAAATAAAATCTTGTTCTAAATTACAAGGTTTATAATCCTTAAAATTTAATTTTAACCAAAACACAGTGTTTAAAATAAATATTATACTATTGTTGTAGATATTAAATAATTATTAATTTAGTTTTTGTATTTATTTTTGAGATATATTTTAATAATCTTATATCAATATTGAATAACACTGGATTCCAATTATAATATTTATTCCTGACTGCAAACATTTTAGGATCTAGCTGATTAGAAAATAATTACACGTTATATTTAAAAAATGTAACTGATTTCATCAAAAACAGTTATTAATGATTCTAGTTATGTTTTTTTTTTTTGCTTTGGTTTATTTTACTTGATAACATATTTTGTTTTGACTTAACTTTTGATAATTATTGATTTGTTGCACTGTACCTATATTTTGTTATGAACTGATGAGTCGTTAATTTTTGTTCAAAATACAAAATAACTTTTTACAATGTTATTTATTTTACAAGTGTGTATGATGTTACTAATAAATGAAGTATTTGAAAAATATGTTGATGATAGGTTAGATATAGCTGAGTAAAAGTATGTACAGATAAGGGGCCCTTATTTCTATAAACAAGCCCTGACACTATGCTACATTATACCAGATATTATACCATTATATAAGAGTAGGGAATAAAATATAGAAGAGAATTATTTATTAAAATGTTAACTAATTTTCATATGACATGAGTATGATTTTTATTAGAATTAAAGTTAAAATTTACTATATAAGTGTGGAATTTACTGTAAATAACGTATGAGTTTAAAGGCGTATTTAGATATTTCCCACGCGTAGGCCTGTGTAAAATTGCCGACCTAAATAACTAAAATAATGTGGGTACAGCACTAACTGAGTAATCATTTGATAACTTATTATAAAATATATATTAATTAGGTAAGTGTGCAAAACAAATTATATTTTAATATTAAAATATAATTTCTTAAGAGTTATAAACTATTTTTATTAATATCTAATGACAGAATACATTTTTAAACTCGTACATGAGTCACAATGCTTTAATTGTTTAATTTTTCATTAGTTTGAGCGGATTTTAAATAATTTTTTACGCGTTTTACTCGATCTCTTTGTAGTACAATTATTATTCACAAAAATTCTTAATGGTATGTTAATAACTGAAAATATTTTAATATGCAAAGATTTTTTTCTATGAAATAAATAACTTGTAATACTTTATACTTGTATAGTTTGATTGGAGTTGAATTATTTATATACTATTGTAAATTTGTAAATGTGTTTACATTTATGAAAAAGTGTTGTCTAAATTATTTGGGTATACTTTTTGCAATTTTTCAGCTAACTCAACTATTTTCAAAGAATTTAAAGATGTGATTTTTAATCGAATATATCACAAAACGTTTTGTAAGAACTTTTTATTTTTTTTTATTAAAAATAACGCAAGATGATTTTACACGAAATGTATTCCCATCACTTAACTTGGCTTACACTTTTTTCATTAAAGTGTAATTTTTTTCTGGTTGATCATCATTGTACTCGGTAATCGTTGAAATTAATTTAATTTTTTTTTCATATTCTTTAAAATTATCTTGAGTTTTTTGTTATAGATTAATATATTATTAAATATAAATTTGAGAAACATTTTCATTATCAATTTCAATACATTGTAATACATTGTTTATTTGATACATTAAAACGTTCTAATATAAAATTTCAAAAAATTGCCATAAATGATGTTTCTAATTTTTACACTTGATTATAAAGATCGTGTGATTCATTTCGCGTAACACACTTTTCATTTTTGATATTGACCAATGTGTTAAAAATTTCGTTTTATGAATAATATAAGTAATGCTTTACACGCATCTATGTGAGCCGACCATTTAGTATTGAATAAACTTTTAATTGTATTACCATTCTGTTTTACATTTAATTGCAAAGTTGATCATCTATGTGTTGATGCAAAAAAGAAAATGTTTAATTTTTGTATATAAAAAAAAAATTATGCTTATGGTCAATGGACAACTTTCTGCAGCAGATAAAGGGACCAAATTTAACAAGTGTGCGCTACATAATACATTTTTTTTTTCGCCGCTTAAACGTTTTTTACTCAAAATCACAAAAAATGAAGAATATTAAAAAATATAAATAAATAATAAGATTAAGATAATTAATTCAAGAATACGAAAACAATTTACAAACACCTTATACGACAAATGCTACTGAATTTAAAATTATTAATTGATAGATAATTGACGATAACAATTTCTTTGAAATTCAACGTTAAATATTCCCGAATCCTTGTACACGGTGATAAGAAATTATAAGAATAGATATCCTGTTTGTAAGTTAAATAAACTATTATCTACTATTATATATTTATATAGTATACATATTTTGCAATAATAGAAAACCTAAAAATGTAAATATATATAACCGTACAACATATAAGTATAAAGTATAAACTAAAAAAATTTGTCGCTGTAGGCACGTGCTTATACTGCTTGGTATACACCACGGCCCACGGGACTGAGTTATAAATGCAACATGGGCAAGCTAAAACATAGGTAACTTAAAATTATTTGAGCAATAATAGATGTAATTAGATATTAAAAAAAAGAAAGAACAAGACATTCCTAAAATTACCTACTAGCTGTATAAGCCGACTTCACCCGGACAAAGTGAACATACAATTTGGCTTTATTGATGTATCTTGGTTTTAATGTACCTACCTTAATTCACGGGCAAATCGGCATCGGTGTTCTTCGTTTTGTATACTAATTCGATCGAGATAGACAAATAGATCGTCAGTAATGGATTGGATATAACATTTGGTATATTTTTGAATGTAGTTCAAAATAAATAACTATCTAAACTCTTTTGATATATCTAAGAACAATCTCTGAAACTTTCATCAAAATTGGTTGAGTGGTTTTTAAGTATATAAGTTACAAGAATTTAGGCGTTGTCTTTGTTATATACTTGAATAACAAATAATGAATGAATTAAATCATTTTCTTTTATCTAAAATAAATCGCATAGTTACGCATAATAGGTCAGTTAGAGTAGGTAGGTATACATTTTTTTTTTTTAATGCCAAAATGAAATTTATATACAAAGCTGTGAGTAATGTAAGCCAATCAATAGCAACCAAAAATAGTTGAATAAAGAACGTTAAAACTTAAAATCCTCTCTAAGTTTCATGGAATTTATTGATACAGCCTTTATTGAAATCGGTCTGGTAGTTAATTTTGAAATTAGGTTAATTAGTAAAACTTCATTTCACACAGGTTTGATAATTTAACTATAAGTCTATTACTAATGAAATTTACTGGTTAAAGAATATAATTTTAAGACAAATTTCCTTTTAGTAAAAAATAAAATTCTACTTAGTTCAACCTGTATTACTTTTGTATAAGAAAATTTTAAAACTACACGGTAAAAAATAATCAAATTTAAATATAATTGAATATTAGAACATAGTCTAAATGATTAAAACGTAGTTGTTTTAGTACAGATTATAGATACAATTAATTAAATACCTAGTAATGAAATTAATGAATTGAAATTAGTTCAGTTAATCCTTGATTATAACCGATGTATCCAAGATGAAATAGGTAATTCAAAATGTACTTTGTTCGGAAAAGTGAAAATTCAAATATTTGGAATCTTTTAAATACTATAGTACCTACGTCCTATATACACATAATGTGTTCATACCTATCACGTAAAAATATATATAATAATTTTATTATTAAAGAATTATTATAGGTAATATATTAATTTATTTTTTGTGTACCTATAATATATGAGATTACGTGTGTATAAGCACTAACTAATGCACTACAACGCGTTCAGATTGTAATAACTAATAAGTTGTAGTTTGGATAATGAAAAGTTTAACAAAAGTTCAGTAATTTATTGAGGTTCTACTATATACTTATATTTACAATAATACGTATACATTTTATAGGTACTTACCGCACTCTTCACATTTGAAATTTAATGAAAAATAAACTTCAAGATTAAAACAAAAAAAAAAAAATTATTCAAACATACTGGACGTGTATAAAAGTTTGTTTTAATTTATGCAGGTATAAGTACACAGGATGCAATTTTAAAATTATTAATGAAATGGTGAAAACACAATGGAATTAAATGGAGGTAATCCTATATGAATTAAACTCACCATGGATACGATCGCGATAATATTTTATGAGTTTATGACAATAAAACTAAATGTTGACAAAAAAGTTTTTCCTCAGCAAAAAACCGCTTGAAATTATAATACAAGGTTCCTTCATAAGTATTTCATACTGGAATAAATAAAAAAAAAATTGATTATAAATTTACAATATTTTGAAGTCAGAATTTTGTTAAAGTTATTAAAATTCTTGAATTATTTTATAAGATTTATAAAATACTCAATTCGACTGGAACATTGAATTAAAATATTTCTTACATTCGACTTTACTGTACAACACATTATCTACCTACTCGCCAAATATCTGTTCAATTAAAAAAAGCCAAATAAATAACATAAATTAGTAAATATGTTTATTTCAGTAGTATTAAAGTTATTGGTAAAGGTAAGGTACGTGACCTCTAACCAGAGTATAAAATTATTATACCACACAGTCATTCATGGATGAGTAAATTCTAAAGAATTTGAAGATCAGGTTTTATGCTTACTTAAACTAAACGGTCTAAACGTTAATGACTATGCATAAATTATAGTTTGTTAATAGTTAATAATTCTGTGATCATTAAATGTTGAGTTGTCATGGTTTTTTGCAACTGTTTGTACGGAATCCCTTTTGAGTCAGACAACTTGTAACTCATAGCCTGAAAGTGTTCTATCCCGAAACTCTAATGATTAAGTAGAATTATATCAAAATAAGTGTTTAAAACTGTCGGATTATTATTTTAAAACACTTTAATGAAAACGCTATTGAATAGGGTAATTAACTCTATTTGGACAGTGACAATTGAGTAGTAACTAGCACGTTTTAAAACAATTTATGTAAATGAATCAAGCCGGCCGAGTGTGTTTTTAAAGAAAAGGCAGCTGCTGTCCGACTCTCCTTTAATACGCCCACCGTGCAACGTCGACCGCATAGATAACAGCGATGATACGAGGAGTTGGGTAGGTACTTTATGGTTTGTTTCTTCTTCATTATTTTGATAACGACAATTAATTGCAGTGATAAGAAGCGGCTTGTGGACTTCTGTATTATTTAGTAATTAATTATATCTAACGCGAGTTCCTAGTTGTTAGTTAGTTAAACTGTGATGATATTATTATAATTTATTATTTAAATTTTATTGTATTTGTCAAGTTCGCGAATTAACAGACGTCAAAATCGATTGGATTCATCACAGTAAATCGTAACTTGCGTCAGATTACCCACCGGTTTTGGTTGTCTTTGCCCCATGAAATCTGTTCGTTTGTTGCGAGTCTAACTGGTGGTCGCTGTGGCACCTACTTATAGCTGTGTCCTTTTACGATCTCTCATCTCTCACAGGTAATAAAATGATTCTCAAACATAGTCCTAAAAATTTCGATACCCCCGGTGTCCAGTGTTAGTTGTAATCGTATTTCATACACAGTTTCTGGGTTGACACTTAAGTAAATTGTTGCTCTGTTGGTCTGTCAGATGCTTTTAACGGTGTTAATTTCTGTGTTTCTGTCTTTCTTGACATATGGTACATATTAATGCTAAATTTTAATCTAGAAGTCACAAGCCACATTATGTCGGACACAGATTCCATCAAGACCGATAAATCACAATCAGATTTGCAGCAAAAGTATGATAAATTGGCCATGGAGTTTGCCAAAGTAAGTATATCTGTGGGTTAAACTGAGAATAAAATTGTTAAAATATTAGTTTTCAAGTTTTACTCAACAATACTGAGAGTGTGTTAAATATTCACTTATACAGATTATTTAAAAAATATATATACGATAGAGAAATAACATTTAAATTAACTTTATGTAGATGATATACATAGACAAAAATGTGCATCTAATCCTTCAACTTTCCTTCCCCAATAATGATATAAATTAATTCTTTAAAACATATATATATATATATATATATATACTATAAGTAAATATTAACAATACATATTAATTAAGAAATATATTTTAGTTATATAAAAATTAATTAATAATAATTGATGATAAAAACATTAGGTATTAAACAAATAATGTATTTACCATCAATAAATTATTACATTATTTAGGTACTTAAAATTATATGTTTATAGGCCAGAATGCAATTGAATGTATTAAAAAAAGCTTATACTGCAAAAACTTCTAAATTGGATCATAGAAGTATTGAATCTCTGGACCAAGTGTGTAATTTGTTTTAAATACATTTAATATGATGATAATTTATTATTTTTTCTTTAAATATTTAGTTTGAAAGCTGTAAATATGATACAATGTCTACGAGTAGCTTGGAAATTCAAGAGAATTTTAACAAAACAAATCAAGTAAATTTTAAAATAACCTTTTATTTTTATATTAATCATACATTTTGTAATGCATATTATTCTGTACTACATTTTTTTTTTGTCTAAATTACTATTAGACATTAATTATGAATTTATACTTTATTGAGTGAAAGGACATTCATGATTTACTATATTATGATGTTATGCATTACAATATATTTAATTTAAAGATAAAATGTTGTCTCTGTTAATAGGATGATACAATGTAATTTGTTGTAAAAGCATATTTATTCATTAAATGCACAATCTTTTTACATTACAAATATTTTACATTATACAATCATCATTAAGTGTTGATTAATCTTAATAGGCCTTTAATCATTGGTTAATTGATCAATTTCTGTTTCTTAAGGTGCTATGAGTTTCCGAATAATATAATCTTAAGTAATTTCTGGTTAAAAGTTGTTAATAAGTTGTTATAATAAAAAAAGAAAAAAAACAATACTAGTGTTTTATATTAATTAAAATCCATTTAGTTTTGAACTACAGGTGTCATATACTATATATTAGAATATATAGTTTTAGTAAAGAAATGTAAATTATTGTTTTAAAGATTTAAATTACATCAGTTTTAAATATTATTTTTTTTTTTTACTATAAATTACATAATTTAGGCTCTTATTAAATATTCTTACTGCCATAAAAATAAAAAATAAAGTTGTGATTATGTATCTCATATTGAAATATAGGTATTGCTTTATGCATTTTGTGGTTTATGTTTATAATTGCTTGATTTAAAGGGAAAAGGAACAGATGAATTGAAATCTAAAGATATCCAGTTTTTAAGACAAGATATTAACTCAGTGCACCAATTTATACGACGTGTATTAGACTCTACTAATTCAAATCAACTTGATTACAACGTTTGTACATTATTAATTAAACCTAATCTATTATTATTTTAGTAATACCTTTAACCCTATTTTTATTTTTATGTTTAGCTTATTATGTCAGAAATTGAGTACTGTAAAGGCATACATAATAGTATTTCAAATAATTTTTGTGAAGTAATTAATGAGGAATTGGCATCATTAAAATGTTCTGTTGCTGATTGCTTGTACAACATATTATATAATAAACTTGAATCTAGAACTAAAATAAATGCTGAAAATTCTCACCTCACTTATCCTCAACATTGTAAGTATATTTACAGTTAAGAATATTATAAGTATTGTTAAAAAAAAGATGTATGTACTTAGATGTTCTTTATTTTGTACAAAATGATATTAATACAGTGGTGAAGCTACCTATGAGACAAAGAGATATTTTTAAGTTTATTTTATTTGTACGTTACATTTACATATATATTACATAAATGAATATTTTATTATTAATAAAAATAAATATATTTGTATGTATGCTACGGATAAACAGATTATCAGTCTGGCTGCGATGTAACAAGTCAAAATCAACAAAGATATTTCCAGCTTAGACAATACATGTAGTCGCATACTATTGGGCAAGCGGTTTAGTAGGTGCTTGAAAATGGGGGTACTTGTGCAAGGATGTAAAAAGACATGGCACTCATGAAAATGTTATGATGAAAAGTATGTTTATGTTTATAGAAGATAACTTTCTTCACGGACCCAACAAAATGTAATATGCACTCTCCTTTTTGGTAAAAATGCAAATGATATACTATAATATTTATATTTTATTCAAAATAAGATGCCAGTTTTTGTGGCTGGCGGTCGAGTAATGTTTGTCTGTCGTTTTCATGTCTACCATTTGTATACTTAAATGTGTGAGCGTGTAGTGAAGCCACTACAATTCCTGGGCAAGGGCCAAGTCGGTTGCCGAGTATGAACTTATTTTGAATAAAAATATAAAATATACATTATGTATAATTGTATCAACCTTGGATATTTTATTAAAATAATAAAAAAAAATATTAACACATGTTAAAAAAAAAAAAATTGTTTTGTCTATCTCAGTTTTGAACCCAAGCTTTGCCACAGTATTAATATAAAAGTGAAAATTTTTTATACTATTCACAATTGTATATTTATTTTTAATAATAAAAATCAACTAATTACTGTTTTTGTAATTTGTATATATTTTTATTTCTAGATTCTCTGGATAATAACTATAAATCTGATGAAGACAGATTACAAAAAGTTTTTATTACATTGGTTCTCCATTTTTTTCTGTCTTTCATTATACATTTTAATGATGTCTTAGAAGAGTTGCTCAAAGATATTAACCTAAAAGATGTTCGTACTTACATTTATTTTTATTTATTTTAATTGAACTTAAGTCCTGCAACTAGGGCCATTAGCTGTTTGTAGGGGTTCTGAACTATGGTAAGGGGTAAGGTTGGTACGGTAGGTTGTCTTTTACGATTGTTATGGTTGATAGCAAACACATGTATGTGTGGAAAGGTTTTTAACCACTATGATCCCGAGTGGTCACCCATCCGGAAGCTAATACCTGTGGCCGTTACTTACTCTCAGTCGCATTCCGTGATTGGTAACTGCCAACGCACCACGCCAAGCCACTTACATTTATTATTGATTGCTGGATTTGATAGTATACTACATTAAATAATATTGAGTCCTTACCTATATTAATCATGTAAAAATATATTATTTAATTAATTTTCAGGCTTCAATTGTTTTACAAAGAAGTTTAAAATCATTAACAAATAAATTAAATAGTAATTCTTTGATATTGGAAAAAATTTTAACTTACAGTGCTGATCTAAAAACATTTAAGTAAGTATAAATAATCACAATATTACTTTTTGTGTTAAATAAAATATTTTTTATTTGTTGTCATTAATAATAATTTAAATATTAATTGACATTGTGTTAAACATAAAATAGATTGTGTCTCAATGTGTAACGAAATAATTGTGTTATATATTTTTAGATTTGATTCTCAACACATTGTTATGGAAAATATTTTGCTATTCATATCAAATAAATATGTTGAATGTGTTAATTCTATTGAAGATATCATAAAATCAGGTAATGTTGACTTAAATTTTTATGTTAAGTTTAATATTGTAATTTTAGATTCTAAGTGGAATGTTGTATGTATTGATTTTAAAATTATGTGTATTTTTTTTTTTTAGATATATATAATAAGTAGTAAAAAATATGCTTCTGTTTTTAACTTAAGGATTGTTTTAAATGGAAAATTTGATTTAGTATATACTTAAGTTAAAAATTATAAAATCCAAGAGTTTTTATAAATAACTGGAATAACAAAAATAAGTTAAGGAAAAATAGGAATTTTTACATAAATCTAATTTTAGAAAAACTAATCATGATATGGCTGAAGAACAAATAACTCTTATACTGTACATTTTCACCAAATGTTTATATGATCATTTTCCATATATAGTATAATTTTCAAAATATTTTAACTTTTTTTAATAACATTTTTCATTTTATTTAATATTTTTTTATGAAAAATTATATATCTAAGCATTTATTCACTAATGGAAAATGCTTAAAATTTTAATGTAAGGTTCTTTTTTTATCTATAAAAAATACCAAAAATTTATGATTACAATATGTTAAGCATTTAAATGTAAAATTTCAACAAAATTTGTAGTCCCAGATATTTTCAAACTATTTTTAGTCAACCTATATTAAAACTAAAAAATGATAATCATTATTTTATTATTGATTAAAAACATTATTCATTAGGGCATACAATTTTATGTATTTAAATAATATCATTATATTATATACACAACAATGTTATTGGTGAAAATTATTTCAGTCTGTTGTATTAATACTACTAATAGTAAAATAAATTATACTACCTAATAGTAATGTCCAAAGAAATTAGAAAACGTAGCATAAAGTATACTTAGTGATATAGGTTAATAGATCATTACAGCTTAGAATTGTTTATCAGAATTTTTTTTGTATTGTAAATATGTATTAATTTTATGTTTATTTTTTGTTATAGATAATACTGTTAACTTTGATTGTTCATCTTTACGTCAAAACATAATATCATTTATGGCATTAAAGTTTCCTATTGGAGGTATTGAAAAATGTATAAAATAAATTTATTACAAAATTAGAATTTCATAACAATTAAAATTGCATAAATATACACTGTAATATATTTTTAAATATTGCTAAATATACAATATAAACAACAAAATATGTAGAAAAAACAAAATTATATTAATTATTATTATTATTAAGAATTTATTACTTAAAGATTATTATAGTTATTTAAAGTTTGTAAGTATTTAGTTATTCTAATCAGTTAAAATTTACTCAATTATCTTTCAAAATTATAAAATATAAATAAGTTTGTGGAAGTAAGTGAAAGCAATTTCCGCGGTGCCGTCAGTTCAAACGGGAAAAAATATGAATAAGTAATTTTAAATTATTTCCCTGAATGTTACATTAAAATGCTTAGTCAGATTTTTGAACTTTAACTTTTGCGGTTGTTTATTAGCAAAGTTTTATACAACGAAAATGAACGTTTGATGTTCATTGATACAATTGTTCATATTTTAAGTATATAATATCACTTATAAGATAATCAAAATTTGTGTTTTTTTGCCATTCATTGTTTTGTAGTATATGTTTTAATCTTAGAAAAACCACTATTTTTTCTAAAATGTTTTTTTAATTTAAGATCTATATTGTTTTACTGGATTCAAAATTTAGTGTTTTAAATGTTTCTTCAATATTTTCAACAACATTTAATGATGTGGCTATGAATAAATTTTTTGCTTGCAATTTATCAATGGCTACAGATAAAATTTAATTTTATGTAAGTTAAATTATTTTTAAAATTGGGGTTTTCTAAACATTTTTTTAGCTTTTTTAACACTATTTGCATCATTTTCTTGATTGAGTAATCCATTAACATAACAAATTACTTCTATATTCTGAGAATAATATGTAGTTGCATTATTTCAGGGTCTCTACCATGTTAAAATTGGTGTAAATTTATATCAGATAATTTATTTTTAAATAATTGCACCCAACTTGGAAATTTTTTTAAATATCTGTTTAATACTTACAGTGAATAACACATTGTATAGAAATGAGATCTAACCTTTCAGGTTCTCTGTGCAAACTTTATGCAAACATCATATGTAGTATTTTTTTAATAGAAAACTTAATTGTCTTCTGTGCCTTGACCATATATGATGCTGCACTTGGTACAAATATGAGAACATATTTATGTTGTACTTCATTCAGCCATAATATACTTATTGTTAAATAGTTGAATAGCAGTGGAATAATTTGTTTTTTTTTTAAATTATATAGTATAAAGTAAAAGTATAACACCTCAGTGTCAAGAGTACCAATTATCTTTTTGTATCAGTTATTTCATCGATATTGACCCATACTTGTTTAGATAATAACGTAGAATGAATGTTTTCCATAGTCTCTTTAAGTATATTATTCACATAAAACTTTTGTTAACATGGTTTGATTTGGAATTGGATTTTTGAGTGTTTCAAAAGGTTGTCAAAAGATTAAACTAGATAATTTATTTAAAGGAATATTCATTGCTATAATTGTTTTACACAAATTCAAATTAAAAGGGTTTTATTTTTGGTAATTTATAAGAAGCTGTTATTTTTTTTAAATTTTATTTTGATGGTAGTTTGTTGATTGATTATGTTTATCTGTTTTTAATGGCTGAGTTACGTACAAATATGTAAAAACAAATATTATCATATATTTTTATGATTTTTATGTTAATATTTCATTTGCAGAGTTAGTTAGCTCCAGCGAGTATTTGGATTCAACCAATATAAACAAGAAATTGGATGGTGCTTATGATATAGTACATACTGTAAGTGAAAAAATATAACTTGTATGTTGATAAATTAAATAAAAATATTCTCTACATTATATAATATGTTCATTTGAATTTACAATTTAATTATTACTTCTATTCTTGAATTTTTTTTTCATTCAGAATGTATATATTTTATAGTTGTTACGTGCCATCAATTTATTGGAATTTGAATATTTGTATAAATTTAGCCAAATTGATATGCATTGGCATATGAGAAATCCACTATTACACATAAAATATTCAAAACAAGTAAAAGTTGCAGTTAGATTTAGTTTTTAAGATTATATTTTTGTAATTGTCTAACTATTTTTAGGCTAAAGAAGAATTAAATTCACCTTTAATTTCTCAAAATAGCTATAAAAGTATAATTCAAGTTTATAATGAAAAATTAAATGAAGAGATGAACAGGTCATTATCGTTAGAACAAGAAAAAATCCACTGGGAAAATGAGTATAAACTTTTATGTAAAAAAAAGGAAAATGTAAGTATACTTAATAATTTATCAAAATAAAATAAAATTTTATTTTTTTAATGCCCTAATTTCCTTAATATTTAAATAGATACCATTTGACAATAAAAACAAATATTCTGCATCTTTGGAGCCATTAGTAGTGGAAAATGAAGTAAGCATTAACAATACTTAAAGAGTTATTTTATTTTTATAATTTAGAATACATAATGTGTATAAAATAAACTATTTTAAAAATAAAAAATGTTTGTAAAATAAATATTTATTTTTCATTTAGAATTTTAAATATTCAATTTCTTGTAAATTAGTTTATGTTGAATACAAAAAAAATTTAATAAAATAATTTTGAATTGTGAAATTAAAATACTGGTAATCATTGTGTCTCATGAAAAATTATTAATCTCTTAAATCTCTATTATGTTCATCTAACTATCCAAGGTCGTGGAACTATTACAATATACTGTTAATTGTTAAAGAAATAATAAATAAAAACTCTTATCAATTTGCAGTTAAATATTTTCAAACTATTATCATTTAATCGTTTATCGTTATTTTACTAAAAGGACAGTATTTCACTTATAAACTTGCTTATTTATTTTTATCGTATAAAATATAAATTGTTATTTTTTCAATTGTTTTACTTGACTATAGTACAGAAATAGGATTTTGTCATTTATACCTTAAGCAATATTGTTTTCAAAGCTAAATTTAAATCTTAGTTTATTATTATAAAATCTCCTTTAGATATTTCACTGTGCAATAGAAAATATATCTAAATTCATATTAGTTAAATGTTAGTTATAATAGTGTTTGGTGGTGAACTAAATTCAAAATATTTTGTCTTATTTCAGTAACTTTTAACAGATAAATATTAAATTGTTTATTTGCTCTAAGTAGTTTTGTTATTGTAATTTATAAGTTGTTAACTTATTATAAATTACAGCGTCGAAAAGAAACAATTATTTTAAAATAATACTATATGGTAAATTACAAAGAATCATTAGGTATAATATGACCTATCTGCTGGATTGGGCAAGTTAAGTATTTTCTTGCTAATATGAAAAGTTACGAAATTAAAAATTCTTGTTAAAACAGCTTTTATCAAAATAATAATTTATATAACTTATTTATTATGTATTGATATTGTAATTGTAGTAGAAGTTGTGTGATTTTATGACAGATTACAGACATCAAACATTCTTTTTGGCTTATTATGAAAGTTATATACTTATATTTATCTACAAACTATTTTTAAAGATTTGCACAGTCAAGTTTCTTGTTTTCTGGTGACAATACCAAATAATATAAACAAAAACAAACTTTTAAAAATTAAAATAACATTTATTTTTTGTTTAAAATAATTAATTTATTATAATAACTCCATTATAAATAAATCTTAATTATAAATTGTTTATTTGTAGTTGGGAAAATGCGAATCGGTTTTACAGTTTAATGACGAAGTAATGGCTAGAGAAAAAGAACTTAAATGTTATTTTGAAAAAAAAATCAACAATTTAATTTCAATAAATAAAGAATTATCCAGTCAAAGCAATGCTTATGCTATGGAGGTTAGTTCTTAGATATTATTATATGCCAATCAGTCTTTGTTGACTTAATTTTAATATTTTTTTGATATATTCAAAACTATATAGATCACTGCATTGAAAACGCGACTGGACCATAGCATATTTGTGCGTAATGATCTAGAAATAAAGTTACACGAGGCATTGGAGCACATCGATGATCTAAAAGAGGAATTTCACTTGACATCTACAAATTATGAGACTCAACTCAGAGCAATGACTGAACATTTGGCTAGTTTAAACGAGACGGTTGTGTTAGAGCGACGACATATAGATGATCTTAATAGCCAATTGAAAATGAAAGCAGTGAGTTAAATTTAAAATTAATTGTTACTTTAAACTGTAGGTTCTTAACTTTACTTACATGTACAAATTTGTTCTGAAAATTAATTTAAAAGTTCTGATTTAATATAAATTTGTTAAATTTTGGATTTAGAATTGAAATACTTATTGCATATTTTATAACTTCTTTAATATTTAAAAGAGTTTTTAAGAAAAATGTATTATTTAAATAAAATAAACAAACTGATATTTTTATTGTTGACGTGATATAGAAAATATTTAAAATGTTGGATACTTTTAAAAAATAATTAATGTTTAAGTATATACTTACTACTTAGTATTTACTTAAGTACTTATAAAATATATCAACATACTTTTAAACTTACATATTTTGCAATCAACAATTTAAATCAAAATTTGCATCATTTTTTTTTTCTAGAGTAAAAAGAAGTCTTCCAAATGAATATCATCAGTATTAAGTATAATATGTATATTGAATATTTTATTTTATAATAATATATTATAATAATTATTGATAGTTTTCTATGTTATTTAATTATTTTTTATCATAGTATATTGTAATAGTATTTTATATAAATGATTTTTTGGATCATATTTATCAAAATCTTACCTATCAATGTTAACATATTGTGATATTTCAGTTATATCTCATCTTTATAGTTCTGTAATTATTTCCATTTTTATTTATTATTGTCAACTACAATTATTTTATTATATAAACTATTATGTAAACATATTATATTAAGTGTCATGTGTATTGTGTGAAACAAAATTTATTTAATAGCCTATTTATAATATACATATATCGTATACCATATTTACAAATTTAACCATACTTACAGTTGATCATATTTCCATAATTATCTATGGACCAGCATTATTTAGCTCCTTTTGGATTTATATACAATTTTTTTTTTTAATTTTTTTAATACTTATTGGAAAATATATAATAAATATCTACTCTCTATTATTCTAATGTTGTCTTTATCATATTGTAGTATCTATTCAAATTTCAAAACATAATGCGTGTGTGACTTACTATAATGCTCAAAATTGGGAGAGTCACTGAGAGGATATTTAATTAAACTAGAATAAATTAAGTTATCTAAAAAATAGTTATTTTAATGTTGCTTAAAAATATAAATAAAATTAGTAATTGGATTACAAATTCTTATGGAAATATTTTTTTAGGTTATTTAAAATTAAAAAGTTACTTTTTTGCCTTCATATTTTGAACTAACTAGAAAAAAAATTGAGATTATTATATATTGAAATTATAACATCTGATCTAATAAAAACTGTGTTATCATCTTCTATTATCAGTGGATGTAATTAATATGAATTAGAAGTAAAGTGGATCATTGCTGCTTAAGTCTTTCAAGTGAGTTAATTTATCGGATAAGTTAAAATTTAGTTATATGATTTGTTATTATACATGAAAAATGATTCTGAGCAGAGACTGTCTGTCTATATCAGGTATTCCAACCGGCCCGTGATCATTTTATAAAAATTAGAAATTTGTAAAGGTGTAAAAAAAAAAAATTATTATTTACAAAAAAATGTATTTTATTAAGTTTTTAAGAGTATCAAATATTTTACAATTTTGAATTTTTATATAAAAAAAATGCATTGGATTTTAGAATATTAATAAAAAAAAATTAGTGAGAAATTTGGGTTTGTTTTTCTTTAACCAATCTTTCAATGTTTGGAGTGAAATGTGTAACGCCAATTCTTAATAAGAAGTGTAGGTGTTCATCAGTCAAACGAGATCTTTCTGAACATTTTACATAGTTCATGCGTGAAAACGTTTGTTCGCAAATATAAGTAGAACCAAATACTGTAAATATACGCATTGATAATTTTTTTATTTTTGGAAAATCATCAGTAAGAGTCTTATAAAAATGTATTAAATTTGTGTTTTTATCTTTGATATCATTATATAAATCTTTCAAATGATTATTTGTTTTTAAATCAATCGAAATGAAATCATATGTGATTTGAAATCTTGGAAACGGTTTTCAAATTTTATTGATAATTGTTCCAACATACTCACAAAATGATTTGTTGGAACGTCAATTAAAGAATTTTGTTTAATTTCTTGACACATTTTAAAATGTAAACAATTTTGCTTTAATATTTGGTTTTTAAAAAGTTGTAATTTTATTTCAAATGATTTTACATCACTTATAAGCTCGAAAATAGTTTTTGAAGTTTAAGATTTAATTCATTTAAATGAATAGAAATATTAGTTAAGAAAGCAAGATCGTACATCCATTGTTCGTTTTTAAATTCTTCTACTGGTTTATTTTTTTCTATTATAAATATTTGAATTTCCCGCCGAAGATCAAAAAATCATTTTAATAATTTTCCTCAACTTAACCACCTAACCTGGTTATGATACAAAACATCTTTATGTTCCGATTCAATTTAATTTAAAAATTCTATATATGGCCCGCAGTACAAATATACATTTTGAATGTAGCCCGCCAGTTGAAAAAGATTGGGCATGCCTGGTCTATATCATCAAGTATATTTCATGATATGTTTCTTGATATTGTTATAATATTCAAAGCTGGAAAAGTTACTGAGCAGATATTTAACACAATTAAGTTAAGTTATTCTTAAGAAAGTTAACTAAATTAATGTATAGTTATTTAAAAATATGAATGGAAATTATTATTATATTATTGCTATTTTTTTTAAAATTATTTATTTTACTATTGGTATTATGGTTAAGTTAAATGTATTACATCATTAATATTTAATTATTATAATAATACCTATAATCTATATATTTATACAATATTATATTATTAACTTTTAAGTCAAACCACCTTACTGTAAGATAGTGTATATAGATTTATAGTATGATTGGGTACCTAATTGACATTAGCTTAAATTTAATTTAAATATTTTGAGAATGCCAATGTGAATAGTATAATTTATTATATGTTAAAAATTCAAGTCCTTAAAAATAAGGTTTTTGAATTATAACTAAATAATCCATATCTTTATCATTTGTTTAAGTATAAGATTATATTCAAATTAGAACTTCAAATATCTATAAAAATAATCAGCTTATATACTTTTTAGGTTATTGGCATTTATTTTGTTATTTCTAGTGATTTTAAGTGAAAATTTCGTTAAAACACAAAATATACATAAACTTAGATGTTGACTTCTCTATCTTGGTCAGTTTTGTAAATAGAAAAAAACTTATAATACAAAATATGTTAAAAAAAATAAAATAAATAATTATCTAAATATGTAAAAAAAAAAATAATAGTATTCCATTTAAAAAAATGTAAGTTGTGCTGCGTATGTGCACATCAAAAGTGTAAAAACTTTAAAAATCATAAATTAATGTGTATTTAAGTACCCCTAGGCCCTCTAAAATATTCACTTCATTACAAGGTTGTCTAGCTGAGATATTTAGTGGTATCTTAAATCATGATTATATTATATAGGTAACAAATTAGAGTTAATAACATTACTCAAGAATAAAAATTATGAAGAATAATATTAATGAATTATATAGTTTATATAAGTACAGAATATATATGTTGAAGGTTTTTTAAAAGTGTGAATATACAATAATAAATTTTGTTATTTAATTATGTGACATAATTTGGTACCTATATTTTAAAGTTGTTAAAAAACAAACAATACAATAACAAGTCGTGTATGGTGTATTATAACCAGTCTAGACAGCTTGTTATTTACGTTGTACCTACCTTTACATTCCTTTTTTGATATTTATCACAATACTAATACTATGTTGCAATCAAATCTCCTCAACATGAAATAATTATCAAGTGAGACAATCAACTCTCTAGTTTTCATGTACCTACCTGACTAGAGACTGACTATGTGTGTTGTATGTATGTATATGTATGAACTATGAAGTTAATACATTAACTAATACGTTTGTTTAAGCATAAACTTACTTGTTGTAATTTTAATATAAATTGACAATAAAAACATGTATGATTAAAAGTTAAAACGATAATGAAATATACACGCTCAGAGCTGTACCTACCGTGTTTGAAAAGAATGTTTTTTGACTATTTCAACCACAGTAACTACGGTAGATATATTTAATTATTTGAAGTAATGAATAGGTATAATTTTATAACCATCTACCGTGGTTTTACTGGTTTTAGAGCAGTGACCACGAATTAAAAAAAAAATACAGGTATTATTAATATTGTTAATCAAGGACTGCGTCGTCGTGTACACTGCATATATCATGTCTCAACTTAAACAAACTTATTTAAGTAGTATATTTTACGTTTAGAATAATCCGTTCACGTAACTCGTTTATATTTAATATTAGCTCGAACTGATATATAAATCACCTACTTGAGAAACGGCGTAGTAACTTGTAAGTCACAAAGTATTGAGATAATGCGTAAAATGTATTATGGATTCATATCATGTGTGAATGTTAAAAAAAAAAAATTATTTTTAGATGGCGGACCAAATAATAGGTAATCAATAAAATTAGTTTATTGCAGTACTCATCTATTAGTCCTTTTTGTCTTGTCATTAAAAAAATTAAAATAAAATTTTAATAATATTGTTTTATAGGTGTACCTATCTAATTGGGACTGATATACATTTTTGAGAAGAACATAAATTCAATATGAACCTATAACAATTCAATCTCACATTTGCATTACGGAGAATCGGGTACTGTAAAAACGACGTAAGTCTAGAAACTTTACAAATAACATTCACCACCTTCACGCTAAGACGTAGGTAGTTTTTTTTTCATATTGCGTATCTCGCCGAGTTCTTTCTATTAGACCTCTTGGTTTATTCACCATTTATAACGTAAAAGTAGTTTTTTTTTATTGTTTTCTTCGAATTACCTTTTATTGATATACATCGTTTCTTAAATATTTATTATCTAATTTATTTATTTATATTATCAAAGGATACCTATAAATATAATCTAAGACATCGCGTACAATTTATTTTACGTTTTATAAATAATTAAAATACTCATATTATATTACTTAAAAATTAAAATATTTAAAAAAACGTACATACGGTACATTGGATAATATTCTAAGGTAGAAGTAGGTACCTATAGATAGGTACCTTTAACATCAATGATAGGTAAGTTCACTCTTAAATTAAAAATAATATAAATATTTAGATGGATTATTTTAAATGTAAAATTTGCCATGTTATATTCCATATGCGTTAGTTATAAGTTTTAACTATAAAAAGTGGCAGTGGCGTACTAACATGGGTAGGCTCTTCGACTGTCTAATAAATGCAGAAAATCATTTTCAAGTTTGAAAAAAGTGAATAGGGGGAGCACGAATTTTAGGATTTTTTCAGTAAAGGTAAAATTATGATGATATTTCCTGTTTCTCCAAAAATATAATATATTCAAAAGGTTTGCGTAATACGTATAGAGTAAACTTTTGACACATTTGCCATAAATTCTCGTAAATTAATTAGGTATAGTTATTTTTTATAGCCATCGAAATTAGCAAAATCGTATGGAATTCCGACGTTCTTTTGCAACTTCTATAGCCGTAAGTAATGCCGTAAAGATTATACGCGGTTAGTGATTACTTTATTACATCATACTTTAAGTCCGAACTCCGAACTAAAAACATGTAACGCAACGTATTTTAATTATCTACCGTATTGTTTAAAAACCATGACTTACATGAAATCGATAGGAAATTTAAAATTTTTAGATGACTTTTTAAAATTTGTGTATATATACTCAGCATGTGTTTTAAAAAGGATAGTTGGGTAATGTAATAACAAATTGGGGTTTTTTTGTAAGAATTAAATACTTTTAAAAAGTATTCTGAATAGGTACCTTAAAAAAATTGTTTAAAAAAGGTAGGCTCTGCTTAAAATTTTTATTATAAATAATATCTATAAATTGTGCCAATATATTTTTTATATTTTTAAACAACTTATATTGGGATGTTGTATTAAATTTTCAAGTATTTCAACTTTTGATCCATCAAATATTTTTTTTATTAACAAAGACAATTTTTGATACTTATAAATAGCTCAAAGAGTCAAAATATTTTGAAAATATTATCGTAAATAGAAAATAATAATATAAACATTAGGCGAAGATTTCAAGTATCTACGTGTATTCGTTTATTAATACCAAAAACAAAATTGATTTTGTTAAAAATTACCTGTTTTCCTTAATTTTTGGGTTTTCTGACTGTGAAAAAAAACACTGGGAGTTTTTCATTTTGATATCTCTATAGTACAATAATTTGATCCAATTTGTTACTAGAAACTATCCCTCCCCAGTCTCATTTTCGAAAATAAAGCATTTTATCGACTACTTATCGTGTATGTATACTCATAAAACAAAAATAAGGACACATACATCATTGCTTCGCTCAGAATCTAAAAATATTTTAAATGCACCATTATTCAAAAGAATTCATTTGAAAAATGACTTATGTCTGGTAAATGATCATTAGCGTTCATACGAAGACGTGCTTATAATAAAAGAGTACATTTGTTCTCGAATGCGCACATAGATGCATGTCAACAATACGATGAGTTGTGTATAATCGCATACTATATCACTGCTAAATTGATGATTTTTCATTCCATCATATACAAATTGATCGGTTGATAGGATAGAATTAGTTGAAAACTAATTTTTAGAAAGTCTAAATATGTTTACTTTGGATCTTCTGAACAACTCTTTACATTTATGAAGAAGTTCAGGTAATATTCTATATTATTGAATAAATAAATTTATATATAACACTTTCATATTTTTTAATTAAATTTTTTATTAGTGTATATCCAACTGTTGTAAATTGTTCGTAAGATTTGAAGAAAACATGTCGAAGAATCTAAATCGTTTTTTAAAATCTATATTACTTACTATGTACTATTATATAATTTATATCCGCATTATGTTAAAAAAAAAATAAGTATTTTTTTTTAGTACGAAAAGCTGTTCAGGTTGAATCTGCTCAATAAATAAAAATAAAAACGATACAGTCAAATTGTTATATCTCGTTTGCATTTATTAAACAACGACCGTCCTATTAAAATATTTGTATTATAAACGCAAAAAAACACTGTAGAAAAAACAATAATAATACATTATATAGAACAAAAAAAAAAAACTATAATTTCCATAAACTATAGTATTATTATAATAAATTAGGTACAAAATTATATTATTATAAATAATTAAATGTTTTATTCGTTTTCATAACAATCGTTATAAAACGCGATCTCTATGATTTAATATTTGTTCTGCAGTTAACAATTATTATAATAATGTATCTAACACAAACACACACATACACATTATTGCAGATGCCTACTGTAAATGATAGGACATATGCCAAAAAATATTTATTCATGAAAACTTCAAAGGCGAAAAAATTATTTAATTAACTCTATAATACGCCCGTCTTTTTTAACACTAAAACGTTATAGTGAAATATGAGCTTTGATTAGGTATAGATCGCGTTGGTTTCGAGGAATTTGCTTTACGAAAACGCTTCTTCGTTGTCGCCGGACAGCATTTGATAAGCGTACCTCTGCAGACTGTCCTCGATGTATTCCGATTTGGTTTTAAATCCGGGAAACAGCAATACCCCCATTACTTAAAAATGAAAACACAATCGGTTACTAATTACTGTAATGCACATATTATACAATAAAATAATAATTTTGGAAAACGTGATTGTTATGGGACAATAGTTTTCACCAGGAAAAGACCAAAAATATTTTTAAACTACATAACAAAACTCATAAATTGTTGTTATCACAATTCATGTATTGTTTATAGATTAATCATAATATTAAATCAATATTAAATTGAAGCCACCATCGCGAATTGTTAACATATATATAATTATAAAATAAAAATGAACGTATAATTAAAAATTTAAATTACATTATATTTACGTATTTTTGAGAGTAATGACCTATTAGTTTTAAATACTAAAAAAAAAAGAATTATTTAAAAATTAATTATTATTTATTTACTAATATTTACTTAAATATCATTACTATTAAATTCTATGTTTTTTAATTAAGTATAAGAAGGACAAACTACAATTTGTTTTAAGGCTTATACTAATTTATTTTAATATTGATGTGTTGCGTTAATTGTAATTGTATTCGTACTCGAGTTATGTAATATATTTGAATATAAATTAGGTATAATATTATGTATTCTAAAACAAACATTTCTGAAACTTGGCTTTCTAAAAAATATTATAACACCTTATAGGAGTATTTAAGTATCTTTATATTGAACTATATATAATAAATACAACTAATCTATTGCGAGTTGATAGTATTACTAACAAATAATAATTATTGTCTCTATTAAACGTTGATTGTCGCCGTTCTAAACGTGACATTGTTACCTTATTAGTAGATATTTATTTTCGACTTTATATTATTATATAAACGTTCGGTCTACAGAGATAAGTATATAATGCAATTATATTTTTTGTTATTTGCGCCTACTACCTACGATTACGTCTTATGAAACGTAGATATACAAATTATTATGATGACGCATTGACTTTTAAATATAATATTATATACCAAATATATATAATATATATAATATACATAAATCTATCTAGGTATAGTTACAATTCTGCAATTTTTTTTGTACGCCGATCAAAACATATTGAATATAAATAAAAAGTATTAACGAATTGTTTGGTATGCATAAACCTAATAAATAGGTAGTATTGTTGAAATTCTAAACCATAATATTTCCAATAATTAGTTAAATTAGTAAAATTATTATCAATTCAGCATACATTTATTAGGTATATAATGTTTTTGAAAGTTATGAGTTAAAAATTTTAGAATGTTATGTAATAGAAAATGATTTAAAATTAAAAAAAAATTGAGTCGATGGGTCAAAAATATTATAGGTATACACACACAAGTTGTATATCAATATTATTGGTAAGTAGTGTGTCGATTGGTCAAATATATAAAAATGCTAGGCCGCTAACTTACTCGACTACCGAATTTTTAGATGATAGTTAGAAGCTTGTAAATTTAAATATTAGAGAGTGGTGAAGTGTTAAAAACAGACTTATTGTCAATTTTATCAGCCGATTTGTATCTATACACATATCACACATGGCTTAATTACTTATTTATTTTTGTTATAAGAGATTTTAACAGACATTTTTGAATTCTCAGCTATTGTTAATCAGAAAAAAGACTGGTTGGTTAGTCAATCTTTTAACAATACAAAAAATTACATTCTAAAACATGCATCTAATGTATTGAAATTGATATTCAATTTAAATATGACTGACGCAATCATTTTTTGAAGATATTTTTATGAATATTACGGTTTCTAATATTTGTAGGTATTGTTACAGTTTGCTTACTTTACACAGCAAATACGAATATACGATAAAATTTGTAATACCATATCAATTAACTTTTTCAAAAAATTGTTTGATTTCACGAGTATAAAATCCCAGTAAACGGAAAACTGGTTGGTACTTGGTACCTATGTGGAATCCTGGAACAGTCTCAGCGACGAGGCTAGGTAAATAAAATTGTGTTCACGACAATTGTATGTTTTGAAAGTGATGAATTGAATCCTACGAAAAAAAAAGTAGCAGGTAAATCGGGTCCCGGCTTTCTACTTTCGATTATTATATATATATATATATATATATATATATATATATATATACTATTATTACTATTATACTGCGATTGATACCAACCGTGATTAAACCAACACGTTTACAGCCTACATCCCGATATTTTTAACTTTATTGACGAATTAATAGAAGTAAAATCAGATACGTTTGTAAAATACAAAGCACAAATCAAAAAAAGAAAAGTACTTACGCTGCATAATAAAGAACGAAATTTAAGGGAGTACATACTTAGTACACTATAAATGTAATAACTCGATTTGAATTCCATGTTATTTAAGTTTTTACCGAGAATATAATTTTTAATGGGTTTATATATTAAAAAAACACGTATCATTTTGATTTAATTATAATAATAATAAATGTTTTTAATTAATAATGTATACAGTTTATACTATAGTTGTAATTTATAACTTTTAAGATAAACCTATTATTTATTTTACTTGCCATAACGATTTATTTAATATTAAGAAATACATGATTTGTTTTTTTTCTAGGACTAATTTACCTTCAACTTTTTTTCCTGGATCCAATTACTAGAGAAAAGATCTTTCGGGACCCTATTTATCAATACCATTAGTAATAGCTTGTGTATACTGTACTTTATTTTCCACTTACATAAAACTATAGTAAATACTTGCAATACATATAATGAAAGCATTTAAAAGTCAAAGAGGTAGTGATTTTATAATATATTATTATAAATATTCTTACGAGATTTTCAGAAGTAATAAAAATATTACTGGACAGAAATTCGCACAAAATACAAATTTGAAACGTTTGTGGAAAAATATAACTAATATGAAGTTTAAAATATATTAAAGAATATCATATTATCAAGTATTTTACACAAAACTAATATATAAATTAATGATAAGAAAATTAAAATTTTTTATTCTCACAACTATTTAAATTTGTATGTATTTTTTATAATTTGGAAAAGGTACTTGTTTGTGTTTTAAACGGATTGTAAAACTACAAATTAATAATAATATGCTAATTTTAAAATATTGTAAAAAAAATACAGGAAATAGATAGCTATTGTTATTCATTAATTATAAAGATTTATTTGTATATTAATACCTATAACCTATTACTTTTTACGTAATTTTTATTTTGTGTTCATTTTGAGTGTTGCCGTTATTTTGTAATTATTTGTTTCAAACATAAGTATATTTAAATGAAAAAAATAGTTGATGAATGACGAGTAATTTAAAACAACATAAATATTTTAGCACTCCCGAAAATTAATTTTCGACGGGTACTTGTATACTGACTATCAAGAATCTCAATTACACGACACAATACTATCATATATACCATGGTATATATGTATTACATCTATTTTAAAAATAGTTAAATATTTAATTTAATATATAATAATTAAAATTACAGAGCACGTCTACCACATATTAAAATCATGCTCTTGTACGGTTGTTGAATGACATACTTGTAATATATGATATGAATAAATTGTTGAATGTGGTCCCGATGTACAAAAGGCTGAAGAACGATACTGACAAGACAGAATGAAACTGAAAAAAATAAATATTATATTATTTAATACCGTACTGAGTACATTGCATATAATATTAGCTTTAATTATTGAAGATGACACATTGGACATTTGGCGGATTTTCTTTTCCCCACTTGCATCGCGTATTTGTGTGTGTAAATACGTAAGTAAATAAAAAATGCTACTGTGTCAAACGATATATTATTGTTCTATAAATTATTTTAAAAGGACTGTAAGAAAGTAAGCTTTGAGGTAAAAAAGTCCCGGAAAATAGATCTGGCAATAAATAGGTCATAGGGACAAAATGACCAGCTGAAAATAAAAGTCTCGTATTTTTATTTTTTACCAAGTAAATTAGTAAATTACTATAAATGATTATCATCACATTACAGCTATTATTACATACTATATTAATAAAATTCATTTAAATACCATAATAACTAATAAGATACGTGGGAAAAATATTCTATATTTATATAAATATATCTATGTTTGTATAAATTATATTGTTTGGCTTTTTTTTCTCCAAAACGTGTGCATAAATATAAAACAGTAATCTAGTTGACGTTTTAGTTATTTTTTTTTTTTTTTTTTATTGCTGGTTCATCTAGTTTGTATAAAGATAATATTGTGCGGTTTGCAGTTATTTCATACCCGGTTTTAGTAATATAAAATATTGTCCAATTCTATGTATTATATACAGTGGTTCTAACTACTCGTATATCATGAATTTATCTATTAAAGTTAATAATTTTAAATGTTTCAAACCATTAGTTTTACATATTTTATCTTCGATATTTTATTTCCCGATTTTTTTTTTCAGGATTTTGCAGTCTTCCTTTAAAGGAAGGTCACTATAGGTTCTTTACACAAAATATTACATTTCATAATACTATAAGGTCTATAAGAACGTTTGATTGCAAATATAAATTGATATGATATGAAAAAAACTCTTTAATTTAGTGCATTAGACTAAAATATTATAAAATAAAATTAAAAATTATTTTTACATTAATTTTGGTAGGCTTATATAAGTTTGTTATATTTGTAAGTTTTGCGATAGCTATAACTTCTAATTATATTTAAAATTTTTGAGTTAGTGCTCAGGTTTCTACGTATCTGTAGTATAAAAATAAGGTAATGCTGGTACATAAACTTAAAGTATATATATAGTTAACATATATGGTAGGTACATTAAGAAGAAAAGTTTTGTTTTTCTTTTGCGCGACAAGTGCATAATCGTAAAAAAAAACTCCTAATTCAATTTGGAATTACCTATTAAATTTTTTTTTCCGATTTTGATAAAATATATAAATAACTATTAGATATGAAATCATATACAAATAATGTAGTGCGATACTCGATATATTGATATAATTGCAGAATAATACAGTGAAAATTGATATAACAACTTTGTATGGAATAGTTAGTATATTTGTTTTGAAGAACTATGTTTTGAAAACGATATTTCTATACCTATATTATATGATTAATAATTATTATTGTTTGATTATTTGTTACATTTTTAGACCTTGAGCAGAGCGATGAAGGTATTGATTTTACAAATATATAACACAATAAATATGGTACCTAAAAAAAAGTGCTTCAATTTTTAACTTATTTGAAGGTAGTTTCTAATAAAAAATTGGATCTAATTTTTCAAAATATAACTGGAAAGAAAATAAGTTTAGTGTAAAATTGAAATTTTCACAAAAAATAGTTTTTGACAAAATCGATTTTGTTTTTTAGATATAACTCAAAAATGAATAACTTTAGGTACTTTAAATTTTTACCAAATATTTATATAATTATTTTCTATACGTTATGAAATATTTCAAGATATATTGACATTTTTTGAAATATTTATAGATATTTTACATTTTGTTAGTTTATTTGCTTGGTCAAAAAGTATGAAGTTTAATACAAGATTTCTCATAAAAGTTCATACAAAATATATCAAAATTGCATTCAAAGTCATAATATTTTTAAAGGTTTTAAAGTTAGTATTTTTAATACCTAAGATCTAAAAATTTAACCCAAGATTTCTTATAAGTTATTATTGGATAAAAGAAAGAAGTTGACTGTAATTCCATAACTATTGACTTAATGAGTGAAATACGATATATTTATGAAAAATAACGATATTTCTCATGAATTAATTTTCTTATTTTGTTAAAAAATGAATAATTGCAGATATTAGACATTTTCACCAATTTTTTATTTTGTCATTTTCGGTTCATGGTTTAATTTTTTTTTAATAATTAAACTCATTTTTTAACTTTTTATAGAGATTTGAAATTTTTATAAAAAAGCCGACAAAAAAAAGTTTGCTTGGTTAAAAAAAACCTTTAAATATAATATATGATTCTTCATAATTTGCTAATAAAGTTATTTCAAGACATTGCACAATTTTTTTGTAAGCATTAAAAGTTCAAATTTTGTCAAAAAAAAATGTATAGTGTTCAATTTTTTTACTGTAAAGTTTTGAAAATCTCATTAAAAGTTTCTTATAAGTATTTTATGCTGAAACAAAAAAATCTAAAAAAAATGTACCTCGGTACAATATTTTTTCTTACAAACATTTTAAGTTAAAATTTGACTAAAATTAGATATTTAAACGGAGAATAATGATTCGAGTTATTTAATTATAATTAAAAATATTTTTAGTGAGGATTTTAAATTCTTATGTTTATCATTATATTTTATATTTTCGTTATATACAGTGTTATTTCATTACATAAATCTCCAACGTTAATCATAAAATTATAAGCTACAACACATTATTTAAAAATGTATTTGTTCATAATGCTTTGTACTAAAATCTTTACTGAAAAACTCTACACATAAATATTTACTATGAATGCTTGTTTGAATGACGTCTTTGTATTTGAAATCAAAACTAAGGATTGTTATAGATACCCACAAGAAGCCGGATGAGATACGTCGAAGAAGTTTAAGGAAAGTATAAATAACTTACAGATCGCTACAGCTGTACAGTGCTTGTAAAAGAATATTGTATTTGTACTATTGCATATATAGCGTCATCACAAAGATCAACATTAAAGACAAACATTTTTGCATGCGCGTAAAAGGAGCATTGGAAAGAGCCAGTATTAAATTCTAAATCAATTTTTATCGAATTGTGAAAATTACTTGAGGAATTTACAGAGAAAATGTGACTTATATAGCACGGTAAACGGATAAAGGTAAGTACAATACTATAACAGTGTTATTTAAGATAGGTGTGTATAGTTTATATATATATATAAATGTTAATAACTTTAATGACATAAAATTTGTACTAAGGGAATAAAGGAATTTATTTTAAAATTTATATTGTAATTGTTACTGTGTAATATTATATTCAAAGAATTATGCACATACAAACTTTAATCATGTACAGTAGGTAGGTAATACATTTAAATTTATTGTAATTACAAACGATAATATAAGAACGTGATATTTAACATTTTTAAGAGAATTACAAAGTATACAACAGGTAGAATTTATATAGTAGGTTATTTCCGTTTAACAAGAACGAGCAATATAACAGAGATGGTATTATTCGTTTTAGGCATCAAAAGGCTAAAAGAAAAGTTTGATTTAAGGGTGCGCTGATGACCTGTCATAATACCACGGTGTACAAAAATAGTATCAGGAATAGTATCAGGAAAGTAAGTGCTTTGTTGAGAAAACTAATTCCATAATTGATTATTAACGTTTTGATAATTATTTTTACTTTTATCACACTAATTATACTAGATAGTTGCTTAAACAATATTCAAAATACACTGCGTAATCGGTGTTATAGAATATGTCTATGTCAACAATACGGCTAGATATTAGACTTTCATACATCGAAAATTCTCAAAAAAATGTCATGCTTGGGGCTCCTGCAAGTGTATATTCTATTATACAAAAAGATGCTTTATACTTTAAAAAGATAATCAAGATGTTATAAAGACGATTTTTTAAAATCGTAGCTATAATGAATTCAAAACGCGGTTTTATTTAAAAAAATAATAAATAATATTTACTAAGAGAATGACTGTTAAATGACAAAATATAACCATTCTACTATAATACATAGGGCGTATCTTAGCAATTTTATTCATGCCCATCCATCCACTTACATAATATATACATTATACTTAATACGGTATATAATATTATTATATCTATATTATACGCCCGTTTCCAACCAAAACTTTTACACTTACTTAACCATTTAATATGTGAATTAATTTTAATGGAAAATATAAATACTTAACTATAGGAAAATTTAGGTACATAAATTATCGTTTGTTCGGATGAGTTTTGTATAATGTAAGCGGCACAAAAACAAACAAAAAAAAGAAAATTTAATATTTTGTCATTCATTCCAAGTCTGATAAAGTAAACAACAATTATTAAAACTCAATATTTGTCAAACAATTTTAAGCTGAAATTCTCACCAACTCTCGTGTTTAATATTATCAATCATCGATGGCATTGCTACCTACAGTCTACATATATATCATATAAACAATACACAACTTCCTATATAACTTTTATTTTGAACGCTTTTCATTAACCAACATTGAATTAACTTGTAGAATTGTTTTCTTTACAGAGAATCAAAGATTAATTTTTGATTTTGAACAGAGAATTGATTCTGCAATGATTCTGTGCGTTTGACATAACATTTTGAGCAGCACTCTTATTTAGTTCTTAAACATGAGAGTGGTCTTCAGTAGTAAATTAGATCTAGTCGGTACTTTGAAAGTTACTAAGTAGAAAATTGCTTCTACTTATCTAAAAAATTGGGAACAAATAACAATGAAAAACGGGAATATTTACGCAACATCAGTTTTTGACGAAATAAAATTTAGGTTTTTATTGTTATTCAGAAAGAAATAATCGTATAGAAACTTGATATTTTCATGAAATATTTTTATTATTATTTTCTAGACAATATTATATAGTTTTTAAAATAATGTGTATACTTTTTAGTTATTTTTAATTTTTAATCCTGAGCGAAACCATGAATGTATTAATTTTCAATGATGTGTGTTTTTTGTGTCTGTAAATACTTTTTTGCTAAAGATGTTTACTGATTAACTGAACGGTACCTACCCACTTGCTTACCTTTTTCACAGTTGTTTTTTTGATTTATTTTTATCGTTAAAAATAGTTGAAAATGTAATATAAGATTCATATCATCATATGATTTGTTGTAATAGCAATACATTTCAAAAAAATAACGATTTTTTTTTTAATACACGTTTAAATTCACATTTTAACAAAACCAAGAACTTTTCAATTTAAAATGTAAAATTATTTTGCAATTTTTAATATCCACTTATAAGGCAATTAGGCTTAACAATTTAATAAATTTAGTATCTTAGTGACTGTAAGTAAGTTATTTTTAAAGATTTAAAAATACCAAAATTTAATAGGGATAATGTTTTTTTTTTTTATATGGTATTATTTAAAATTTAAATATAGATAATTTCTAAAAAAAAAAAATTATTTAATTGGTTATAGTTATTTTATTGTAATCCAAATAATATAAATACGTAGTTAGGAAACACTAATCAAGGTTACGGATATTATTATTTTTTATACATGATGACATTTAAAAAATATTTCGAATTAACGAGTTAAGAAAATAAAAATAATATAACATAAATTACAGATGCTGATTAATTCATTCTTTTAGATCAGAATAGTTTTTTTTTTATATAATAATATATTTCTGAATTCAAATTTAACACTCCTATTGCAGTGACTCGTTGACGAGTTGCACTTGAAATCTGAAATACAGCATAGCGAGTTTCCCGTTTTTAAAAATAAATTAATTTAATTACTTATATAGAGATACAAAAATATCCTAAAACCCACTAACATAGGGATGATCTCATACTATTGTTTTCACTCAAATACGGCGATATAATGCTACTTTGAATCATCTTCAGGCTTTTGTGCGCAAGATTTCTTTGTGGAGGGGATTATGAAAGAAGTAGGTACTATATTTATATTAATTTTTTTAAGTATTTTTAAAGTATTTAATAGTTATAGTTTTACGATTATACATAATACTTCAGAAGTCTAGCAGAAGTAAACCTCTTTTTAATTCGATAAAACCAATAGCTGTTAATGACCTATAGAATCTAGATGTAATAAAAGAAAAGCAATGGGGAGGATTGAACCCCTTCCCCTCTTTGCACATGGACCCGTTAATCTTAAAAACATACTCATGAAATACAAATGTTTACCAGTTTAGTATGTGTTTTCCTGAGGTTGAAAAATCGGCCCATATACAGCTTCGTCGTCACCCAGTAATCAGCCATCCACTCAGAAATTTCGGTGAACGTGCGTTCCTTATCCTGGTCCCAACTGTTAGGTGGCAGGATCCTTTGGAATGGACCACAAACGATGCAATCCAACAAGGCAGCGCATAGGCCGGCTGTCCAGATCATGTTTAGTATCGAACAGTTGACAAGCCACATGTATCTAAAACCCAAACGATAACGGTAATATAATTACTTGCATTATAATGCATTTGCTTGAATCAGTAAAATAATGGATTAAAATCGGGTTTAAAGTTTAGAAAAAAAGTCTATCAAAAAAATATTTTTATAAACATTTACAGTATGAAAATGATCTGTTTTGAATCTATCTCAGTACAATAAAAATTGCAAGAATTCAATATTAAGTTAAAATAATTTAGTATACGTATATAATACAATTAATATTTAATTTTTACTATTTTAATTTTATTTTTTAATCAAAAAGTATTTAATTTTAGTTAATATGTATATTTATAAATGAAAACATTACATTTATATCATACTATGTTTTAATAATTGTTAATTTATATATACTTTAAATCAATATAAATAGGTTAATAGTATAAATATCTTAAAATTAATCTTTATATTTAAAAAAAATTTATTTTTCAATTTGATTATCTGCAGTAGAAGATCAAAACTTTTGGAAAAAAAGTTTTTTTTTTTCAGAAATTTTTGGAAAAAAATGTTTTTAAATAGTAAAATTAAATATTTATTAAAATGTTTAATGCTCGAAAAGGAAAAAAAACGATTAAATCATTTTAATGACGTTTTCTGATTTTAAAGAAATTTGTACTTGTTTTGTTTATGTCATGTTAACCGACTTGGTAAATTATACAATTAATTTTCTTGTTTCAGTTACCTATGTCCTATTGGTTATTAATTTGTTATGTATCTATGTGTATACAACAACTAACAAGCAGATTAACTTCAGTCGATCGAGAGTGCAGTTGACGGACAATCGAAAACTTAAATTTTATTTTGTGGTAAACTAATAAAAAATAATAATATTAATAATTAATAAATTCAACAACTGATCGTTTTAATTTATACGTAAAGAATACCACGGGTATAATTTATTATTTAAAATCCATCCACGTTCCATGTTAGATAAATGGAAATTAATATGACGTTTTAATCATGTTTCGAGAAATATATAAGTTTTGAGAATATAAATAATGTCTTCAGCCGCGTATCAAAGTTTCGCAGTGATATACAGTGGATCGACGAAGTAGTAATTCGGCGAGACTTTGAATAAATACAAATTATTTTGTTATTTTTGTATAGCAAAGGTATATATTATATTATAAACATCAAACGACATTAGCAGAAATTAAGATAGATTAAATCGGTTATATGCCAAGGTTAAGATAAGCCAAAACAAATCAAATTCATGTGTTTGCGTAAGTAATATTAATTTTGAATTTAATTTCTAATACCTAAAAGGCTAAATAACAGTGTTTACACCGTGCGGTATCTCTTGTCTGCAACTCCCTTATAATATATACATAACAATTATTTATCATAATATCAAATGCACTGTTAACTGTTTATGTTTCAAAGAATATACATAATTTATAGGAAAGCCAGACTTGATTTTTTTTTTTTTTTGAAAGGTAATAGGTTGTTCATACATTGTTCACACGAGGGAATGGGTAGGTATGAGTTTAATATTATATACTTACAAGTAAAAACTTGTTACACATGTAACCGTAATTGCGGGAAACCAATTTTTTTGCCATGACATAATTGCGTTCAACAATACTATAATTTCTTTCCATTCGTTCAGGCGAACTCTAAGTTCTTTTGAAATCTTTTCCTGTAACAGAACCAATTTATAATTAAAAACTGTATTTTGTGATATGTTGAGTTAAGCATTAATACTAGTATAATTTTTTATTTTATTTCTTATGTTATTTAGAATAGTTTTCTAAACGTAAAATGTACACATCACATAAAATGTATGGATTGTGTGGATACATAGAAAACCTCGTCATTGAGTAGGTCACTGTATAATGGACGTATTAAATTTAAATTCATTTATAAATCATTGTGTACGATTAAAACGGTTCTGGGCTAAAACAAACAAACTTTATGGTGACCTTGGTAACCAAACAATTATTTTAACAATAATGTTACAATTTAAAAAAAAACGTTTCTCATTATATATTTTTTTTATCCTAAATATATCAAAAACAACATAGAATTTTCTATTTTAACTAACCTAATATATACCAATTATATTACATTTTCTAACTTAAAAATGTCCTTAAAATTAATGATTGGAGCATTTCATCTGCTAGAAAATGTGAAATAAAAAACACATATTTTAAAATCAATACATTTTTCGCTGCCCTTAGAATTCTAAAATGAGTCACATCCGTTACAGAGACCTACTCGATGAAGAAGTAGGAACACTAGAAATTTACAATACATACAATACAGCAAAGTGACCTCAGTTTTATAAAAAAATGTTAGTTACAATATTTGTATTTATAGGTATTTGTCTGCAGGAACGGTATAAGGGTGAACTGGGCAAATCTTGGTGGTCCAGTTTAGGGCGTGAACTGAAAGATTTATTAATTAATACAATATTAAATTATAGCCACTTACATTATTAATAAAAGGATACACGATATCATAACAGCTACTTGAAATACATTTTCATGGTACAATTATTAATTATATAGTATAATAATTTATTAAGATTACCCTATTTCTTGAAGGCCACATATTTATAACTTTGATTTTAACCATTTCTATGCATATTACGACATTAAAGCTATATTAAGGTGATTTTTGACCTTTGATGTTTAAAAATGTTTAAAATTACTAAAACTGAAAAGCAACTAAGAAATTTAATAATTTAGTTTAATATAGGTAATTAAATGTTTAAAAGTATATAATTAACAGAATTTTAATGCGTTACAGATTTCACTTATGATAAAAAAATATAGGTGTACAATTAAATTAACAAATAAATTAATGACTGTATAATGAATAATCGTGACATTTAATTTTTATTTAAATTATTATTTGACAATTAACTGACATAATTGATAATAAATGTAAGTACAAATTATTATGTAAAGTATTTAAATGTAAATATGAGAGACAACTCATAGTGTGCGCTCGTTATAGCCTTCAAGGGTCATTAGATATTAATTATCCATTTATAATAATACATAAAATCTGTTAAGCGATACATAACTTATTTAATTTAATTCAATTTTTTATATTCTAAAAATAGTGATGATTCATTTTTTATTCGTAAAGTTAAAAATATATAATTTGATTCAATGTTTTTTCGTATAGTATAAACTCTACTAATTGCATTAATTTTAGATTCTGCAGTACGCAGCACTTTTAAAATAAACTGTGATTTAATTTTTTGGGTTTAAAAATATGAATACAATAGAAAAAAATGCTTCAATTTGCAATATTTAGAATTATTTCTGATAGAAAATTGGACTTAGTTTGTACCATGGAAGGTAAAGAAATTCCTATAGTTCTTTCAATTTTAATTGGTAAAAATTATAAAAGAATTACTTAAGTTTTTTGTTAATCAATAAGTTTATGAAAATATAATGAACATTTTTCAGAAATTAGTTATAATTACATAAAAATATCAAAAATGCAAAGTCACTTATTTTTGTTTTAGCTTTGAAGATAAATATTGACAAAATCAGGAAAATTTGCAATTATTTCATATTTATAAGAATTTATATAATTTTGATAGTCGAAGCTTGAAAATATTATTCTAGGTTTTTCTTAAATTTATTGCAATTTAAAAATATAGAAAATTCACATACACAATTTGTTTTCATTTACATATGAAATTCAAAGTTTTAAAAAGTTCCTCATACATTTTTAAACATTAAAAAAAAAAAAAAAATAGCCATAATAATATTTATAACATTGGAACGAAAAATTATGTCTTTCAAAATTAATTTTTATTATTTTTATGTAACTCAATAAGTATTTATCGTTCTTAAAACTTTGCCATTATGAATATTATTATGTTCTAAAAACATTTTATATATTATATTCATAATGAAATATTCATCAATTTTAATTTATTTATTTGGTACAATTTAATCTAACGATATGCATTATAATCCATCAGCAGAGGAATATGTTAATGTATTATTGAGTTTAAAAATCAAAAATTAAAATGGACAAATCATACAGCTGGGGGACACCAATAAAATAAAAAATTATTTTTATCAATTAACTTAATACAAAAAATATAGTTATTATAAATATTTGTAAAATTTATATGGCCTAAAATTAATTAGGGAGGTTAAGCTCGCCAAGTTATCCTAAATACATCTATGCATACTGTATTTTTAAACGAATGTAGAAGTAATTAAACATAGAATTATTCACGTAATTTAGGAACAATTGTCATCGTATCCAGTGGTGATTAAATTACAAAAAAAAAAATCAGAACGTATTCAAAAATTTCAAACCTAATTTTCATTTTGACAAGTTATATTTAAACAACTTTGTATAATATATGACTATGTGAATATTAAATGTATAACACTTAAACTTTTACAGCAGTATAAAATTTACGGAGACAACCGTGTTATAAATATATCTACCAATTTACCGAAGTTCTGAAAATTATAAAAAACGTATAACAATATAAGCTTTAAATAATATTATAATTTAATTAAATTTTAGTTTTCAACTTATAAACAGTTGCCTGATAAATCTCCTAAATATGGTTTGAATAGTAAATCTAAAATTTCTAGAAAGAAATTACAGTGAAACTTTTATCTCACGAAGTTTTACAGGGAATAATAAAAAACAAAATTCGAAATAGAGGAATTCGTTAAATATAATTACACATTTTTAATACGAGTATTTACGTAATCACATATTTTATATCCTATGATCTATATTATATTAAAAATAAATATCAAATATCATATTATATATACGTATATTATTTTTATAAATTGTACTTATATCATAAAATGTTTCAATTTCATTAAAATAATTGTTGACTTCTTCATAAATACATTCTTTTATTCGTTTTCTATTGTCGATGAGAGAAGTTTCTTTGCATTTGTTTCATTATCTTTTCACGATTTTTCAATATGGTTGAACAGAACTTGTTGGAATATCATACTCTCTTACTAATTTTAACACCTTTATCGACTTCATTTAAAATTTAAAATTTATCAACAATTAATAGAAATTTACGTTTCGATATTTTTTTTTAAACAAATAGAAAAAATGACGAAATAATTTGAGCGAACAATTACGTTTATGTCAATATTGGAATTGCAGTAAAATTAACCGGCTTGCCTATCAATGTTTCATTTTTATCGGATACAATAAAATTGTAGTTATTTTAGAACAATAATTAATACTTGACAGTGACAACATTTACAAAAACAGATTTATTATTAAATAGTTTATTCGTTATATAGAGATATATTTACGCATGATTAACAATAAAGGTCACGGTTCTCAAGAATAATTCGTTAAGTGGAAGTTTGTTATGTATATAGAAGTTCACCGTATAAATTTAAAGTACCAAACTTTTGTTAATAATTTATTATAAACGTACACTACGCGTATTAATTATGGTTCAGATTTTAATTTTGTGTACCTATTATCGATTTCTTTTTATAAAAAGTTTATGTCATAATGTATTAATTATATTTCAAAACAGCGGTGTTCGTGAAGTTTTATCCTTCCCGAAATCCAAATCACTAGTACATCGTGCATTCATAAGTTTCCTATGTTTAAAAAAACATTTTACGTATTGGTAGTTTCCAATACATTTTTATCAAGTAGAAAATTTCAAGAGTGAAATAGTATTATTAGAATTGTTAGTGTATTTTTGTTATTATAATGTACTACGCTATTACCTAATAATTTCTTTATGTACAATAAAGATTCATTTTTTTTTTTGTTGCTTAAAATTATTTTAAGTTTGGTCTAAAATTATGTATTGGAAATAATTAACCCAGTCGATTTCATCACTCAGTATACATAAATCTAAAACATTTATTTTATACTTTTAGATTCCGAACGGAAAAATAAATATATATTGGATTAAGGTACAATAATATGAGTGTGTGTTATTCTTTGTGTCTGAAGGCATTTTTATAGTGAAAATAAAAATATACTTCAATATTTAATACTAAAGATGATTTTCGTAAGTAGCAAAATATATCTAATTTGTTTTTTGGGTTTGAATGTTGAATGTTTGAAAATTCCTTGTCTCAAAAATGGAATGGGAAAAGTAGCTAACCACTTTGCCGTACAGTAGCAGGTGTCTAGTGTGCATTGTCATTGAATAAATTACTGTAATGTATGGGTTAAATTTGAATTTAATGATAAATCATTGCATATGGAAAACAATTCCGAGCGAAGACGAGACTGTTGGCCTATATTGCAAAATATACTTTATGATGTATTCATATTTTATATTGTTAGTAATACGATAGGTTGATTGATTTTTGCAAAAATAGCATTTATCATTAATATAATATAATATTATTTTTTTTTAAATTTCAGAAAATATAAGAAATAAATCCTTTTGGAAATAATATGTATACTATACACAAGAATATCAAATATGATATACATTACGAATACTTATTAATAACTAAACAGTATAAGACGAAAAGATTGATAAGGCATGCTGAGTCAACAACATTATCATTGGTCATCACTCATCATTATACGGTTCAAAGGTTCGTTTTTAAGGTTGTTGGTGGTGCAAAGAAAACGTAAAGGGAGTTATAGTGCACAAAGAATGTTAAGGTACTTTAAAATATATTAAAGAAAGCAATT